CGCTTGAATGCTTCAGAGTTTATGGATTTTATATACTAAGTACTGGGTAATTAGTCAACTACATATACCTCTTGCTATCATGACCTCCTTCATACCCATACTACACTCACTACAATGTATATTCGACGGATAAAACATTACGATTCATTTCTATCCGTGGCCAAACTCCATCTTGAACAATCGAATTGTTTACCCACAATCCAATCCTACTCTATGAATTATGAAAATTACAATCATCTCAATCAAGTTAGATATCCTTTGCCATTTTATTTTTTCTGCAAGTGACAAGCATCTCGTAATCATTCTGATGCATCGTAGTCCGAGTGTTCAACGTTAGTCCAAGATTTCAAGCAGTCCAAAGATTACCCCTGAAAATGATTTGGGATGTTCTACTCCGTACGTCTTGGGTCCGAGATCCCTGAATGATTGATTGGCTCGATGGAGTGATAAATGGATATTCCCCAATTCTTTTTCTAACACCTAGATGTTCACCTAGTATTCCCTTTCCAAGGTTCCCTTCTTCCTGTTCGATATTGATTGTCGGTACTTGATTTTGGAGTTGCAAGGCGAAGAAGAGTGTGAGGACTTGGGCCATTGGAGCAGCGGATAGTGAACAATGAACAAATAGGTGGACAGTGGATACCAGATTCCAAGATCGAAGCAGCATGAATAGTGAAGCTTGGGTTGTGGTAAGTTGTAACTTGCAACTTGTTACCGTGAGCTAGCCAGCTAGTCTGCTAGCGACCTACTTACTCTAGGACAGCTTAAGCAACAACCATTCGTTCGTTCGTTCGTTCGTTCGTTCGTTTGTTCCCCAAGACAAGACAAGACACACAGGCGGACAACTTCTTTGATGAACACGAAGATGGTGGATATACAGAGTAGGTATAGGTATTTCATTCCCTTTTAAATACGGGGATGAGATTGAAAAATGTTCTGGAATGCAGGCCTCAATAGGAGGGGAGGGGAAAATATCATCTCATTCTTTTGGATTCAATACTGTTGTGTTACTATATGGAGATTATTTTTATTTTTTTCTAATTCTTCTTCTTCTTCTCATTCGCCTCTTCCTCTTTCTCCCTCTAGGTAATGTACGGGTTCGGGAGAATACGAATCATACGAGGTAGGTAGGTCTTGGTTTTGCTTGTCGTTCATTGTTCTCGTTCACATGCTTTTTATTTCATTTGTTATACAGGTAAATTTCTAGGGTTTCCTCGCATCGTTTTGAGGGTTCGCTCGAATTTGTATTTATATCTGTTTGCATAGATAGACGTGACATGTAATATGTAATAGGTATCCCATCTTAGTGGTAAGTTATACATGCCAGGAAAGTATCCTCAATTACCCTGGTGGTCGAGACCAAAAGTCCTTGGAACATCCATCCATCCATCCATCCATCCAAAGACCCAATTTCATACCCGATCTGAGTTTCTATCCTATCCTGGCTCGTCTGGGAGGCTATTTCATTCACAGCCACAGCCACGATTCACATCATATATGGATAACACAAAATCGTGGCTTGGAATTTGACTAGAAACATTGGATTGGATTATGATTCCTTTTGAATCCGGATCTGTGGTACCTTGAATTGATATAATATATGTGTATGTGTTTTTGTATGATTATATGAGTGTACACGTACCTAGCTAGGTATATATATATATATATTTATATTTAATGATATAAATATCCTCGGCACCGATATACAAGTACTTCTAGACATCTCTATCTCTATCTCTATCTACCTAGGTACTGTATATAATAAATCCATCTATCTATCTATCCATCTATCTAACCACACCACATCATACCATACCATACCAACAAACTATCAGGTCCCACACATCCATCCACCCGGAAGTTAACCCATCCCATCTTCCCTTCCCTTCCTCTTCCCCCTGAGCCTCTTGTAGACCCTAACCTAAGGAGCCTAGCACAACACCTAACACCTAATAATCCATCTATCTACCCGCTCATATGTACAATATATATATACGTATCTACCAATCCCCTCCATATCTCAAATCCAAAATCCCTCCCGCACTCCACATCAAATCCTCAAGTTACTCTGTACGTACGCAGTACGCAGTACGCGTTATCATGACGCATCATTTCCTTCATCCCCACGAGTATGGGTAAGCTGTGGATAGGTGGATGGGTGGGTCTATGGAGGGAGTACTATCTATCTATCTATGAATTACTTACGATACAATGGATATTGGGAAATGGAAAATGGGAAATGGAAATGGGAAATTCGAGATGATTTCGTAGATGATTAGGTAGATGAATGAATTAGGAATGGATGGGAGATGGGAGATCTATGATACATACTGGTTTTTACGTTACCCTATTCTGGTCACCTATCCTATCCTATCCTATTCTATCCTATCCTATTCTATCCTATCCTATTCTATCCTATCCTATCCTATTCTATCCTATCCTATCACTTGCTCGTCTGTTTTCTTTTTATCGATTCGTCGGTTGGTTGGTTGGTAAGTTGGTAGGTTGGTAGATTGGTTGCTGGATAACTGATTTTGGTTTTGATTTTCGAGATTGATTTCCAGCTTGTGGTGATGTGAGTAGGTACCTAGGTATAGGTAGGTATATGCTTTTTTTCTAGGGATGGATGGTGGATGAGGAGTTGGTAGGGAGAAGGAGAGGAGAGGAGAAGGGGAGGGAATGTTAATATCAATTTTATCTTTGTTTTATTTTGTTTTATATTTTTTTCTATTGTGTTACATTACATTACATAGATATATGATATTAATACATACATAGTTATTAAGAGACGAGATGAGCGTTTTGAGGGATGGGCACAGGGGAGGGAATCTAGACTCTAGATTTGAGATGCGGATGCGAGTATGGGTGTGGTGTATAGGGAATGAAATTGATAAATACCTAGGTAGGAATCGAATTATCGAATTATCGAATTATCGAATTATAGATTTATTCATCTATTTATAATTAAATTTTATTCGTTTTATAAGATTAGATTATTGGGTATTTATTTGTTCTTGGGGGAGAAATATAGATAGACTAAGTACCTAGGGATATCTATCTACCTACTCTATAAATTAAAGGCTAAAGAAAAAGAAGAAGATAATAAAAAAGCTGATATGAATAAGTAAGGCTTGAAATTTAAAGGTAACGAGATTATGGTCGCTTGTAAGATTACATGGGAAATATAGATACCTACCTACCTGGTGAGTAGTGCGAGTCTAGTCCGGTCTATGTTTGTCTGTCTGTCTGACTGACTGACTGACTGACTGTCTGTCTGTCTGTCTACCTCTTGGTCAGCTGGCATGATTGGAAGTTTACATTTTATATAGAGATGGGATGCAGGTACATTTCTCGTCTTGTCTTGTCATACTATGCCATGCAATGCTATGCCACAGAATAGCATGTAAGACAATGCGGCGATGGAAAAATACTAGGTACCTGGTCTGGGTACACGAAATGTTTGTGTGTAGAAACATATGTAGGATGGAGATCTTTGATCGTCAGTTGGATGGGATATGCATGGTGTGTACTGTACTGTACTGTACTGGTTTTGTAACTAGCAGGTACTTGGATTTGGGGGGCGGGTAGGTAGGTGGTAGGGAGGTGAGGTGATATTTCCTGTACTTGTTAATGTGCAGAACTGTCAGGTGTATGAATAGATGGATGAATGGATGAATGAATGAACAATTAAGATTGGATTTGAGAATGAGAATGAGATTGCAGATGGGGAATGGAGATGCGGAATTGGAAATGAACGTCAAGTGATGGATAATGTGTATGTATGTACTAGGTATGTATATATGCAAGCACTATCTGCATCTCTAATAAATATTTAGATGTAGTATGTACATGTACATATATCATGTATGTACATATCAAGTCATGTGCTCTTATACACAGATAGGTACAGCGGACATATAATAGTATCTCATTTTGTATCATGTGGTTATGGTTGTGATTGAGCGCATAGAATATACAGCGGAGATGTTTCTTGCTGCGCGGTTGGATGTGTGGATATGTATATTGTTCTATTTTGTTCGGTTCGGTTTATAGGTGTTATGTGTTGTGCTGGATTTGTCTGGGTGCGTGGGTGGGAGTGGTGTTGGTATTGTGAGGGGACGTATGGATCAATGGATGAATAGATGAAGACGGCGATTGTTGAGTTGATGTAGGGAATCTATCTATTGCTCTCTCTCTCTCTTAGACAACATTGGGAAGCGTGGGCAGATACATAGATGGAAGGTGTAACGCTGAATAGATAGCGAAACAAATTTGTGATTCCATCCACGATGCTCTAGGACACTGCTCGCGGCTCTTGATATCATTGTTGCTGATACTTGCATATCTACACATGTAGAATAAATCCCGCACCTGTCAAGTCACATATACATAAGCATATTACCATTATACATCCACAACATCGAATATGCAAATGTGTAAATACCCCGGTATCAATGCGTCAAACGCCGGATACAAAAACCGTTTTGTTTCATCTCATCTGGACTCGTTCCGTTACATTACATCACATCACAACTTTCCCTTCCCTGTAAAATCTAGTTTGAGATGTCCAGGATCGTGTCTATTACGTCGATATTCGAGGGTGTGATTTTGTTTGTTTATGTTCGTTAGTCACTTTGTATGTAGTTCTGGCCTCCATCCATACTGCTATGATATGATTTGTTGGAGCCGTGTGTATGTGTGTTCATATCTGGTGGGCCGGAGTGACTGGGTTGGCTGATTTGGGAATAGTATACTTGCTGAGAGATGAGAGGTGAAAGTGAGAACGGAGTTAGTGAGATGAGTGAGGTGTGAACGAGGAAAATGAAGCAACGCACCACAGAGTATAGGGGGCAAGAGGTGGGAGTGAATTGGGTTCACATCTGAGAATTCAAGACCAAGTGGATGTACATAGATAGGTATGTATACGACAATACAAATGATGATCAGTTGAACATTATAAAATTTGACTTACCAATCAAAAGATTAAGAGTCTGGATATGTACTATACAATTGTGAGAAAAGCATTTACAGTTCTTTACGATATAGTATGTCTCAATCTTGTGTATGTGTGCTGAGAGATTATGAAGTATGAATTGTAAAATGTCATTATCCCTTTCGCTGTGCTGCGTTTTGCAATTTGTCCTGACTTCGCATCCTGTGTCTTATTGTCAAATTTCCATAACAGTGAGCTGAATTTCCATAAAAACTCCATTTACTAATCTTCCTATTCATATCAGGTAGTTTTGTTATCTCTTCCCTCTTCTCTGGACAATACCCAGTAGTGTATGCTGCAATGTGCAGTTGTATACATGCACAACCTTCTAGGATTAAGAATATTCCTCAAGGGTGGCAATATCGGTATCTTCTACTCGCCACATGTACCACATGAAGATAGTCCTAGTATTGTTGTTAGCTTTTTGTAATAAGGCTCAATCAACAACTGGGGGGATTTATGAAGGCAAGATACGGAGCGCAGACAGAACCCTCGTCAGGAAGTTCAGTGAGCTAATAAGATACCGAGGGCAAGGAGAAGGGGTAAAATTGAGAGGAAATTTAAATAGAGATATAGCAACTGAATTTTCGGATGAGTGAACTGTCACATATCACCAAAATGCAAACGTGACGTATCCGCATGGCAATTGGATAGAGGTTGGACTCGCTGGAGATCTCCCCCAAGAGAAAAACAAAAATGAGTCCATGAAAAACCCACCTATATGGACTAAACTTCTCAGCCATTTCTTCCATTTCCTTCTCCGACATATACTTCCATTTCCCACCCCCTTTTGCACCCTTTCCTGCCTTTTTCAATTTCTCAACATCCCTTCCAACGAGCGCAGCCATTCCCCTTTGCACTCCTAGATCTCCGGTACTGAAAACATCGAGACGTTTGAGAGCAAAACATGCAAACATTTCGACGCTCCATTTACCGAGACCGCGTACTTGGATTAGGGAATCGAAAACTTCTTCGTAGGGGGCGGTAAGAAGGAAGGGGGTAGTTAAATCGCCATTTGTGAATTTGAGGGCGAGGCCGGAGATGTATTCTGCTTTTCGTTGAGAGAGACCGGCGGTGCGGACTGGATTTGTCAGTGAGAAGAGGAGATAAAAGAGGTTTAGGAAGGTAAGTTGAATGAACAGGAGTATGAAGATATCGAGGTTGGAGATAAGGTATAAGTAAAGGATGGTGCTCACGATTAGCTATGTCAGTAGCTACAATAGCGGAAGGGGTAGGAAATTTATGAGTAGATGGATCTGAATCAGGGAGGTTGAAAAGAGCTACAAATTTAGCCTTGATAGATTTGGCTGCTGCACCGGAGACCTAATTTTATGTCAGGACTATACACATACAAAGGATAAATTGTTTGTTTTCAAGATCCTTCCTACCTGTTGCGATATAATCCCACTGACTAACGCCCTGAACGGTTCAATCTCTTCAGCTAGCCCCTCAGTGGAGAACATCTTACATGGATGTTTCTCAATGATTGGTTTCAACTTGGGCTCAATTTTGATCAAGTGCTCTACAGCTTTTTTCAAAACATCGGAGGTTGATACTTTTACTGCAGGTGATTTCGATGGAGATACTTCGTCCATAGATTTATTGGCAAGGAGTCGATGAGTTTCAGGTGTTACCAAAGGAGCATTTGTTCCATTAAGAACTGCAAGACGATCAACAGGAACAGAAGGTGGAGGCATACTGTCATCAATGTCTTTATAAGGACTAGACATTGACCCAATAGCTGCCGGAGTTGGAGTCACTGGAGGTGGAAGAATTGGAGAGGTCTTCTTTTTCTTTGGAGTTGATGTAGGTGCATTTTTGGTGGATAGGGAGTCGGACGATTCATTCGAAGCAATTTTCCTCTTTTTGGAATTTGATTTCATGGGAGGCAGAGAAGGTTCGGGTTCTTCAGGAGACATAGCCTCGGTTTTCGGGGGGCTTGATATTACGGGAGGTAGTGAAGAGTCTGGTATCTCTGAAGATACAGCCTTTCTCTTCCTGCTGGCTTTCACCTTAGATCCTGTTGGGCCATTTCCGACGATAGCCTTGGTGGTTTCTGCCACAGGAGAAGCAGACGTATTTGCAGATAGTTTCTCGGTGATAATAGAAGCTGCACTTAAACGAGCTGATCGCCTTGTAGACATTTTGTATTGTCTTGTTGATTGCAGAGAAAAGTGTTTAATTGATGAATTGATGAATCTGAATGACAGAACTCTGTGTAGCCTAATTACTGAATTGTAAGCAAGATACTTCCACTATCTCAAGGTATTAGTGATTTGATCAATACTTCAGAGTAACAGATACCTGCATGTTCATTCACATATTCAATCTCAAACCAACAGATGATTATCCTGACTTCAGATGACAACACCAACTCTACTTTTATACTGTAAGCTCAAGTACCATACCTGTGTTTCAAATTCATTGGAAAATAGTAAATTCACGTGATGACTCCTTTTTTGGCCAGGTAATCCGATCCAGATAGAGGCGAACTCGCGAGTCCGGACATTGATTGACATACAGGAGGGAAAAATTGGCATGGAAATTGGCAAACGCAACACAAGCAATATACCTTGATAAGACTACGAATCAGACGGTAGTGTATGTAAAAAATCATTCCAGCATTAATCGACAGACAATGGTGTGGGTGGTTGTGAATAATACAGTCCAACACTCTTAACAACTCAAATGTATATAATTGAATCTATTGTATGTACTTCTCACGCATAAAAGAAAATACTTAATATATACTTCTTCTCTCCATCTTCCCAACTTCTCTTTCTATGTGTGGAGTTCCCCTCAAAATTCAATAAATATTACAAAGGTCTAGTTCCTCTGTTTTCATTCGCTTATACACTCTTGGCATAATTTCTAAATTCGTGTAGGAACCTCGAGGCCACTCTGAACGGATCTCCCTGCCACTCGCGACCTCCTCAACTTCTTCAGATCTACCAAAACTCCCTGATTTTAGTGTCAAAGAGCTTGCAATTTCACCATCGTTTGTAACGCAATTTCGGGGCGCTTTTACTTCTACGTCTGCGATCTCGAATTGATATAATCTACTTTTCTTACTGGTGGTTTTGAAGCCACAGGGGTTTCGCCATGTTGGGTCCAAAGGGTGGCATGAATTGGAAGGCTACAAAAGCACAATTACCGCCTGCGAGAGCGATATGGGTATTTCTTACAAGGACGCGATTTTTACTATGTGTAGCATTAGCTGGTGTCGTTGTATTATTATGGAGAGGAATTAGTACTTCAGCACAAGAGATGCAAAGGTAAGCAAGCACATCACTTATGGCTTATCAGTGGATACCAGAGAAGATGAACAACGCTGATTTTGTACTGTGTTCAAAGATATTATTGTTGGGGACCTTCGAAACCACCGATGCAGATGACATTGAATGAACAGGCCGACTGGAACGCGCATTTACAAACACCAGTTATCTTTAATCATCATGAGCCAGTTGTTGTCAATTCTACCACCATTAAAAGTGTCGACCTCAACCCTATCCGATCTACTACAAAAGCAATTGCGAACAAGGAACGAATTTTGATTTTGACCCCTCTCCGAGATGCCGCGTCATATTTGCCAAAATACTTTGATTTACTCTCACTCTTGTCTTACCCACACGATTTGATTGATCTCGCTTTCTTGGTTGGCGATTCATCTGATGACACTCTCGCTGTACTTGCTGCAGAACTCGACAGAATTCAGGACGGAAAGGAAACTGAGGCATTCAACAGTGCTTTGATTGTTCAAAAGGACTTTGGCGCGGTTTCGGGCCAGACCGTTGAGGAACGTCATGCATATGCAGCTCAGGCACCCCGGAGAAAGATCATGGCTCGTGCCAGAAACTATCTCTTATCTGCGGCGTTGAAACCAGAACATTCATGGGTTTACTGGAGAGATGCAGACATCGTTGATAGTCCTGAGAAGATCATTGAGGATTTCATTGCTCACGATAGAGATATCATTGTACCAAGTATGAATATTTCTCTTTTATAGGATTCGTTACATTTACTGACTTTTGCAGATGTCTGGTTCCATCGATACCGTGATGGGGTCGATATTGAGGGTCGATGTAAGTCTAGACCACACTCGGAAGTCTGCGATGGATGCTAATTGTCTCTAGTTGATTACAACTCATGGATCGAGTCGGATAAAGCACTTAAGCTTGCCTCGAAGCTTGACAAAGACACGGTTATTGTCGAAGGTATGTATCAATCTCATTTTTCTTGTATCACTATATTAACAATACTCAGGTTATAAAGAATTCGATACTGGTCGCACTTATATGGCTTTGATGGGTAACTGGAGAGAAAACAAGGATGAGGAAGTCAAGCTTGATGGTATTGGTGGAGTCAACATTATTGTCAAGGCAGATGTTCACAGATCAGGTAATTGTGCCAGGTAATTTTGAAGAGGACAAATTATTGACCAATATATAGGAATTAACTTCCCCGCCTACGCATTCGAAAATCAAGCCGAGACTGAAGGGTTCGCAAAAATGGCCAAGAGAGCAGGGTATGAAGTTATTGGATTGCCCAACTATGTCGTCTGGCACACGGACACGGAGGAGAAGCCCGGTAACAACGTTTAAGATGCCACTGTATTAAGAAATTCGTTCGGACATGTCTTAACGCATATACGGAGTTTTTTAGTCAGAAAGAGAAGATTTTGTATGATTGGATTCGGAAAGGGAACCAACATTCAAAAAGGAGGGGAAAAATGATTCCCCCCAACCTATTTTCGAAGGGGTTTTTTTAACTTCGAGATTTCTTGTACCGAACTTTTTCATTTTTCATTCTAGGGGGTCCGGGAGTTTGATCATTTTTTACGAATGAAGATAAGGGCTTGGGCTTGTTAGCAAGCATGGTTGCAAGGACAGCATACCACTGTAATAGAAATGTCCCAATTGCGATTTGTTTATGAATGGTCTTATTTCTTCTGTGGTGCACTGGATGAAAAAATGGAGGATGATGAATAGGAAGGTGGGGATTTAATGAGAATGCGAATGAGAGTGCGAATGTGGTTGAGAGGGAGTATAGGTTGTGAGATTTGTAAATGTGTCTATGGGTATGGATATTGAGGTATCTATGAATAATGGATGGATGGATAGGCGGGTGTGTGGGTGTGGATAGTTGAGTGATCCTGAGAAGAAATCAAAAGTTTTGGGAGAGGGAGGAAACGAGAGGCGGGTAGAGAGTGGAATAGATAGAATAACTTACTGGGTTAATACACTGGTTTGCGAATGAGAGGAGGTCTTTTTGTGTTTGTTGGATTTGTGTTTATGTTTATGGCTCTTCTGGTGATGATTATTTGTGATGCTGATTTGTGTTTGGATTGGTGGTGGGTTTGGGATGGATTTGGACTTGATTCGTATGGGTGTGAGCATTCTAGATGGCTAGATGGTGTTTGGTCGGATAGAATGGATTAGATGAGGGAGACCCTTGATCTTTGAGTTTGCGCTAGATTGGGCTATGGCTTTGACTATGAACATGCAGTGGAAGAGAGGACAGGGCAAAGTGGAAAGTGTATAGTTTTAGAGGACTGGATGATTGGACAATTGGATGATTGAAGAGGAGGCGAGGATATGTCTGATGCTTGCTTGCTTGATGTTCTGTGATTCAGTTATTTTCTCTTACTTGAGACTTATCTCAGTCTAATGTCATGATTCTTAAAGTTTCATATCAGGAGTTCTCTAGACTTACTCAGCTTGGGTTTCTGGACATTTCCATCCCTTTGTTGGTCACAATATTGAGATGTCTCTTCTTCTTATTGTATCGCCACAGCTGGCTCCAGGATCCAACTCAGCCAGATCTCTATCTAGACAGCGAAATCGTCAAGTTGCACGATATCTCATCTTCCCTCTTCACACGACCATCATGTAGAGTAGAGTGACTTTTTGTTTTTTTCGAATTGATGATCATCGTTATAAAGTACAGAGCATCACATCCCATCTCGGTGCTTTTCATTCCCAATCCTCTAAAATTCTCATCTCATTCCTGCACTTCACTTGCCTTTCCCACCTTCCCAAATATACATATCCAGCGGCTCTTCATCTGCATTCTCTGCTTTTCTCCTCTCTAGTTCTTCTTGGTAATAGTCAATGATTCCAAATCAGCACGTTCCTTGGCCTCGGCTTCGATCTCGGCAATGATGGGAGAGAGGTATGCGTAATCCTGTGAAATTCATGGGTTAGAACGAGTGTGGAAATGTCCTGGAAGGAATGAATGAGACTCACGTCTTCGGGCTTGGTGTGTTGATCCTTGGGCAAGAGTTGATGTTGGACGGAACACTGTAGGATTGTCAGTCGTGCGTCTAAAAAAGTTTACTCAATTGCTCGGAGGAAGCAATGGCATGCGTACCTGAACAGCTCTTCGCAGACGGAAAACACGATCATAAGCTTCCTTTTGCGGTAAACGCTTGAGCGCAAGAAGAACCTCTTCGGATTCCTCGGGGAGTAAATCATCGGCTCTATAGTTTCGTAACATGTTAGTTTCTCTTCTTTGCTTTGCATATCCCAATTCCCATGTATAGTCCCGTATTGCATGTTCTAGGTAGAGTCAAAAATATCGCATACCTTAATCCCAACTGACGGTATCCAGCAGCATTGGTGTACCATGAGGCCAAAGGCTTCATCATCTTCAAGAGCCCGGGCTTCTTGGAAATCCAGCTTGCTAACGATGGTGCAGACATGATGGGTGGATTTGGAGGGGTGGTATTGGGGAGAGAGGGGAATTCGTCGATTATGGTTGTGTATATTGAGAGTGAAGTTCAAAAGTTATGAGTGTATTAGGTAAGCGAGTCAGCGTTGTTTGAGGAGTCTGTGATTGGTTGGAGGAATGAGGGAAGGAACGGAATAAAATGGGTGGGGGAAGATATCGGCATGATTAATGTTCACAATAAGATGAGTTTGTATGGAGAGAAAGCGAGTAGAGGTGGATGTGGATGTGGAAAAGAGGCACGTGGATGTGGGATGAGATGATTTTCTTTGTTTGATTGAGAGGTATCGGAGGTGTTTGTAATGGTTTCTTTCCTCACTTCGGGCTTGTAGATATGCTGTTTAATAGATCATGTCATAGTGTAATAAGTACCTAGGTAGAATGTTCATGATGGTCACAATACTGGGAGAACTACTCGTCTAATCGTGGTTTTCTACATTGATTAGCTGCTGTAGTAGAACATTATATCAATGCATCAATCACGGTTTGAACATTTATTAGATGATGGTTCATATAAGATGCTAGTAGAGATGCTGCTGTGCCATTGAATACTGATTAATGGTAGGATAGAATAGGATATGAGTAGGTATGGCCAAACATCTGGATACCATATACCAGGTGTAGCAATAAGCCAATTATACTCCAGTTCTAACTGTTCATACATAACATAACATACTAATAACTAGGTAACTTATCATATCATATCATTCCTATCATCCATCCATCACTCACCATCACTCACCATCACCCACCTAGGCCTTTTCAAATCAAGCTTTCCCTGTCTCGAACCAAACGGGTTGATTTCCCCCACTTTGTTGAATTAGAATTATGATATTCTACTCGTAGTTCTATTTCTTGTGTACCTACTTACCTACATTTCTCACACAACCTTCTTTCTTCTTTTGATATCTAGAACATCTAAAGGATATTCTCAAAATCAAAAATATCATCAAATCAGATTAAATCACAAGCTCAACCATAAGATTTTATCCTCTGTTTTCTACTGTACCTGATTTTTGCTTTGGCTTGGCGGTTCGACCCTTTTTGTCAAGCGATTAGTTGAATAATCTATTTTATAAGCTTTCCGAGAATTTTGAGCCGGTCTTGAAGTCCGGTGCTTCCCTCAACCACAAAATCCTCAACCCACTTTCCTCAAAGAACCCGAAAAAGCCCACCTTTCCGACTTTTCAACGCTCGCACAATCCACGAAACTTCTACAAACATTCAGGCGATTGTCAATGGCCTGCGATAACCGTTAGCTGTTGTGTCACTGGCGTGCTGCGTGGGATCTTTCCCCGCACACCGGGACACGAGATTGCAAGAAAAGAACGGCGACAACAAGTGAAGGCCTTCCCAACCCATCGGCGGCGTTCCTCTCGGCGAGATTCACTTCCGCCTGCCTACGGCTGAAGTAGCAGAAGCTGTTAGATATTTGCGCCAACAACAATTACAATGTCACATGAACGCAGCACGCCATCATCATCGGGATCTGAGGATTTTGCGTCCTCTCAACCTACCACCCAACAATTCACATCGAGTTTAACGTTTGGAGGAGGAGATTCACCTATTACTAGATTGGAGAGAGTAGCTAGAACAAGGGCGGAATGGGAATTCAATGCATTTGCGGGGGCGGTCGGTGGTTTTACTTCTGGAGTTGTCACTTGTCCACTAGATGTTATTAAGACGAAGCTACAAGCACAAGGAGGTTTCAGAGCCGCACAAGGACTAGGGTCGCTACCTGCGGGACAAGCGGTATATAATGGTTTACTTGGAACTGGAAGGGTGATATGGCGGGAAGAGGGGTTGAAAGGATTGTATCGAGGCCTTGGTCCAATTATCCTTGGTTATCTACCTACATGGGCAGTTTGGTTTACGGTCTATGGTAGATCAAAACAGTTCTTTGGACCTCATACCGGTATGAATTATGAGTAAATCTTAACAATGACGATGGAAGCTAAATAAACATCTACAGATAATACAGTAGTGGTCAATTTTTGGTCCTCAATAATTGCTGGAGCTTCATCGACAATGGTTACCAATCCTATCTGGGTTATAAAGACACGTCTGATGTCACAAGTTAGCCGTAAGGCAAAGAATAACGGAGCCAGACCACCTTGGCATTATCGGTCAACTTTAGATGCAGCAAAAGTGATGTACAGGACTGAGGGAATCCTATCCTTTTATTCTGGTCTGACTCCTGCACTACTCGGTTTGACACATGTGGCTGTCCAGTTTCCAGCTTATGAATATCTCAAGAAGAAGTTCACAGGCAAGGGGATGGGAGAGTCAGCAGAAGGTGATGAAAGTGCTCATCTGTTTGGAGTATTGTCTGCAAGTGTGCTCAGTAAGGTCATAGCAAGCTCTACCACCTATCCTCACGAAGTCATCCGGACAAGACTTCAAACTCAACAAAGATCCATGCCAGCTACTTCAACAGAATATGGCGCATTTAGGGGAGGTCTAGAAGGACACTCTCATCAAAACGGGGCTTCCAACCCCCTTGCTCAAATCAAACAAGCGGTCCCGAAATATAGGGGCATTGTGATGACATTTAAAACGATATTACGCGAAGAAGGATGGAGGGCATTTTATGCAGGTATGGGCACGAACATGATGAGAGCGGTACCTGCGGCCACAACTACCATGCTCACCTATGAGTATGTTATGAAACATTTGAATCATGCCAAGGCAGAAGGATTACGGAAATCGGGAGAAGATTGGTAAATGTTTCACATATTTGACCATCCTTCTCGGCAAGATGTATAAACTTCAAAAAATACGGCACACACCTCTGAGATTAGGTAATGAAGAAACCAAGAAATATTTTCGCATTTTAAAGCATTTGAAGTTTGCGGGCGTTCGGTCATGTACTCGGCCGTTAGGTATTGAGTTAGCATGATGCGGCCTTTGTGTTTAGTAAAGATATTACAGACGTTCATATCTGAGAAATACCTTTTTGTAAGCAGGGGAATTGTACTTATAGATGGTATTAGCCATCATGGCAAATGATTGTTTAACATTCCACCTTGACCTGATATGCAGTTCCATAAAAATCTCCTTAGACTCCCAAATGTAACCTCGAAATATGAACTGTTGAAGTAGCTGTGCACTTCAGTAAATCCAAACACCGTTCCCATCTCCATCGTTATTTTCATTTGACATTAATCTGCTTTCCCAGCAAAACCACCCTCTCTTCCCTTCGCCGCTCGCTCTCTCAGCTTCCTCTCCACTTCATGCCTCTCGGGCGCATTTCCTTTCCTCCTCAATTCCTCCAAATTATCTTTTGCCGTTCCCAATAACTGTTTCACGGTTGTTTGCTCTACAGGCGCATCTAATTGTCCATGACGCCTTAGACTTTCATTGGCCCAATCGATCTGTCCACCGTCTGCTTCGCGGTGTTTTTGAGCATTCTGCTTAGCTGCCCGGATGGATGTGCGGGTGTATGTGAATAGGAGTAGTGCCATGGTTGCGGCTGCTAGAGGAGCAGTTAAGGTCTAGATGGAAGGTTGTTAGTGGAAGCTGGGAGGTGTGGAGGGGTGGAGGGGTGGAGGGGAATGGGTGGATAAATGAAGGGGATTGGAATAACATGATTGATACCTTGCCGTTTAGATTGAATTTGCGAGGAGCCATGGTGGATTGATTCTTGTAAATTGATTAGAAGAATTTGAATGATTTCACATTTCTCTTCTTATTTGCTTGTAGCTGTATTATGATATACCTAGTACGTGGACGAACTCAAATAATCGAACGGTTTTTTTGAACATGGGAAATAAATAGAGGACGTCATGCGATGTTCGGGGTTCGATCGACAAGGATCATTAAACAAGGGACTTTACCACTTTTTTTCCAAATAGATAGATAAGTCCTCAACACTTTTGCATTGAGTACCTATTTATAAATCTTTTGCTTGTAATGGAATTTTATGAATTGATGGATTGTGTTCGATAATTTCTCAAGGAGAGTTTTGTGTGGGTTTCGCATGGGAATTTGTTCTACGTGTACGATACGCAAGGTAGAGAGATATGAAGGGACTTAATATCGCATCGGCATCGGCGTGGGCGAGGGCGAGACCGTGGACTTGTGGGAGATGTGTACAGAGAGGGACTAGGAAATCTTGGGTGCAGACCGCGACGTATTCGACGGGGAAGAGAGGAGGAAATGGTTATGGTTATGGATATCAGCAGAATGGAAGGGGAAATAAAGTTATCATGGCTTCTGCCGTGGGGGGCGTGGCAGCAACGGGACTTGCTTTCACGGATGATATAAGGCATGCGTATGAAGCGGTTGAGAGGACGGGGAGAGTGGTCAGTACGCTGTTTGTTTGTATCAATGAGTGAGTGATCTTCTAGCATTGTGTAAGATTGCTTAGGACAAGTGGCTAATTCGGTGCGACAGTTATCGAGTTACGTTGAATCATAATGAGAAGATTGAAGATCAGGCAGAACAGGATAGAAGATTGAAAGATTGTCATCAGAGATGTGCGGACCGAACATTGAGAGTCTTGGAGAAGAATGGGAGTATATTTATAAAACTCGGGCAACATTTGGTATGGGATTCAATCAATATCTAGATGCATAATGCATCGGCTAATTGGTTTTCGCAGAGTGCTATGAATTATCTTCTACCGTTAGAATGGACGACCACGTTTATACCCTTGCAGGATAAATGTCCTGTTTCATCCTTGGAGTCGATAGAGAATATGTTTATGATGGATACCGACGAACAACTTTCAGATTACTTTTCAGAATTTGCACCTCTACCGATAGGGGCAGCATCTTTAGCTCAAGTACATCTAGCTACTGTCAAGGAAACGGGACAAAAGGTTGCGGTAAAGGTTCAACATCCAAACTTGGCGGAATGGGCGGCTCTTGATCTGGCATTAACTAGCTTCACATTCGCGACGCTGAAGAGATTCTTCCCAGAGTATGATCTAGAATGGCTATCATCGGAAATGGAGATTTCATTGCCAATCGAACTGGACTTTACTGAAGAGGGAAAGAATGCTTTGCGGACAAAAGATTACTTCTCACGGATACCGGAACTACCATTGATTATACCTGATGTTTTATGGGCAAAGAAACGTATATTGGTTATGGAGAATGTTGCAGGACACCGATTGGATGATCTCGAATTTCTTGATTCTAATGGTATCGATCGCGACGAAGTTTCCGCTGCCCTCGCCCGTATCTTCAACGAAATGATCTTTGGCAACAATGCTCCTCTACATTGTGATCCTCACGGGGGCAATCTCGCTATTCGTAAAAATAACAATCGCCGTGGCGCCAATTTCGATGTCATTCTTTACGACCATGGTCTGTACCGTGATATACCTCTCGAACTCCGTCGCTCTTACGCAAAACTCTGGCTAGCAGTAATTGACGCCAATGAACCCCGTATGCGCAAATACGCTAAAGAAGTGGCTGGTGTAACTGATGAACAATTTCCCCTATTCGCCTCGGCTATTACGGGTCGCGATTACACCATCCTAACAAAAGATGTAGCGCTCGAGCGATCTGAAGAAGAGAAGAAAAACATTAATGATGCATTGGGTGAAGGAATGCTTCAACAACTTGTACAAATGTTAGGACAGGTTCCGCGAATTATTTTGTTGATATTAAAAACGAATGACTTGACGAGGAGTTTGGATGAGAATTTACATACGCGACAGGGACCTGTGAGGACTTTCTTGATTCTAGCGAGATATTGTACAAGAACGGTGTTTGAGGAACAGCTGGAACAGATAAAAGCGAGGGGTAGTCTTTTGTGGCCGACGAACGGATTTAGATTGTTGGTGGCGTGGTTGGGATACGTGAGGGTGGGGTTGAAATTGGAAGCATTCGAGGTTTGGTTGAGAGTCAAGAGAATCATGGGGACAGCATGAAGATCGGGGATTAAGAAATAATGTTCATAAGAAGTGGAGCGGTTATATTGAGCGTATATTGCATGCATAGATTAGTTAGCGGAGGGAAAGAAGCTTTCTTCCTTCGGATTGATGTATTGGGTGGGGTTGGTTGGGCTCCTTCTTCTTTTTAGCGCGCATGAAGATCATTATAGATAGATAGATGGATTTGGAAGAGCTGAAAGATAGATAGCGTGTATAAAATACGACTTCTATTATGTTATGTTTATTGTGGGCTGTAGGTTGTGAGTTGTAAGTTGTCGGTGTGAAAGCACGAGAGAAATGGATGCGCAATGAGAGATTGGGTTTTGATAGTCGAGGGGCCTGGAGATTAGCTAGTAGTTGCGATGGGGATTTGTACGTAAGAAGGGAAAATGAAAACTGAGTCTAGTGCAGAAAAGATGTTGGAGCAGGTATACCGGATGAGTTATATGGCGGGAGTGATGATTTCTAGTGTATAGCTTGGTGGGAGTTGATAGTGTGGAGGTGTGAAGGTGTGAGGATGCTATTGGGCGCGGACATGTATGTGAGAGGCTTGTTGGTAGATGATAGATGAGCTGAGTTGAGAATCTGAGATAGATGGATAGATGAGGTTGGGAAATGAGTTGTAGGAATTGAATGGAGGGTAGAAAGGGTTTGTGGGTATTGTATTGTGGTGTTCATGTGTTATATTGTGCTTTATTGTATTGTGTATTCGGCTGGGAATAGTATTTGCTTTCCTTGAGTTTGGTGGGTAATTTTAGATGAGAAGCTTTTTCTCTTCTCACTGCTGTGGGATATTGTGAGGTCATTGTGTATGAACTGGATGTTCTGCATAAAAACAGACGACGTCGTGGGATTTTGGGTATAGGATAGAAAAGTGGCTAGCTGTGTGAGTGGATAATGGGATTTCCTCACGAGCTGTGAGATTGTTTCGATGCAAGGGGTTATACCCATATCTAGATTTCTAGTCATGAGCAAGGCAGCAAAAATCTGTTTTAATCCATCGCTTTGATTCATGCTCATACACATGGTCGTTACGAGTAGAGCATCAAGCTTAGGCCATGATGCTACTTGGAGGTAATCACATGCCGGTTGCAAATATCCTCAAACGCAAACGATAGATTGTGTGCCATCCGCATACATCGTTATATCATGTTCATCTAAGGTATATCCTGTATCTCAGCCCAAGCTTAGACTCTCCATCCTAATAGCGCAGAGTCACCAAGTGAACATCTCCTCGACTATTTTATTTTGAGTATTCATTTCGTGTCCTTGTCGAGTGTATACCAACCGACCTCCTCCAGAATCTAACTCTAGGATTGGATCAACCGTTAACGGTCTCGCCTGGTCAGAGTAAGTGTTCACTTCGCTCCATGTACTTTCTTCGATTTCCACAATTCTGTCCAATGCATTCGCGACTAGTACGCTGTTCCAAAGTCCCTCCTGTCGTTTAAACGAGCGGAGAAGATTAATAACCTGTCGACGAATTATAGGATCTTTGCAATGGCGAACTAAGTTGTAAAGAGGAATGATAACGCCCATGTCCAGATTAAAGGAAATGGTTGATTCTCCACAGCTATCGTCAGATAAGATATAAGAGATGATTTTCTGGCCCAGCATTATCATTCTCTGGATTTGAGGCATGAATTCACTCCAGTGTAAGCGATATGTTGGTGGCAAATATTGGACATAGCATGATATACGATTGTCCAATGAGTGAAGTTGTAGTACTGCAACCGCGATATCTTCTTTGGGAGTGAAAGACGAGCCTCTCGCTTCTATAAATGCTTGGAGCTCATGCGAATATTTCGAATGTAGAGCTTCAAAATTCTCAATGATCTGAAGAATGCGGGCTTCGAAATCGATGGGGAAATCTGCTAAATCGGTTGGAGCTTCGGAAGCACGCGCGACACTGCGTTGGAATAGGTGACAACCGTATTCGAAACAGTTTTTGGCTTCTTCGACACTACGAAAGAATATAGGAACGTTGTCATGTATTATTCCCGAGAGTGGATTGCCATAGAATAAAGGCTCGTAACGTTCGGCTAACTGTAGCAATAATATTAACCAAAGTATAGACAGAGAGATGAGAGGAGGACAAGAAAAGACGTACAAAGCCTTTTATAGTTGTACATTCTCTATCTAACCCGGAATATATCCTAGCTAGAGCACCTGGAGAAGCATATAAATCCACGGGACTTCTCGAACCAAGTGTTTGATGATAAATCATTCCATTCTGTTGGTCCCATTCGGTTTCACGCAGCAGCTTCGCGCCACTTTTTATATGTGCTCCTGCCGAAGCACGTTGCCCTGCCATACTCTATGAGAATCAGCATATAAGAAAGCACATTCACGGTAACAACACACTAGTTACAAAAGCAAGAAATACCTCAAAGTTAGCGAAAATAATGCAAGTGATAAGGCAAACATCGACACCTCGCTTCTCATTCCGAGACAGAGGAGCTAAGAGATCTCTAATCGCAAAATTGTATTGCTCTAAAGCGAAAGCCTTATCAATATCAGAGATTTGCATCTTTTGCTCTGATAATTCATGAATAGCGCCTAGGGCTACAACAGCATGGCGTACAGCCGACTCATGATGTGCAGTTTGAAGCACAAGCCTTTCCCAGAAATCGGAACCGAAAAATCCGGCTAATTGAGAGCAAGTCCGTTGCACGAAAAACGCAAATGATCGCTTTGATTGCGGGGAACTAAGGATATCAAATGAAGAGTTTCCTGTGATGAGACTCATATCACCCGAAGGCGACAAGTCCAAGGTCGAGATATGGTAGCCTGGACATACCCGACGGGTTGATGTACATTTAAGACATGCGGGTTTTGCTTCGTCACACTTTATTCTTCGTACTACGTAGTTATTTAGTGTTTGTGATCCTTTTCGTTTTCTGAAACTTACTTCTACAAGTCAGGCAACCCGTCTTGGTCTTCGGCCGGTATGCTCGCTGTCTCCTTCCTTTCGCTACCTTGGGCATTGGAGACTAAACAAAAACTGTCTATCAATATGGATTGAAAACTCAACAATGAAACCCAACAATCAACTCGTGTGGTAAATTTAGGCGTAGCGTGATGTTTGCTATATCAAAAAGCCGGACGTACAGAATAAGTAAACAATGCGAGAATGGGGGATGATACTCGGTGGCTGACGGCATTCCCCCTGAATCTAAGCCACACAACCCCCAGTCTCTCGAGCCACACCACGCATGAGTATGACATAGATGTCAGCTTAAAGGTAGGTAAGCAAAGCTGCTACCCTAGATTATGCTGAGACCCCTTGCAGAATGTAGCCTTTGAGCGTTATCTGCTTATTCTCATGTACCGATGGTTTCCTTGGTTAATTACAGGCGTAATACCTATGTCATAAACATTGATAAGTATCGGGACTAGCATCAGAATATTGAAGTACTTCAGAAGTTCAATATATAGAAAGAAGACGGAGAACAGAATAATGAGTAAGATGACAGCGGCGAGATGGCGAAAGCATTGTGCTCAAGAGGATCTCCTCGCTCGTGCACAGCCAAGACGCAGAGCCCCTCTGGAAAGGAGCTCATATCTTGGCAAGCGTGGAGATTATATTCGCTACCTGCTCTTGCTCGTGCTCATTTTAGTATTCGCCGTTATTCCGAATAGCTTCTGGGGTTTCTACTCTCCTAGAGCTCTATGGAATCTTATGCCTAGTCAGAACAGCATTATTATTCACGATCCAGAGAATTTCGATTGGGAAACAGCAAGTTTCCACAACCCTTATTGAAATTTACTTGCTAATATGAATCCCTTTCTAGATTACACCATCATCAAAATTAAGCTTTCATTCTTGCTATAGATCATTTGAATGTGCTCGTCTTGAAGCACCACTCGATTGGAATAACCAATCGACTGATTTGAGACGTGTGGCAATAGCATTGATCAAACTTCCATCAAAAGTACACGCGAGTGATCCACGACATGGTGGTTCTGTCATCATCAATCCAGGTAAGCTGGTGATATTACCACGATAGAGCTAGAGCAAGTGTTAATCAAGTTCTAGGTGGTCCAGGAGGCTCGGGTATCAATCTTGCCAGGAATCAAGCACGTCATCTACAAACTATCGTAGACTCTCCCTCAAATTTGGATGATACCAGTAGCACCGAAACCACTAACAAGTATTTCGACATTGTCTCGTTTGATCCGCGGGGAACAGGTTTTACAACTCCTTCTTTTATATGCTTTCCAGATGCTGCTCAACGAATGAATTGGAATATCGCTTCGGATGCGGAAGGGTTATTGGGGAGCTCCAGTGTAGCTTTCAAACTTATGTGGGCGAGAAAACGCGCCCTTGCTGATGCTTGCTATACACGTATGAGTGTTGATGAGACAGGAGAAGATGGCTTAGGAGCACACATGAATACACCTGTTGTTGCAATGGACATGAAAGCGATCGTGGAAGCCTTATCTAGATCAAGAGAAGAATCCCTAATCCCAGATCGAGAATACACTAAATCATCGCACATTGGATCTGTAAATAAGATTCAGTACTGGGGTTTCTCGTATGGAACCCTACTAGGCACGACTTTTGCAGCTATGTATCCAGGCTTCGTTGGCCGTATGGTTCTTGATGGCGTGGTTGACACTGATCGCCACTACGCCGGTAAGTCCTTCCTTCTCGTGTTTAAATTTTTATTCAACTCCGCTGACCAAAAAAGGCACCTGGGATGGGAATCTTGAAGACACAGACGCTATCATAAACAAGTTTTCAGAGTATTGTTTTGAAGCAGGCCCCGAACGCTGCGCTCTATACTCCAGTAGAGGTTCAGAATACATTCACGGTCTTTTAGACGACATCATCGCTTCCGTTACAGATGCTCCCATTCCAGTATCTATTTCTGACGTACGTGGACCCGAGATTATCACGAGTAGCGATGTGAAAGGCGCAGTTCGATTAGCCTTATACTCACCATTCGAAGAATTTGAAAGACTGGCAAGGATTATGTACGATATCTCACAAGGAAATGGTACCCTTCTTGCAGATTCCAAGTCGACTGAATATCCATGGCAGAATCTTCAGCCAAGCTGTCGTTCGAGTGATCCATACTCCCCGTATTGCTTCTCCCCGCCTGTCGACTATGCCGAGGAAGTTGTTGGGGCCATCTCGTGCTCTGATGGACCGGACCAAACTAATATGACTGCCACCGGTTTCCTGGAATATTGGCAGCGAGTAAGGGAAGAGAGTATTTATTTGGGCGATCGGTGGGCAAAAAACCGGATGTTGTGTGCTTTTTGGAAGCTGAGGCCAAAACTTACATTCACAGGTACGTCTGTTACTTTTGGTATAGAGTATTGAACCCTAACAGCCCCCCTCAGGTCCCATTGAAGGCTCAACCTCGGAGCCAATTCTATTTGTCTCGAACACTCTAGATCCTGTCACATCTCTTGCAAAGTAAGGACTGCATATATTTCTATACCACCTAGTTCTTGCTAATTACCAGCAGTGGTCAAAATATGAGTAAGAGATTCAATGGATCGAGACTTCTACAGCAAGATTCAGAAGGTGTAAGTAACCTACTTTTCTTAGACTTATCTCGTCTCGTTTGCGGAAAGCTGAAAAATTGTAGCATTTATTCCTCTCGACGCCTTCGATCTGCAGCGCTAGGATTGTAAGGCAATATTTTCAAACAGGTGCACTTCCAGAAGTTGGAACAATATGCCCTGTGTACGATAGAGCATTTGGCTTATCTGGTGAGGGACATTCGACTATTCTGGAATATGGAGATGACATTTTGCTTAAGGCTTTGAGGGCGATAGCCAATAGTATGTGGTGAATGGAAGATACTGTGTGGAAAGCAGAAATGATGGATAACGTAATTGCGCCAACGTATTCCTTCAAATGTTCATTTCACATAGATTATTCATAATACAACGCATCTCCAAGGCTGTATTGTCCTCGAAAATAATATTGCATTAAGCCAAAGGACATTGTCTGGACTGTTTGATATTGCGGCTCTTGAGGTAGGATTGGTGGTGCGTTTCCGATATTTGGAACTTCGTCAAGGTGGTGTCCACAAACATCTGTTTGCACGCAGTTATCAACTATGAACATAGCTTCTTTCTGAATTGTACGCGAAGACATTTTAGAGACCAAAGATGTAAAATACAGAAAGCTAATCGCTAAAGAAAAATCCAAGTATGATAATGCTGAGCTCGATGTAGACCAACATAAGGGTACGTCAAATCGCCCAGAAATTATACATTGAAACACTTGTAATTCAAATATTCATAATGACATCAGCTTGTATTCAAAGATAGGTGAACTAGTATATATTTGGTGATCTAAAAGCTCATGAATACATCCGGCTGGTTTTTCATTCGACATGATGATTATTTGATACGGTATGCAATATCAAAAAGAGTACCGGTACATAGGTTTGGTATCCATTTGAACTTGTCTATGAAGCTTGGCTCAACAACGTGATCTTAACAACGCCATCGACCTTGCAACTAGTAAGGTAAAATGGCATCAAGGAACATTCCCTCTCTTCGCCCAATAAACATCTCAGACTAGCTAGATACTGTCGCAGATACTTGACGGGAGAAGAGTAATATTAAACACCGAACAACAAGATTTATCACCTCTTCATGTTTCAAGTGCGTTGAGATATGTTGGCCATCGAGTTTCAGTTATGTATGATGATATAGTAGTAAAGAACCATACTATCGATCTAGACAAGTCGACGCCTGTATAGGTAGAAACTGCGAGTGAGATAACATGCCATGACTTCGCTGTGTTGATACGTACGCCAAAAATTTCGTTCAAGGTCTCATTCACATTGATGTGATGTTCGACCAAATGATTACATAATGTAGAAGCCATTGGTGAGCCAATCACCAGCAGTAGAAATTGTGTTTTTGAGTTTGAGTAAATCCGACACGAGCCGGAAATAAAATTCAAAAGTGTCCCTTATTCCCAGTCGATGTAAATTTTAAAATTTGGCACAAAATTGACGCCCTATTTCGTTCGTGTCGTTGAAAAAAACCGTTCAAATTTTCAGACGTGCAACAAAACAACTTTGTGTCACTATTCACGTGACTTTTAGAGCTTGGGCCATCTTGTCATATTTGCGCAGTCTCGGGCCAGTAAACATTTTTTACATTCATCCGAGCCGATCTGGATTAACTTTGAAGCTTCTGAGTTGACTGATATTTTACATACATGCTAATCTTACGTTGTGATCTGGATCTATAACATTAGCTGTATATCGGGTTTCCTATTCAATATATCGCTGGACTATCTCTTCGCTTCCTAAGACCTAACTGGTTGCGTTGATGAAAAAGCTCACTTGCACACATATTAATCTACCAAGCGTTCTTTGTATCAAAAATGAGGCGCGTGCTTGATTTCCAGCTCGAGTAGAAGTTTCATCATGCAGAAATCTCATGCAATGTTGAACGATATAGAAACATTTTCACTTTCACATCATACTCTGTTCGATATTACATGGCATCCTGAATCATATCATGTGACTCTACCTTATGCCGCACGACTGTTATGATGCAGTGCAACACACAATGGTGGAGTTATCTCATTCCACCTAGTGGCTTGCCTCTCCGTACTCGCTTCTCCTGCCTACCCAGCACAATTTCTACTATTTTCTATTCTTCCCTAGCTTCTCGACCAAGCGATCATCGTCTTGATCAGAGTAAAGAGTCCACATGCCAGTTTCTTCGCCATTTTCTTCTTCTTCGTTGACAGCACAAAATCCCTCCCATCCCTCGAGAGGCAATCTTCTGTCTTGTCTGGTGCAGTCGAATGGACCTGTAATGTCAGGCTGAGCGTCCAAACGTACTCCATACTTGACTTTGTAAGTTTGTATTCCCTCCGACCAAAAACTAAGCTCTCCACAGGAAATCTACTCAAAGGTGCTACAGATGCAGACGGCAGTTTAAAACCCGCAGCTGTAATGGTCGGTATAAAACTTGATTTAGAAGCTAAAGTCCACCTAGCGGCACAGGTACGTGGTGATATTGTTATTGGACTTTACCAAGAACAAGTCATAGAAAAAGTCATTCCGGAATTTTGCATTAGCGAGGACGGAGCATATATTGATGAGATGGATTGGGGTTTTCTCGATGTTTTGATTGGAAAGATTTGTTGTTACTTTTAAGAATATGGGACTGAAGACTATTTTTTCTTTCATATCTTGGATCTTATATATAGTGTAGAGATGGAGTTCAAAGCATCGTCTAGTCAAACATCCTCACCTCCCAGATTGTATCTCCTGACACTCGATACACCCACTGTCTGAATCTCCTATCAAAGAGGAAGAAAAGAAATGCTACTACAATAAGACATTCACATCGCGGATATCTATACCAACTATCCCAACTCTTAAAGTGCTTGAATCACATAACATTACAGATGAATCTATGTTCGTTCATAGAGCTACGAGTAAGAGCATGAACACCAATCATCATCAATAGTCCCCTCACCAGTCCAGTGCTGGAACCCCTTCCACCTCCCTGTATTATAGCATGCTAGACCAAGTTTTGTAGTCACAGACAACCACGAGCAATGAGCACCGTTCTCTGTGGAGCGAGTTACTTGAGAAGTATCCATTAAACCAAACGATATAGAATATATAAGACAATACACTCCATGATCGAACCCTGAATGATATTCAGCTGCTCATTTTACTTATCCTGTTTAAGTGATCTTCATGCGATATTCTATGTTTGAGTTATACAAGTCTTAATCTTGTCTAGATACATACATACATACATACATACCCATTCATCTCTCCAGAATCTCCTCTTATCTCCCCGTCGCATTAAACATTAACAAGTCACCACCCCCCGAAACAAATCTACATTTCTCCTCATCCAGAATCTACATTTAGCGAACTTCGTAACCCCATTACACTTAAAGGATATCCACATCCTCACAACATCTCGTCAAACAGACTAAGAAATTCTCAATACAATATAACATCTCAACCAGGTAAGTGCTCGAGGCTAATGATCCAGTCCGCCAAGTAAACAAATCATCAAAGCCCCAGCTGAAGAATCCAGAAAAAGCATACACACTGCCCTACCCAGCCCACAACAGCCTATATAAGTGGTCGGTCGACTCTTGGAATGATACGATATACCCAACCCCATATGCGGGTATGCAATATCCCAACCACAAGCAAGTAAGAAAGCTCTAATTCGTATTCGTTTTCGAGTTGCTCCCCCTTTGAGCTAGACCCGCTAGCCCCTTGCCAGTCTTCCCTGGTATCGAGATCCGAATACGCACCCCCTGTTCCCATCACGTGTTTATTATTCCTCGATACCTATTAAGTCTCTCTTCACTCTACGGTTTTGATTTGAGATTCTCCAGTTCAATCCAATCCAATTACTTCTCCTCTATATCACCAATCACATCAACATCTCCATCCACCTACCCACAGCAAAAAATCCCCCAACATGTCCGCTCCCGTAGTCCTCGAACCCCAAGATCTCAATCGAGACTCAGCCTTCAAGAAGGCGCTCCACGGCCAAACCGGTCAGACCGATAGATCCTTTGTAAACTTGATGCACAAAGACAAGAACGCGCAGAAGCTAGCCGTGGACCAATATTTCAAGCATTGGGACAACAAGGATGCCAAGAATGAAACATCACTGGATCGTGATGCGAGACGGAAGGACTACGCAACGCTCACTCGTCATTACTACGATCTCGCCACTGATCTCTACGAATACGGATGGTGAGAATCACACGCCTCCCGTGCCATTACACTCCAAACATGTTCAACTATCGAACCACCACTAACCACATCTCGATGCAGGTCCCAAAGCTTCCACTTCTGCCGCTTCACCCCGGGCGAGTCCTTCAAGCAAGCCCTCGCGCGACACGAGCACTATCTCGCCCTCAAAATGGGTCTTCAACAAGACCAGCTCATACTCGACGTCGGATGCGGCGTTGGGGGGCCCGCGCGGGAAATCGCCAAATTCACCGGCTGCAAGATCGTCGGGTTGAACAATAACGACTACCAAATCGAGCGCGCGACACGCTATGCACAGCAACAAGGACTGGACCATCGAGTCAGCTTCGCGAAAGGCGATTTCATGCAAATGAGTTATCCGGATAATAGTTTTGATGGCGTCTATGCGATCGAGGCGACAGTGCACGCGCCCAGCTTGGAAGGTGTGTATAGCGAGATATTCAGAGTTTTGAAGCCGGGTGGTGCGTTTGGGGTGTATGAGTGGCTGATGACTGAGAAATACGATAATGATGATCCTCAGCACCGTGCTCTCCGTCTGGGCATCGAGCAGGGGAATGGAATTAGCAATATGGAGAAGATTTCCGTTGCACTTCAAGCCATGCAGAAAGCGGGCTTCGTCTTGGAACTCCATATGAATGTTGCGGACCTTGAGGGCGGGGATGCGATTCCGTGGTATTGGCCTCTGAGCGGTGACTTGAGATACATGCAGAGTATTTGGGAACTACCCACTCTCCTTCGAATGTCACCGGTTGGTCGCACGGTTGTGCATAGCTTCATTGGAGCTCTTGAGACTTTTGGTCTGGCTCCGCAAGGCACCCAGAAGACGGCTGATTCGCTAGCATCAGGAGCAGACTGTCTAGTTGCAGGAGCGAAGGAGAAACTATTCACACCGATGTATCTCATGGTTGGTCGCAAACCAGCAGTTTGATGAAAGGGGTGGTTGGAAGCACGCGATTAATTGTTCGAACAAGAACTGAATAAATCATCCACTACAGTATAGTATAGCATTCGTTAATTTGACTTTCATAATTCTTCACGTAATCGTCTCAATGAGTCACTGAGTACCTAGATAGAACATGGCTATTCGGTCACAATGTGCTCGCTTTGTTGACCACCAACAAGCTAACAATCCCAATACCCACCACAATACATCACCAGCAACAGCAAGCAAGCATCCTCTCCTGGTCCCCCGAACCCCCAGGAACCAACCCAATAACCCCCAAAGATCCCACCTCCCCCGAGTGAAAAACTAATCGCACTTGCTAAACAATAAGGCTTCCTCAACCAACACTGGATGAAGAAAAGTCTCGAGAGATGCATCGCACACCAAGACATACCCAAGTGGTCGAGTACCCAAGTGATTGTCAATAAAAATCCTTCACATTAGATTGCTACCTATATATTCAAAACTTTCCGATATAGCAATTATAAAAGTAAAGTTATCATCCCCCTCAATCCCATCCAATTAGGTAGGAAGATAGCTAGATCTAAGAGCTCGTCAGATTTTTCTGCCACAAAACATCCTTTTTTTAATGTTCATACACCTTTGAATTTCACGATTATCACCGTGAATTCGCCCCAATTCCCTAGCACATCTATTCTCCTGTTATCGCTGATTATAGGACCCGGTCTTAAGAATCTTGTCTGTCTCTTTTTACAATATAACGCCCGCTCCCATATGCATACCCAGAGCCTTACCAAATGCAATCCATTGACCTGGTCTACGCCGTCTTCATATACAAAGCCTTGACCTTTAATACGCCTGTCCAAAACCGTTCCCATTGTCGAGAAACATCAGGGGGCTTTTCTCTAACTCATAAGCTGGTATCATCGGCTTTTAACCCTACAAAAAAATCCCTAGTCATCTCAAAACTGAGCCAACTACTCGCCATACTTGGGGCTACTTTGAGTAGATTGGGTACAATTCCTTTATACATGCCCATGATACCTTCTTGTGCGACAATTCTTCCGACAGCATCGAAAATTGATTTGTACTGGTATCCCATACCGGACATTGTATTGATCTGGAAACGACGTCGAAGAACATCACTAAACCATGTTAGCTTTGGATTTTATGTAATATCAATGGGCACCTTACAATGGATATGTGCATGTCTGTGCAACTGCGCCAGATATAGCACCAGCTGCTAACTTTCGTACCGCACTGGGATTTTGGTCTCCCTCTGGCGTGAAATGCTTTCGTACAAGCTCATAAGTCATGAAGTTCAAGCCAACCTTATTTCTTCGTTAGCAATGCAATTCAAACAGCCAATAACCACTTGATCCACACTCACATATGGTGCAACGCCAGCGACAGTAGGTATAATTCCTCTATATAATGCAAGAATGCCTCCTTCTGTTTTGTACATCGTCTTCAACGTAGCAAACATGCCTGGTAGCTTAGTACCATGCTTTCCCAAAGCTGCAAATGATGCAGACTGAATGGATAATCTAGTGCGAACAATATCTAGAGGATAGGTAAAGAATACGGATGTAATTCCGGCGGCTCCACCGCAAATGAGACGTCTGAAAGAACCCAAGTCTGCGCCAGGAGTGGTCTCGAAGAACTAGAGGAGCATAGGAAATCAGCAATTGCTTTCATGAAATGCGCTTATTTGAATAAGAATTTCCGCAACGCTCAGTTGGAAAAGAAATAGGAGAAGTTCAAATATCCTTAGGCTCTTACCTTTTTATAGAAATTGTAACTTCCGAACTGAACAGCAGAATAGGGAACAATTCGAATACAGTTAGTGCCGTTACCCCTCATCAGTCCGCGCCAACCTTCCTCCTTCCACATCTTCATAAGCCCCTTTCCCACAGACATTTTGTATTCTTCTCGCCCTACACTCTGTATTTGAAAAAGAATCTTTAATCGTTCCAGAGGCGATACGACTGTTCTAGAAACCGCACCTGCCACTCCACCGGCGCAAAATGCTGCCACCACAGGTTGTGCTATCATCTCTCTGAGTTGCAGAACTCTGGGGGTATATTTGGGCGGGAGAACATCATTCTTAGACTTATAGCAGAATCAAATTGTTAGCATGTATACTAGATAATGAGCAAGATTAAGCAAGAGAACAGAACATACGGCAGACATTTCCAGGAAAAGTAGCTAAGCTATGTACCTCAAAGGCCTAAAAGCTCAACGCACACCTTAAGCCCACCACGCATGCGAACTCGAAGGACAAGATTTCGAGAATAAAGGGCGACTTTGATATTTGGTAGGATATATGAGAACGTAGACTTTCGAAGAGAAATCAGAAATCGACGATCAATTGCTGAATAGATTGTACATGTACAATTGGGTAAAGATTTAGTAGGTGGTGAGGTTGGCTGGGTTTGGCTTTTTTAACCCGAGCTTGACTGGGAGAAGATCAAGTACGGGGGGGGTAACGAGATAGTGTCACCGGAGGATAGGAGTATCAATATCAATTTAATCTAGGGTTTGATGATAGATGTTATCTCAGAGAAAAAGGAGAATCAGCAGGAAGGATAAGAGAAGGTAGTCAACAAAGTTATTCCAAATAGCAAATTGGTTGTTTTTTTCTATAAAAGAGAAGAAGTCTAAGAGAATAATTTAAAGGTCTATGTTGTTGTGACTGTTGTATTGAGGAGGATTCGAGGAATTGATATAGCTACCTGGTAGTAATAAGTACTGTTTGTACCTACAGTAGTAGAGAACTTTTATTAATTCGACCAGTAATCATAAGCGGAAAAAACTTTACTCTACCAAGGTCCAAGGTGGAGGTCATTTTGTGAAGGGTTTGTTCACGGAAAGTTCCATCTTTTCCTTAGTCATTTATTACGAAATTAATTGTGATTTGGTTGTTCTATTATATGCCTAGATAGGTAGGTAAGCATATATATGATTTAAGCAAGAGCAATTGATACATTTATATATAAATTCATTTTGACGTTAATTTGTTAAATATTCCTCATAAATTGGGACATTCTCATAAATGATGACTACTAATCGGCAACAACGTTGGAAGATCTTCCATATTGTGATGCACGAAGATAGAATTACCCCATCACTGAGAGCTACAACATGATGTCAACTTGCCTAGCACTTCCGTACTTTCCCGCAAGAACGATCGATACCTACCCACATGCGGAGTAGTATATACACAGGAATTCATCAACTCTGCGTACAAATTTGTTATTCGTTGGTAAATTCACGAGTACTGGCAAGTACCTACTCTCAAGTACCAACTCAGTATCAAATCGATAATGTATCTCTGCCTCCCATGCCCAGCTTTATTCAACAAGTACTAGGTGGTTATGTATAAAGAGTTCTGATAGTTCCATTCACAATCTGCAGAGTCCAGACTGTACTGCGATCGTACAAACATGGACACGAAAACAAGTCCATTATGAATCCGAGCCGAGTTCAAGCTTCCTTCCCTACATGCCAATATAGCATCCCATATCAAGTTTGAAATAATTGATATCGTATTCTGGTGATAGAAATTCTAAGTAGACAAGCTGTTGTGTATAAAATGTACTACTACGGTGTATGTGGACTCTGTCGTCTGCTAAATAGATAGCAATATCCTTATGCGAGTGTACTGAGACATCAATCCATCATCAATCTCGAACATTTTCATCTCTTCTATATCACTCGACTCCTTTTCATCACCCCTGACGAGGCCGAGTACTCACGACGTACTCCGCCTTTCCGTTCAAGAGTACCGATATTTCGGTACTTTCCAACCCACCTCCAGTTTCCCGGGCGGTCACCATTGACAAAAAATCGATTGTTTCTATTAATGCCTCAGGCTACAAGGCATCAAGAAGTGAAAATCCACGGAAATTTTTAAGCGAATTCACGCACTGGGCTCCATATTCTTAAAACTTCTTCGAAATTGTTTTCGTTCCTGCTGGATCATTCACGACTTCTCGACACCCCTCGACGACAAACCCCCCAAATCGCCAATCATGGGTAGGTGAACACAAATTCTATTCCAGCCATCGTGTGCAAGTGGAAATTGAGTGACTTTACGATGGATTGAGATTGAAAGTTGAAAGACTGAAATCACAAATCGCATCGTAAAAGATCTCAATTCTCTGCGCAACATTGTGTCTGTGCAAGACCGATGTGAAGAGCATACTTGATCATAGGCTGACGAGGAATTTTCTAACTAGGTATCGATCTTGACAACCACCACGTGCGCAACACTCACCGTAAGACGCCAAAGAGTGACAATGTCTACCTTAAGTTGTTGGTAAAGCTCTACCGCTTCTTGGCTCGTAAGTCAATCTCAAAAATCCTCGACTAAAGTGATATGCGCTAACTTTTGATTTCTTTCAGGCCGCACTGAAGCCTCCTTCAACAAGGTCGTTCTCCGCAGACTTTTTATGTCCCGCATCAACAGACCTCCCGTTTCCATCTCCAGAATCGCATCCCAAACCAACAAGGATGAAAAGAGAACCGTCGTCATCATCGGAACCGTCACTGATGACAACCGTCTTTTGTCCGTCCCAAAGGTCAGCGTTGCTGCTCTCCGCTTCACCGCTACCGCCCGTGCCCGCATTCTTGCTGCCGGTGGTGAGGCCTTGACCTTGGATCAATTGGCTCTCAGATCCCCAACTGGAAGCAACACCGTTCTCCTCAGAGGACCAAAGAACTCCAGAGAGGCTGTCAAGCATTTCGGTTTCGGACCCCACAAGCACAAGGTAACAAATCCAACATGGCTTTTTATTGGCACAACTGACAAATCTACAACAGAAACCATACGTCGAGTCCAAGGGACGCAAGTTCGAGAAGGCTCGTGGACGCAGAAGGTCCAGAGGTTTCAAGGTCTAAATGGCCTCATTGGGGAAGGGACGTTACGAACTTCTGGCTTTGCTGGTCTAGATACCTCCAAGAAGGGTGGAGGGATGTCAACAAGCTATTTAAGGCGAGCTGGATCCGCAGTACAGTCTTTAGCATATGAATACTACAAGAAAATGATGGTATCGATGCAATTAGGAGTAGTAATCATGAATAATTTGATTCCACCCTAGCTCAATTCTTCATTTGCACATGTGACAGTGGATGTGATCACAATATTATTCATCCATGCAGTTTGAACGTGCTATTATACATTTTACATTCTCAATCATCTCTACTTACACATCATTGACATAACCTAAACTTGCCGCGTCATTGTACCCATTCCGCCTAAGAGCTACAAAGTACGCTTCCTTCGATTCCTATTGATTGTGAGCATATGGGTTCTCTTCATTAGTTTCCAGGCTCACTCACGCTCCTCGATGATTCCGGTTTTTCTCTATGCACCACGGCAAACATTTTCTTCAACTTCGACTCCAACTCTTTATCCTCCGCGCCCTGATAGAATTTACACACAAAATGACCCCCAGGTCTCAGCGTATCGAAGGCAAATTGCAGAGCCGCGTTGCAAAGATCCTACATGTAGATAGGTAGGTAGTGGTTAGAAAGAATGGTGTGGTTGATTGAAACAACGAGAGAGAAAAGAGGGGGAAGGAAAGGAAATGAAAGAAAAATAATAACATACCATACTCCCCGCGTGATCGGAAAACTTGATACCGGTCGTGTTCATCATCCTATTATACGGGTCACTCAGACTTCTCTTCCAAAAACCGGTGGTTTGCTCCCAGGGAGCGCACATGTCACTTAGTACTACGTGGACCATTTTCGTGGCGTCTTTCTCGGATTCCTGAGACGGTTCGTCTGATTGTGATTGTGAGGGTGCGGAGCGCGTGGGATGGATTTCCCCGGCTTCATTATCGTCCATGTGGCGTTCGAGATCTATGTAGCTTGGTTCTTCGGCGGCGGCGATATCGAGGGGCGCGGGATCATCGACATTTTCGTCGTCGTCGGGAGAGGTGAATAGAGGTCTGCGCGGACGGCCGCGCTCGGGATCGAGAAGAAAATTCTTGACGGATTTTTGGACCCGTCGCGAGAGAAAATTTCCTTGGATCGTGGAGACGCCTTGGGGAGGTTGCGCGGGGATGATGTCGATGCCGAGGATGCGGCCGTGGGGTTTGGTGCGCTCGTATGCTACCTGGTGGGGGAGGGTGAGTGGAATGGGTTGATAGGTAGATAGATAGATAGATATGCAGAGAGGAAGAGAAGAAGGGGAGAGGAGAATATAAAAACGTACCTGAGACCAACTTCCCGGCGCATAACCCTAAATATACTTCTCAACAAACTATTCTGACCTCACCTCGCAATCCAATCCATATCATCTCAATTCATAACCATAAACAGAGAGAAAGAACTCACCAAATCCACCACCGTCTGTCCCCTTTTGAAAATCTTATACTTCGTATCAATCTGCAATCAAGCACCTCATTAACTAACACTCATATAAACACACCTCCCCTCCCCCCAGATCCCTTCAGATCCCCTCCCCTCCCCTCCCCTCCCTCCCTCTCACCCCCCAAAGTCCACACACACACATACACATATACACACATAACATACAAACAAACAAACATACCTCCAACAATTTAAACGCGGCTCTACTCCTCAACCCCTGAACCTTCGCCTCCTTCGCCCAGGAATCCTTACCCTGCCGACTTTTCCATCTCGTCGACGAAGACGAAGAAGAGGCGTTGCGTACATGTACATGTACGTGCGTGTATGTATTTCTTCCCAGCCCATCATTAATACCAACATCATTCCGAAAATCCCCAAATCTACCCCGCGCGATCGCCGACCCCGCTTTGCGATTGAGCAGCGCAGGAAAACATGAGTGATGTCGAGGGAGGAATCCAAGTCCCGAGGTCAAGAATGTGGGGTTTGATCGAGGGGGTAGCATAGCATAGGGTTCTGTGGTGCAGAGAAATTGTTCGTGGCTGGTTTGGTGAGTGGGAAGTTTGTATGTTTCGGGTGTGTATGGTATGATGAGATTGAGATTGAAGAATTTTATCGTATGAGCTCAAATTTTGTTAATTTAAAATACTTATTTGTGGCCTTGTTCAAAACTTTTTCTATTAGTGTTTATGAGAGCGCAAAGAGCTTTTTCTCCCAAGTAGATTAAAGCATACGGTATTACTTGGTCATACAATCAAAAACTCAGATACTGTCACATTTACAAGTAGAAGATAGTTTTATTCCTTGAACACCAATGATGCAGTTATTCATTACCTACATACACAAAACACCAACGCCTCATGAGCCTGTATTCTCCCTATCCTAAACGCCCAATTATTCCAGTATTTCCATACAGCCTATGCCAAGAAACTTGCTCCAGCACCCCTACGATCCTTCTTCAAAGGCGAGAATGCTCCAAATCCGCCAGCGGCCCCAAGACCACCCTTCAATCCTCCCCTTGGTCCAGCAAGACCACCTTTACCCAGCAGCCTAGCTGGTCCAAGTGCAATCTTTGCTGGTTTCTTAGGAGCTTCACCATCCTCGTCATCGAACAGTGTCTTGCTGCCACCCCCGAGAACTTTGCGTTTCTTCTTCTTTAGCTCAGGCTCTTCAACAGCCTTGATCTTAGTTTTCACAGGCTTTTTAGTCTCTTGTTCTTCAGAATCATCTGGTTCTTCGGGCTGCTCATTTTCGTCCACGTCCTCTTCTTCCGCAACCTTCTCTAGCATAGGTCGTGCTTTGATTTTTCGGGCTGTAGGCTTCTTTCGTTGTTCATCTTCGTCCCCGTCCTCTTCCTCTGTAACCTTTCCAAGCGTACGAGATTCCTTGAGTTTCTGGGTTACAGATTTCTTATTCTTGGTACCAGCCTTCGCCTCAACCAACACATTTTTCTCGTCACCAGAATTATCGGCCAATTTCTTTCTTGCCTTAAGCTTGGGCTTGACTTGCTGTGCAGGTGATTCAGGTGTTTCCTCTTCTTCTTCTTCTTCTTCAATAATCTGGTCCTCCTCGGTGGAGTTCTCTCGCTCCGTTACTTTTTCAGCCTTATCCTCAGATGATTGTCCATCTTCTGGTGTATCTGGAGCCATGTTGATTGTCTTGTTAAGATAGGGTGTAATGGAAAATGTTGACTTTTCTCCCAAAATTGTTTGATCAACTCTACCTCTATTCGCTCCAGGTCGCTTTCCGCGCCCCGCAATTCCATCTGGTGTCCCGATAGTAATATCCATGCTCATCTCCCTAGCGGATCTCTTGCGAGAGTCTTTCACTGGAACAGTCTCTCGGCTCGTGATAGCGGGGAGTTTCAATGCTGCATTGCGTGCTTCATTCAGTTCGGCCTGACATTCTTTCAATTGTTCTCTTGCTGCTCGCATTTTTGTGCGGAGCTGCTCAACCTTGCTCTCCAAGGATCCAATCAGAACCTGAGAAGCAGCCAACTCCTTCTGTGTTTCCTTATGAGCTTTTTCGATGTCTCGTTTCGTATGGGCGAATTCTTTTCTGAGAACTTCGATTTCCTTCTCTCCACCTTCCTGTCCTTTCTCGTTGTCGCGAAGCTGCTCGATTTCTCCTTCCAAAGTTTCCACTTGAGCTTGAGAAGCGGCCAACTCCTTTTGGGTATTTTTGTGTGCTTTTTCGATATCTCGCTTCGTAGACGCAAACTCCTTTCGAAGAAATTCAATTTCCTTGTCTCCAGATTTCTGTCCCTTGTCGTTGCTGCTCTTCAATAGTTCTATTTCATTTCGAAGAGCCTCGATCTCCTTCTCCCCAGCCTTTTGTGCATTCTCACTGTTACGCTTTACAAGATCCAATTCCTTTCGGAGAGCCTCCGTTTCCTTTTCTGAAAGCTTGTGGCTCTTCTCAATTTCACGTTTCTCTTGTGCGAATTCTTTTTGGGCAATAGATGCTTCTTTCGACATTTCTTTCTTGGCCTTCTCCCTCTCTCGCTTCTCTTCGGAAAGGTCTTTCTGCAAAGCCTCGATTTTCTGTTGGAGTTCCGTTTCCCTTGAATGGTCATTGTTCTTCTCGGTGGCGCGGCTCAAGGCCCGACGCTCTGTCTCTAATTCCACCTCTAAAGTGCTAACTTGCCGCTGAAGTGCCAACTTCTCTGCTAGGATCGATTGTTGATGTGCCACTTGAGAACGTAAATGCTCCAACTCTGGTTTGAGTATAGATAACTCGCGGCTGAGCGCCAGTTTTTCGGTAAGAACCTTTGTCGAGTCCATCGTTAATCCACTCATAGATTCCAGCTCCGTCTATACAGCCATGAATTAGTATGACAATCAGATATACCCGGGGGATTCTTAGTACCTTGATATTATTGAGTTCTCGTGTTTGAAGTCTTAAATCTGTTTCCACCTTCTTAACATCTTCTTGAGCCTGGTCAAGTTGTGCTCTTAGATCTTCATTCTCTTCTTCTAATCCATCAATTCGATCATCCCCGGTTGCCAGTTGAAGGTGTAATTCATCCGCCTCATTCTCCAATAAGAGGATCTGTAATCTCAATCGCCTACTTGCTTCATCTTTTACGATTAACTCGGTATTTTGAAGGGCTTCCTGATATGCCAATTCGAGACATTGTGATTTCATCAATCGCTATAAATTTGTGTTAGCCCTCAAAACTCCTATCTAACCAAAACAATAATAAAGCATCATACGTACACTTTCGATGTGTTCATCATCATTATATGATAATACTTGATCCATTTTAAATTTATATTTATGAAAATAAAATGTGTTTTAAAATACCTGTTAAATGGTCGAAATGTTCAATCGCGTTCGTAAGTCAACAAAGTCTCCCTAAGCGTTAGATGAGTTGCCGGGTCGACGTGATTTGCCCCAAATATTCAGCCTCAGGCATAAAAACCTTTATTACCACACCCTACTTGTGATACGATTTGCATCGCCCCGCGAGGTGGAACTTGCCGAATTGAATTAAGGACACGCTTCGAGCTTCGTAAGTGTTTGGTGATGTGATCTTGAATTCTCAATGCTTCAGTTTATTTGATAAAGCATCACTGGTCACAATCATTCGATTATCCTCTGCTATCGACATTACCAATTCTAACCTTTAGAGGCATCTTGGCCTTGCATTTTATTTAAGATGCATTTCCTCAAGACATTGGTAGCTTCCTTGCTACCTTTAGCTGTTCTAGCTGCCAAAAAGCCCGCGGTCGATAACTTTGAACGATACCATACCAAATCTCTCTCATCTACCCCATTGAAGCTCGATGATAGTATCTATAGCAAATTGACCACTGCACCAAGAGATTACTCTGTCGCCGTGTTGTTGACAGCTTTAGAAAATAGATTTGGTTGCCAGTTATGTCGTGAATTTCAACCAGAATGGGATCTATTGTCAAAGAGTTGGATCAAAGGAGATAAGCAAGGAGAATCTCGCCTGCTCTATGGAACACTTGATTTCATGGATGGCAAAGGCACTTTCCAATCTGTATGTTTAGCGCTACGATACTACAATCAATCAATACTAATTGCTGGATAGCTTAATCTACAAACTGCCCCCGTCCTTCTCCTGTTTTTACCTACCGTTGGCCCTCATGCCTCTACAATCAATGGCCCTGTGAGATACGACTTTACAAACGGCCCTCAAACTGCTGAACAAGTCCACTCTTGGATTACTAGACATCTCACCGATCGACCACATCCTCCAGTCCAACGACCCATCAATTGGCTTCGTATTGGCGCAGTCACCACTACTATTCTGGGAACGATCACCTTTATCAGTGTTGCATGGCCATATGTCTTACCCGTCGTTCAAAACCGAAATGTCTGGGCTGCAATCAGCTTGATTGCCATCCTTTTATTCACCAGTGGTCATATGTTCAACCACATTCGAAAAGTTCCATACGTTGCTGGTGACGGACGTGGAGGTGTCAGCTACTTTGCAGGTGGATTCTCAAATCAATATGGATTGGAAACACAAATTATTGCTGCTATGTGTAAGAAATTATCTTCCATACCTATACATATTTACTGGCGACAATACTGATTATATCTCTCAGATGGGCTTTTGTCCTTTGCAACAATCTCTTTGGCTCTCAAAGTCCCACGAATCTCAGACCCCAAAATTCAGCAAGTCGCAGTCCTCGTATGGAGTGGAGTTATCTTCGTTATGTACAGCTTCTTGCTTAGCGTTTTCCGTATCAAGAACGGCGGATACCCATTCTGGCTCCCACCTTTCAGCTGAACGGTGTAATCTACGAGTCTGTTAAGTGACCAAAGAGATATCCATGTATCATATACTGCCCTCCATTCACGTGGTCGGTTTCACATACTTACTGAAAAGCGAATCTTACATTTCCTTGGCCCCAATGCTTGGCCTCAACTAAAAATATTTTCAGAATTAAATATTTCATTTTTGATATAGCTTTCACCGTGTGATAGTCAATACATGACCAAGTGTTCTTTTCAACTACCAAAAGTTAGATTACAATCAAACATCATATTTGTTAGAAAAATCGTTAGACTGTGTTTGTGATTGCTTGAAACGAATGACCTGACAACAATCCCACGAACTTTGCGACTTCATAGGGTATTCGAATGTTTGGTTTTATCTAGGAAATTCTTCTCCCAGTTATCAGAGAATTGCCAATTTCAAATATGCATAAAGCTGTCTGTATTCCATTCTTTGGGACTGGATGTTGTGCAGAGCTCGGCGACTAGTAAACTCACTTTATACATTCAGAAGTGGCTGCGAGGAGGTTCATGTCGCATAATAGAGTCAAGGTCAGCAAAGTGAATGAACCGAAATCGAAAAAAAAATTCAGAATGTAAGATGTTGAACCCTGAAAGGTTTGAAAAATTGTTTCATGTAAACCTATTGAAATACTTGGAGATAATATACACATCAGAATTGCTGCCAATCCATCGTAATGAGAAGAGCCAAATTGTGTTCCAGAAGGGAAATAATGGTAACGAGGGCTGTGAATCGAGCTCGGCTCACACAAATTGTAAGACTTATATATGTGATCTTTGGTTCTATTTGGGAGGGGCCACTTATCGAAGGAGGGGGGGGGGTTGCAAGATGCATTCTACTTCTTCTGGGCCGAATAATGGATTGACCGGCCACCAGCAAGAAACGTACAATGCGAAGAGAGCTTCATTATTCAGTACTAGCCTGTATATACGGAGGCCATAAGATTATTGTAGTCCAATAGTATCAGTGCTCTACCGAGGGTTCTTTCATTTTCAATTGCTATCTCAAAGCAAATGTCGCGGAGACCAAGGAAGCAGCTCTCATGTTTTGATCTAGTCTCCATTCTCACAACCACCAGCATCCAGGGCGCGTTTTCAATTGCAGTCTGAAGGTACATATTCTTCTGGATTAAATCGCTGGTAGTCGCAAATCTCGGCGGTAGTTTCTTCGAGTGACTTACTAAGGACTGCTCTATCTAAGTGGGAATAGCATAACGAGCTTGTATCGGCATCCGGGGCTATTCCCGCTTCTTTATGCTATGACCACCAAGTATCAATAGGTAATATGTGGTTTCTTGACGAGTATTAGACTGTACCCGGCCAAATCCAGCGGCAGTCCATCTGTAAGAAAAGTGTCTATCGCGGCACTACTTGAAGCGAGAGTAGATGAAAATGCGTGGCTATACACTGGAAAACTTGAAGATGGTAGTTCTGAACCAGATGCTGAAGTATTATTGGCCTTAATTGCACTTTGTTGCTAGCCGTAATGGGATTGTGGGTTTTGTCTAGAGATGCTATATTCTGACACCCGTATAGTGAACATGTCGAGTGTGGAAGTTTATTCTTCCCAGGTAATTAAGGGGGAAGTATGGTGCCGTTTTGAGCCGCAGGGATATCGTCTAGTTGCCACGGCGATGACTGAAGATCAGGTTCTGGCGGCGTTCGTGAAGTTGTAACGCGATACATTGGTGCGTTTGCCGTATTAGCCGAATAGATGTTGTCGAGGCTGGTTAGCTCACAGTCATGAGGAGTAGTGTATCTCGAGATACAGCGTTTAATCTCTGGGAGCGGTTGCTGTTGTGATACCAGATCAACGAGAGGATCAATTGCCCGAGATCCTGAATTGTTTGTATAAGGTATACAATTCCCTGCTTCCAGTAATGAATTGGCATGGTGAAATGAAGTATAGTGATTGTCATAGCTAGCAATGCCTAGCATCGAATATCTCTTGTGCGATGCTGTCAGCCTGAATAGTATCATTTCAGCAAGTTTGTTATGAAGAGGGTGTTCGGTATGATAAAGAAGTTGAAAAAGTGTGATTGAGTTGTGGAGGAGTAGAGTTGTTTGAAAAAGGATCCAACCGGAGTGGTGACATTCCTTCCTGACAGGTTTGTTTTGGAGAATGGGAATTTTCAAAATTTCTGTTTGTCAAAGCAACTGTTTAGGCAACAGTCTAAAAGTATACATGAGTGCGAGTGTATGAGTAAAAGAGGTTGACTCGACTTGGTTAGTTGCTTCAAAATTCGGAAGTTACAAGTTTATATGAAGATGTGTAAATAACTCTAATCATTCTCCAGCACACGATCAAACTGACCGGCCAGCAGTGGGTCTATAAATTATGTTATGAACCGCGGGTCTACGACAGGTAAAATGCAATTCTAAACTCTTCTAGCTAAATAGATGCTTTTAATCTTTCCGCGGGGGGGGGGGCACAATTTGCAAACATATCCTAACCATGTTCTCAATCCTCCACTGGTTTGTATTTTATGGCAGCGAGAAGGGGTGGCATGTGATATACTGCTCCAGCAGCCATGACTACCCCAGCAAAGACAATAGCCTTGACAAAATAGTCCGTATTGAGATCCACCAAAGCTCCAGCAATGGGTGGCCCGACGAGGATCCCAATTGCCGCTGTGATCCAACTCATGCCCAACCGAGTTCCTATGAGACTCATTGGGGGCGATAATGTTGGGTGTGCCACCGCTGCAGCAGGTGCTTTCACGAGGACGCCAGATATGAATCCCCAGATAATACAAAACACTATAAAGCCCGCTTCATTGTGTATGCCTAACCAAGAGAACATTACGATGACAGCGGCAACGGTCCAAAAAAACAAATATTTGGATGGAACCGACGAGGTTGGCAATCAGGAACGGAACTGTTCGACCAAAGAATGAACGGGCGTTGGTAATAGCTAGGAGGTAAAAGGAGAGATATTCATCAATCTTGAGGCTGTAAATGGCGTAGGAAGGGATATAGAAGAGGGGAATGTAGAATGCTACAAATATGAGAAGAGAAACGGCGAAGCCTAGGAATGGAAGTTCAGTGAAAGCTTTAAAATCGAAAATGGCTTTTCCAGTCGCGGACTTTGGCCCTTTGTGTCGGCTTAGTATAGCGAGGGAAACAGCCAGTGTGCCGAGACTGATAAAGCCAATGGCGCGGACAGCCCAACAAAATCCAACTTTTGGTTCTAGTCTCCGAAACATAATTGGAAAGATTATTCCACCTAGTCAATTTCACTTAGTATCAGTCGTGCCATGCCAGATGAGTGTTAACCAACCTATGTTTGATCCTAAGGAGGCACATCCGATCATGAATGGCCGTTTTGTGGTGAATTGAGTTGAGATGATGGCGAGTGTTGGAATATAAACTAGGCTGGCGCCCAGGCCAATGACAATTCCCTAGGAGAGGATCATTTGATAATACTTCGTAGAGAGGCTAAGCATCATCGTTCCAAACACAATCAAGAAGCACCCAGTGGCCATCAAGATACGTATATAACCTCGATCAAATAGTGGCCCGGATACAATGCCAACAAACACCACCAGAAATGATTGTATACTGCCAATCCATGATATCGATAATGCAGACTCAGGCAGAGTGGTGATATAATAAGACTGAAAAGCTCCAAAGCTTGCAGTGATTCCCCTTTCTTTGACGAGTCAACATAAATATATATTGTAATGGATTCAAGACTAAAAATCACATATACATACCAAGTATTTGAATATAAAAAATGCACCGAGTACACATAGCCAAGCGCGTAGTCCACCGTTTGGCGACGTGGGTGGAGACTGCGGAGTGGATTCGTGAAGTGGGGCCTTTGCATCCGGGGAAGAGTCTGGGGAAACTGCATCTGTGCGTTTATTCTTCTCCTCGTCACTGCCAGTAGCCATCGTTGGTGACCTTGTGACTGACTACTTATGAATCTTCGACAACGCAAGTGCTGGACAGTGTTGACAAGATTATACTCTGCTAGCCTTGCCTTCACTTCAAAATAATATGTAGGTAGATATCGCACTGTAGCAGGAGTAAATTAGCTCATTATTTACAGGGTTTCAGTGCGGTATGTTGGCTGAATAGGGGTACGCATCTAAATCCTAAATCCTAAGTCAATTAAATCCGAGATATGGAAGAGAGGAATCGAATGGACCAACCAAAATATCAATATTCGTCCACCATGCGTACCGAATTACACTATCATTATTATCACATATTATGCAGGACAGCTTACAAAGTTTTAACCTCCTCTTGGAAGTCTCACTACTGATGTAGGTATTTAATTGACAGCAAGCTTCTTGCCTTGACTGGGATGATGTCTACAAAAGGACATAGGGTGAACTCAATGCGTATCAACGATAGTAAGTTTCCGGTTGATGGTTGTGGGTAGGTTTGTAACATTATTACAGAGTTTCACATTACAAATGACAGTATTCGGATGTGCTAATCCTTGAAAATTGAAAATCGTTGCACACACGAGTGACGCCAAAGGCAACATCCGTGACAGCATATTCTAAAAAGCCGACTTCCAGGTGTGAAAAACGCATCCAGATGGGGAAATATTCTGAGAAAGATCTCCCATGCCTAACGGATCATCGAGTAAATTCACTCCTACCCTTGACTTCAACTCTAATTGACAAAATATCGTAAAGTTGACCAAGAGATAGTTTTCTCATCGACAAGATACCCTGCAATGGCAATGGCTATCGAAGCAACAATGTAGGTTGTAAAATTCAATGATAGTTTTGAAGAAGAAATATCATCCTACAATATTCGAGGTGTCGCTTTACAAAAGGAATTGTTGATCCCCGAAGAAGACAGAGGCATCGAGATTTATTTCGAATTGCTAAAGGCGAGCTTGAATGCCAACAGTGACCATGAGTCAATGTTTGAATCTCATCTTACTTCGGTAGATTATGTGAATGGAGAAGACAACTTTGTCTGAAACAATCGGGGCTCTGTTCATGTCAATTTTCAACTCCAATGGTAAGTTTTCCGTTTGATTGACTTGGTGATTGATCCATTTGAATCCCAGACTAGTTCTCACGGCGAGTTCATTTTAACTGGAGGTAGATAATTCAAGACGAGATTTAAGGGACATACCAAGTTCTACTTGGTATGAAAAATTTGCTTCAGGCGGATTGATTCATGGTCCAATGTTTCAAGGTCTTTCTTCCACAAAAGGAGTAGATCAAAAGGAACTCGCCGAGGCGAAGATCTCGTTGAAGCCGACAGCAAGACTAATCGCGGGAGAGTCTCATTATGCAATCCATCCTGCAGCTTTCGATGCAGCGATGTAACTCTCTATTGTAGCTTCACATTCAAGCACTGCTACCAAATTTGAGAAAGTAGTTATGCCTGTCAGCATCGGTAGTATCAAAATTTGGCCAAAAGTAGTCAAGTCCACAAAAGCCTCTGCACATTGCGTCGCTAGAGGTGCATTGAAAGGGGTACGAGGATTGGTGGCAGATTTAATACTGCTTGGCGACACACAAAGCAAGATTCTTGAAGTCAAAGATATCCTCCTCATTGCATCAGACCAGAGCTCTTTGGTATCTAGCAAAAAGGACAGTCCTTATCTGCGATTAACTTGGAAGCCACTATTCAAAGAGCTTAATGATGATCTTGTATCGAGACTTTTCCCACCTATTACATTAGACGACAGTGCAGTCCCATCTTCTCTAAATCTTTAGCACTGTATCAACTCCTAAAATTTCGGGAAACACATAAGGGGGTACTCGCCAAAGGATTAGAGGTTCCGTATCTACAGCGAACGCTCGAATGGACGAGTGAGCGATTAGATCGTATGCGCAATGATCCTCTATCGCCTGGAATAAAGAAGAATGAACAGCTCCTTGAAATGGGCCACGGGATCCTAGAAAATCTTCTGGTCGCGCGATGCCGATCCAGCGCAAAGTCTCTGGGATTACACCAAAGGGAAAGGAATAGATGTGATATTGTGTAATGCTCGGGACGAGAAGATGCATAATTATTGGTGTCGTATAGCACCTATGGGACGATTTGTTGAAATTGGGCGAATGGAGGTTCTAGAAAAGGGGAAGCTCAGCTTGGTCATCTTTCGACAAACTGCTACATTCGCTTCTTTCGATCTGGAGGTAACATGTAACTTGGGGCCAAAGGTCATTGGCGAGTAAGTACACCTTTATACCATTCAAAACGAGGTAACTTAATGAAGTTAAATTTTTTTAAGTCTACTGACTAGTTTAAACCATTTCAAGCGTGTTGGCCTTATTCGACCCCTACCACACAGCGTACTATGTCTCAGAAATTGACAAAGCTCTCATGACTCTTGGCAAAGGTGCCCATATTAGGAAAATTGTTGTCGGGTATGAACGGAGGAGTAGCACTGGACTCAAGGTGATATTCCCATGCGGCGATGGACAGAAATGGCATCTAGTGCTAATATATCACAAGGTCCGATTTAGTCCTTTCAGATCGAAATTTGATCCAAATGTAGTTTATCTGTTAGTTGGCTGTCTGGGAGGTCTGAGACGTTTGTTCGGCAGATGGGCTGTCAAATGAGGTGCTCGAAGCCTGATTATATCTCTCGTAGTGGAAATTGAAACAAGAACACGGAAGCTTTTCTCAGCCAGCTTCGACCTTCAAGGCGTCAGTACTCAAATCGTCCAGGGTGATGATGTTGCATCGTTAGCGGATGTCAAATCGGCAGTCAGCAGTACTGATCTACCAATCAAGGTTGTCATACAAGGAGCTTTAACACTTCATGTAAGCCTTGACTATCTTCACTGCTATGCGTGCTAACTTCGATCGCTAATGTTTTCGACAGGATAGACTTTTCAGTTCCATGACCCTTGATCAATTCGGGTCCACAGAACGCCCTCGAGTAATTGGCACTCTAAATCTTCACGAGGCCCTGAAAATTCACCGTTGGACTTCTTTCAAATGTGGAGTACATGGACAGTGATGTTTGGCACAACAACACAGAGCAACTAACTCTCCTCCAATGTTTTCATGGATACGTTTACCTGTTACAGACAAAGCTTGGGATTGCCTGCTACTTCCTTATCGCTTAGCCAAGTTCTTGGGATCGGAATCGTCAGTTATATGCCCGAGTAAGTTGATATTAAAAATGTCAACCATATTTCCATCTCTAACAACGTGCACGATTAGATACCAGCAAGCTATGATACGTAAGGGCTTTTATGGTAACGAAGAGGATGATTTCTTGCAATATTGCGATGCTGGAATTGGTCCTGCGTCGCAAACAACAGCGTACGAATTTGATCCCCTAGCTCAAGGACATCTTCTTGTGGGAATCAAACCTGCAGGGCTACAAGAAATCAATTGAAAGTATGCATCGATGTCATGCCTTGGTCATTTGATCCACGTTCCCGCGACTTAGTCTAAGCTACGCATATGCTTTCGGGTGTTACGACATTGGGCAAAGAGACTGGAGATCAATCGGAAGGTTTGAGTATTGTTGAACGCATCCGACACAAGATTTCGAGGCTTCTATACGTGGATTTCGATGAAGTCGACACTGAGACACCAATCAATAAATATGGAATCGATAGTATGATAGCGGCCGAGATTCGAAATTGGCTTTTCACGAAGTCTGGCAAAGATGTTTCTCTCTTAACGATGCTTGGAGCAACCACAACGCTGACAACGGTGGCAGGAGTTGTCTCCAAATCATAGAAGCGATAGAGATGGATCAGGAGGATGTTGAAAATGTAAATAGAACAATCAATGTCAGACTAAATTGTGAAATGTGAGTTGAATAAATACTACGAGAAGAGATTCGAAAGCAAACCAAGCTCAGCCAAGCCAGTCCAATCGATCTCCGATGTATTGATGGTCATGTGATAACCAGACTCGAACCTCGGCCTCTCGAGTGCCTCTATTATAAGGCAACAATTAGCTATTAGCAGGTAAATGCCTGATTCTCAAAAAACTTTAATTGAGTTTCCCAGGTTCATCATTAATCTTGTCTTGTCTTTCTTGTCGTCTCGGTTCCTTTAAGCTTGCTTCTTCTATTCTATTTCCTTACCACCCAAATCTACTTAATAATTTTATCTTCTTCCTCGACCTCTCCATCTCACTTACAATATCAGAATTGATATCTTCACATACTTGAACTCATACTAGATATCATAATTGATATCGGTCAGCTCTTGAGTAGTGAAGAAAATCTTATTTGATTGGCCTTTCTCGTCATCTTTCTCAATTAACAAAATGTCTCGTGGTGGTACAACACTCTATGTCACCGTATGCGCTCCACCTCCACAACCTCCACACACCAACTTATATACTTATATTGAAGCTTCAAAATGCATACTAACCAACATTTCTCATCTAGGGCTTCGGAGCTGGAATCCGTGCTCGCGATCTTGCCTACGAATTCGAACGGTATGTCAGCTAAAAATCGATATCTCGATGATTGTCCTTGATCGCGATAATCCATTTCCCCATCATCGTCCATCCTCGTCCCTTACTCCGTCGAGACTTCGCCGTCAATTTCGTCGCATACATTATCCCCTCTTCCCAAATCCTCCACGTTCGATCGAGCGGTCGCACAACGATACGAACAGTTTATATTCCCACATTTGTCTCGCGAGAAAAGTTCGAATTGCGGCGGATCGATTACTATTTATTATACAAATCTTATACATCTCTTACTTTCATCCATATATCTATCCAATATATTCCCTATTCGATAATACATTGAGTCTAACGATGTCTTCATAGCTATGGCCGTTTGGTCCGCTGTGATATCCCAGCTCCTCGAACCGCAGCATCTCGTCTGTAAGTATGCCCAATATCTTATTGGTAACCACTCTAATATCGTTGACACCTGAAGTAGGTTTGCCTTCGTTGAGTATGAGTCCCGTCGTGATGCCGATGATGCCTACCATGAAATGCACAACAAGCGTATTGGTCGCGATGACTTGTTGAAGATTGAAGTAAGTCTTCATGACATCACCAGAAATGGCGATTTCTAATTCATAAATTAGTGGGCCCGCACACCTCCTTCGGCTTCTTGGCGATTCGATACTGGTGAAGAACGCGCAGCCCGTCGTGATGGAGGTAGAGATAGTGGCAGAGAGCGTGGTGGAGGTAGCCGCCGTTCTCCTCGTCGTCGTTCAACCTCTCCCCGACGTGGCCGTGGCGATTATTCTCCCCGTAAGGATGACCGAGACCGCCGGGACCGGGACTACGACAGAAGAGACCGCGACCGAGCCGATCGCTCACGTAGCCCAGACGATAGGTAAGCATTCTTGAAGAAATTTGAGTTGGATATAATCTTACCCATCATATACAGGGATCGCGAAGTTAAGGAAGAACGTGATGACGTCCGTGAACCCGGAGCCAATGGAGATGACAGGAAAGGTGAATCCACATCATTCAAACTACCATTATGACCAAATCTCTAACTCATCTGATAACTATCAGTTACCATGGATTCTCCTCCACCAGCGCATGATGAACTGGACACCGCCGAGTAAACAGGTCCTTCCTAGGTTGAGGCTTTTACACGGCAGGAAAAAGTTTATTGTGTCTTTTGGCTGCTGATATTTCCTTCTTTGCCTGAATTTACCATTGTGTTTCTAGATTCGATTCCCCGAGACCTTTACGACTCGAGCCAGGATTTGGACTGGCAACATAATCTCAACATCTTTTTAGGTCAGCAGCAGCATACAAATGTGGTCATAAGTTTTCATGGGTAGTTACTAGTATTAAAAATTCCAAATTGAGCACATAATTAACACTATATTTGATTCCATTTGTGTGTAAAAGAGTGTGATGACATATGACCTTACTTGATAATTGTTAATGTGTTTTTCGCAACACTATTTCGTCTAGTTGTAGAAGAATTCTATAGCATAATCCATCTATCCATCCACTCACCATTTACTTCCTATCAAAGACGATACATCTTCCCCAACCAAAATGATATTTCCTTCAAACAAATACATGTATCACAATGATGTGACACAACATAACATGACATGATATAACTCCCGAAAATGCCTGCGTCCATCTCATCTTCTCTGACCCCATCCCATCTTATGCCATCCCATCTCATCCCATCTCATCCCATCTCATCCCATCTCATCCCATCTCATCCCATCTCATCCCATCTCATCCCATCTCATCCCATCTCATCCCATCTCATCCCATCTCATCCCATCTCATCCCATCTCATCTGACCCCATCCCATCCGTTCCGTTCCATTCCGTTCTGCCATACAGTAATGCATATATGCATACATACAACCACCATGTGACAGACGCGTGGTTCTTGAATGTTTTCCCTTTTGCCCTTTTGCCCTTTTGCCCTTTTGCCCTTTTGCCCTTCTGCCCTTTTTTCTTGCTCTTGCTCTTGCTCTTGCTCTTGCTCTTACTCTTGCTCTTGCTCTTGCTCTCGCTCTATGCCTTCCCTCAGTCACCCGTTTCTTCTTGGTGTTTTTTGTTTCCTGTATTTCTTCGAGTTTCCTTTTCTGAGTTTCCTTTTCTGGGGTTCCTGAGAGTCTGTCTGTCTGTCTGTCTGTCTAGTATGAGTCTGAGAGAGAAGAAGAGGAGAAAAGAGAAGAGTCGCGGGTGCTGGGTTTGAGGTTTGAGGGTGGACGGATGGACGGATGGACGGATGGACGAATGGATGTTGGGGTTGCTTTGCATTTCGATGGGATGTGGTATGATATGATATATCCAAACAGAATCTCATTCTCTCTCTCCTTCCCCATATCCTTCCCCATACCCATCTTCGTCATTCATTTCGCAGTAGGAGAGAGGGTTATTTTGCTTCATTTCTATCTTCATCTTCATCTTCATTTTCATAGCTTCATATCTTCACGTTTTTCATATTTTCCTCTTACTCTTATGGGAAGTAGCACTCTCTCTTTCCCTTTCCCTCTCCCTCGGATCATTTGAGTTACTCAAGCGAGCCACGCTACGATGACGCGAGAGAAGTTGTCCGATGAGGAAATGCGATACGTCTTCGTCGGCCCTGTTCACGTTGATTAATTATATGAGTTTTACTGTTTGCGCTTTTTACGTCATGTGTTTAAAAAGGGGGGTTATGGAAAACGTACCAGTATGAGAGATGGCTGGCGATGGTGTTGATTGGGTTGAAATCTAGTACGCTCCTATTGTAATACGCACGGATTAGTATTTTGATTCAAATTCATTTGCCTCTCTAAAACCCCTCAAAACCCTCAGATGGGGGAAGCGGAATACCAGGACAAACAACAGAAAAGAAACAACATACTCTTGAATACTAAAATCCACGCGTCCATTATTGTTCAACGCTCTCACTTTCGCCTCTTCTCTCTTCAACTTCCTCGCCTTCTCTTCCAATTCTGCCCTATCAGTTTCAGGCATATCATGCTTCCTTCGTTTCTGAAACCTAGCATACAAGGTCTCAATCTCATCATCAATCAAGGTAGGCGCGGTACCCATGCCGTCTCTATCAGCAGCAGCCGTATCCTCCGCAAGTTGTCTCATCTTCTCACTAGTATTTTCTCTCTGTAGCGAAGGATGGTCTGGGACAACTCCTCCTGCAATATTTGTTCCCGCGCCCGCGGATTGACCTTTGATGCTTGATGAATTCGACGCTTGCATCCTTTCGACATCTTCGCCCGTGAGACCGAGACTACGGTTTAGTAGACTACTCGCAATGCCGGAGCTGAGACTAGACCATAATCCACTAACACTTTGTCCTACTTTTGCTCCAATGCCAGTGATACCTTGATTCATGTTTGCGCCGAATATACCCTTCTTAGTATAGGGTAGTAGTTGGGGTTTCATAGATGACATTGCAGGAGCAATAAGAGGCTCAAGCCTATAACTAATAGGGTCTGTTGGGTGGAAAATGTTGTATAACCGAACGCATTTGGGACTAGAAATCGAGTATGGCAATCCTGTAGTACTGGAAATATGCTCTCCAGATGGAAAGCCCGCACCCGAGCTAGCTGCAAGAAATGGATCTTGCATAGAGTCTATATCCATTGGACTTTCAGATGGTAATGATTCCACGCGATTTCTAGCAGCAATAGTTCTTCCCTTCAGCATCTGAAACAATCCTATTGGACTTCCCAGACAATAGAAATCCTCGACATCAAAATCAAACTCAAGACTCTTACTATGTGACGATGTCGATGGGGCAGACCGATTCTTGTAATGCGAAGAGTTTGCATTATGTTTTTTAGTTTCTCTCTGACGACAAAGAATATCGAATAAGATTGCCGATCCTAAAGAATGTCCTACCAAACTGACTTTTCCTGAAAACTCTGGATTTCGTTCTCGGAAAAGATTATAAATCCTATTTGCTTCGGTAAGAACAATATTGCTAATATGTTCTCTGTAAGCACTCTGGTACAGCAAAATATCAAGAGCAAGATCAGTGATGAGAGAGCGAACAAATGGTACACCCTCCACAGTAATATCATCAAGACTTGGATATTCTTCCTCCTCGCCAAATGCATCTCCAAGATCATGCTCTTTACGATTTTGCCTGACACCCTTTCGAGGAAAGTCAAGTAAATGACGCCAGCAGATAGGAAGAACTTGAACTCGGCAGTTTTTAGGGAGTTTATCAATCTCCGCATTTAGAGCCTGCAAATCGGCAGAATTTTCGTAGACATTTTTGAGCGTTTGCCGAAGAACGTTTACGTCATGGACGAAATTAACACTTTCGGTTCTATTGAAAATTAGCATATCATTTGAAAATTGCTCGAAACAACAAAAGACCTGTACGAAATTGATCGCGGACAGATAAGATCGATATACAAATTTCCCGAGAAGTCAATTGGTTCGAGTCCGTAAATCGTCCGCTGAAGCCTGCCTCCGTTCAATGATCAAAGACAAAGTCTAGCAACTGTTTGTTATAGGCTATTGCGGATATGCTCCAAGCTCTAAAAACAGTATACAAAGTAACTCTGGAATTTAAAATAGCCACGGCTTATAATTATGAAAAGGGCCAGTCTAGTGTAAAATAGCAGATGAAATATAGAAAATAATTTGAATACATACCTCATACCTAAGCGTTGACCAATACCGTGCGTCACTAGAATTAAATGCTCGATATCACGTCCTTGGTTCTCATCGTCTCGATCATTATAATCATTCTGAATCTCCTTCTCATCACGTTTCCTCACAGCCTCTGCTTCTGCATCTGCATCTATAGAGTTTAGCTTATTGTAGGCTGCTTCCCGAAGCTCAGAGCTATTATCTTCTGGCGAAGCATTAGAATTGCTTGTGCTGGGAGGTGCAGATCGCCGTTTGAGTAATTTTTGCTGACGATCATCCAGCTGGAGATATTCTGGAGTAGTCGAAGCAGCAGCGGCGGCGCTAGTAGGAGTTTTCGGTGTCTTATCTTTGTCGGCAGATGGCGTGTCTTTTGTTTTACCTGGTTCCGAATATCCACGAACAACTTTTATACCTCCTAAGTAGCCACCGCCCGCAAACTTTTGATACACGGTGCTACTAACCCGAGACATGATGTTATCCGTTGAGATCCAGGCTACATTCTCATCTTGATAGGTAACAACAGAATTCATGTATGTGCCAAATAAGCGATGTGTCTGAGGTTGGTGGGGTGGCGGCGAATCCTTTGGCATACTACCATCATCAGAAGCCAGCTGTGGCGATTTCAAATTCTCTGTCGAGCCTTTTGGAGTCACAGAGGGAGAGCCATTACGTCTACTCCCAAAAGCACCACTGCGGGCCAATGATCTGGGTTCTTCTCCTGGTTTTATAGATAATGGCCTAGCAGTACTTTTCTCTGGAGGCTTAGGATAACGAAACGGTTTTACTTTCAGATATCCTTCCTCAAGTTGCGTGGCCAGATTCTCCTCGCAGGGTTTAAGAACTGTACCCTCTTGGTAGAACCAACTACCTCTGCGAACATCAAATATCGCACCAAGCCAATATACAGGCGCAAGTTCTCTCTTTTCAATATCGACATCGAATAAGAAATCCTCATGTACCGGGACCTTAATACTCCTATCAGCCTCCTCATTATTCCCAGCTTCATTGATACTCGTATTTCCTTTCTCGCCTGCACTTCCCGCCGTTTGTTCCAAATTACCACTGTAGGCTCTCGATCGCGGATCTCTTCCATTATCATAGTCCTCGACAAGCTTTTGATACGCAGCTTCTATTGCGCGAGAATCGTGTTCGGAAAATGTGACGAATTTCTTGGGAGGAGCTGCAGGTTTAGTTTCTTCTTGATTGGCCTTGAGAATCTTGGGTTTTCTTTTGGGGATCTATATTTTGTAAGCTTGGAAATTCAATTTGCTAGATATGGATACCTACATCAACAGCATGGTACCATCTTGGATTCAGCGGAGGACAATCTTGAGGGTAATTCTTAGTGCTCCATCCATGCCAATGGTTTGTGCTGTGATCTCCGCCATGTTGATTCTTTAAGCCTGAACCTTCTCCAGAAAACGTAGGTGTTGTTGCTTTAGGAGTAGTTGCTCGCGAACCTCCCCATGGTGAGATTGATTCAACCGCTGCAGACAAATATGATCTCTCTAACGGCTTTGGCTTGTTCCCAGGCGCAGACTCCATTTTCTTGTCATTGGCTCGCCGAAGGGCGTCAATTACGCCTGTAGATTTAATCCAGTTGAGCGCAGAATATGAGATTCGAAATTGGTGGTTTTTAGGAAGGTGTTTGGGTATTATTCTAACTTGATGAAAGAGAAGGTTCATGTAGTAAGCCAATGTTCGTTCCAATTATTTGAAACGCTGATATTGTATTCTGTATTATGCGGTAATTGCCGATCCGAATATATTAAATAGAAATGGGGTATTTGTACATTATGTATGTTATCATTGACATCGCTCGGACCTTAAGTAGTATAGATTTCTATCTTATAAACTGTCCTTTCAATATCCCGTGGGTCGATTGATTATTGTTGATACAGCATTGTTATCGCCGGTAGTGAAGCGATACATGAAATAGCATAATAATAAGTAAAGATTGAGCAATAGTACCGAATAGACATTATGACGATAGTTTTCGGCTTGTCCCGTTAATACGTTCAGGCTTTATTTGAACTTCATACCCCACTACCACTACTTGGTTTATGAGCTACGGCGAACAGTTGATGAGATGTAAATACATATGAACGATGATTAAATATTAGCTTCTTCAATACACCGATCTTCCTCAATCTCATGTATAACAGAAGTACAGGTCGATCGATCACATAGGTAAATCTCAGATTGCCCTGCGAGAGGGGCAAGGCGGAGAGGAAGAAGCTAGCCCTGTTTATAATGCTGCAAGGTTCACTCTTTACCACTCAGTCCTCCAACCCCACCCCTTTACTTTGATCCTGACCCATATAAAACATAGTAGGGCAGCCACATAGCTAGGTAAGTCCGGTGAAAAGAGCGGCGTCCCAGTACCTTTCTTTCCCTGTAGCCACTACTACATCAAGAAGGCCTCCAGCGATAGGGATGCTTCCCAACACACCAAAAGCTACTACCGTAAAGCAGCTTGCGTAGTATCGTCCGTATTCTTGAGTTCCGCAGAGCTGACCTAGACAGATTGGTGTCAAGCTGACATTGGAACCACTGACAAATCCAAATATAAGTACAAAGATCACGAAGAGTACGTCATTATTCAGGTTGAGTAAGAGCACGTCTGGTAACCAAAAACATAGAACTGATATCGTGCAGAGAAAAAATGAGACGATCATAATATTGTATCGCCCAAATCGATCGGCCAGGTCGCCTGCTATGCACCGGCCAATGCATGAAGCAACAGTAAGGATCGCAAGAAGTTGATATGCAAATGCGGCTGATCCACTCAAGGCCTCTCCTTGAAACAAATGTTGTCGATCGATATAATAGCTTGGAATATATGTGATGGGTATGAAATATGCCAGATCTGTGAATCTATAGTTCAACGTCTTGAAGTTAGTATGCCTAGTCTACATGCTTTCAAGAGTATTGGAAAAGCCCAGAAGTTGTAGGCACATTGTGTCACAATATGTGCACAATATGTGGAGCAACCACGGAAATGGGATATTTGCGCTGAAAAAAACGGCACTTGCAGGACTCCAGCAGCATTGATAGCCATGGCTCCTGTTCCGTCCATGAGTAACTGTGGGTCCGGTATAGTATCTCGCCAAGTAGTTGTAGCCCCTTTACGATGTGGAAAACTACTTCGGCAAAATGTCACGCTCACGGAGCAAAGTAGGAGTAGCACAAACCCGAGAATTCGAATCGACCATTTCCACCCAACTTGAGGGAGGAGTGACTGTATCATAAGGGGAAATAGAACGCCACCAAAACCACCTCCTACAAAAGCTATGCCGATAGCGAGACCGCGACGCTCCATGAACCAATGAGTAACGCAGCCCATTGATGGAGTGAGGAGAAGAGATGAGCCGATACCAGTCAATATGGATAATGATAGAATGATCTGATAATATTCTGTATTACAGTTAGTGCTGAACAGAGACCCCGAGAAGACCATAAAGATCTCAACAGAAGCAGATAAGCGAGTGAGCAATCTTCAGAGCAGCCGCTATACTAGAATGTGTTACGCGTGAAGACCTATAAGAAACTAAAACTACCTGTACAAAAACTAAGCGCGAAGATTCCAATGAGCGTGCAAATGATTCCTACAATAAGCAATTCACGAGGACCCATCGCATCAAAAGTCAGTCCAATCTGCACTCCACAGATCCAGTTCACAAAGGCATAGATTGAAAATATCCAGCCGAGAGTAGAGGAATATTCTCCGGGTAATATTGATTCCGAGATGACGACTTCGAATACTCCGGCTGTATTGTAAATATCTAACGATGCGGTCAAACCACATCAAACCGCGATAATCCAAAAATCAACTAGTCCTCAGACGTGAAAAACTACCAAACAAACACCCACAATTTCAAGATTCAGAATCAATAAATAAGTTGGGTCTATGCCCATAGTATAACTGGTATTGAGAGTCACTCGTGGATTGATATATTAATGTATCAATGTATATATCACCAATGTATTATAGCATGTCATGTCATGCAAGCTTGCAATCCTATCCATCCATCCATCCATCCATCCTTCCTTCCAATCATCTCGATTGGAAGTAGGTATGTAAAAAGCGGGCTGGAATTGACACTATCAATTATCAACCTTGACTTCGAATTATTAATATAGCTATGCGGAGAAACAAGCAATTTGAGAGAAATAGATAAATAAATATCTGAACTTCCTACCACACCTATCTATACCATGAATGAAGCCTCTAGAACTACATCTACCATCTAGCGGTATTCTCGACTTCATCGGATCTAATCGCGCCTGGGATCGAATTATCCAAGTTGGAGTTGAGTTAGTGCTTGGCCCAGATCGGACGAGCGAATTAGAGTCTGCATATAATGGTGTGATCCTGACGACTTGGTTGTAGAGGTTATTGGCTTGGAGAAATGGGAGTGGTGTTTCAGTTGTTTGTTTGTATGTTAGCAGCTAGGTAGTTAGATAAGTATATAACCATATAGGAAATAAACATAAACATTGAAAAGAGTCAAAAAACAAAACTAAAAAAAAATCATGAAGAGATTGTGATAAGCGAGACAGCAAGTAAGTAGGGAAAGAAGAACAATTCTACTCGTCCAATTCAAGCCATCATCAGCAGTACCGAAGAGTTCTCGATATCTCGTCTGTAGACGCCGTTACTCAGAGGGTATTCATTCTCGAACCATCGATCGAAAGTGAAATGGGAACCCAAATTCATATTCAAATCCAGAGCATCCTCATCATTTCTACCATCGTCTTCCGCCGACTTACTCTCCACACACTTAATAGATGCATCTCCAGCAGACCCAGCTGTCTGTATCTATTCCAACATCACATCGACTTTCCTCTCCTTCTCCCTCTCCTTTTCCCTCTCCTTCCCCCCTCGTCTCCACCCTCAAACACCCTCACATACCCCCCCACCGTAACCCCCATCACCCCTTTAAAAACCCTACAAAGCCAACTCCCCGAAACCCCCAACTCCCTCGCCAACCCCCCTCATCCCCCTTCAAAAGCTCGATCATCCCACCCACAACCACTTCCCCCTCTCTACAAGCCTCCACAATATCAAACCCCACCACATCAACCCTACAACCCTCCACACTTTCCACACAAAACAACACTAGATTCGATAGACATTCCACCATCCAAGAAGAAGCCGAAGAACTGCAAAGCGCCGTACAACATACAAAAATACAACCCTCTCTCCCACCCAACAGATATGGACACAAGGATCTGGAAATGCGGATACGCTTACAGGACAGGGAATTTATGGTTGCATGGTCGGGAATCATTCATTATAACAAAATGTATTGTAACTCTGTGTTTAATTAGCATATGATATACTCCAAAATTACAGCATTCCGTCACACACTGAACCTTTGAACCTCTGTACCCTTACCTACCTAGTAGCTATCTACTCGTATCGTATCTCATTGAGATTAATGAATTTATAAATTACAAATTTACAATAAAATAGCATTGATCCTACTCGTAGATTACTCCTACCAGTACTCGTAGAACTCCATCGGATTATTTAACAATCACCAACCAATTACCAAACAATCAACTAATCTACCCAGTGAGCCAGTATCCATCTCATCTCATCTCATCTTTCAATTCTTAAACCAACTCATCACCATTACGCCTATTAGGTCTATTAGGTACGTATAGCATACATACATACATACATACATCTAAAAAACCAAAGTCCCTTCAATTTTCCCCCCTCCTTTCCCTAAATCTCGACAAACCCACCTTACCTACTCAAGCACTGTTCAATCTCAATCTCAATTCATAAATCTACCTAGCTTCCTACCTACCTCCCATAGAAAATTCCAGATATCCCCATGATGAATAAAAAGCATTTCCTACAGCACACAAAACTCACCACTTCACTTTACCATCCTGTACTGAATACGCAGACATCATAGAACTCAAAAAGAACCAAAAGAATTCAACAATCCCTTATATTCTAATTTTCAACCACTCGATATCAACTCCATATTTGCAACCATGCTAAATGAAACCTCTGATATCATATCATATATATTACATACATTGGCATCATAATCATAATCATAATCATAATCATAATCACAATCTCATCTAATGCCCACCCGCAAACCATTTCTCCAAGCCACGAATGATATCAATGAAGCGAAAAACCTGACGCCTACCCATGCCTCTCGTACCAAATCCCATAATCTACATAAATCCAAGCATCAAAACATCTAAATGACCAAATAAAGACTACACAAAAGACTTGGTCCAGTGAAAATGCCTATCCAAAAGATTACATTCCCCAACGTCTTCTTGCCCTTCATCCACTTCGTCTGACTCATAATCGTCAACGGAATCTGGCACATCTGCAAAACGAGTAGATAACCCCTCAATTTCTTAAAGATACACCACATAACCAGCTCATGAACACAGGCGCTCAGAAAGAAAGTAATAAGCGTAGCCGTCTTTTTATCAACTCTCAGACTCGAAATCGAAGAATGGTAAACGTGGCGCAGAAGGAAATTATGAACTGGCCGATTCCAATCGCGCGCGAATTGATCCCAAGATACCGAGTTCCACCAGGCTTCGTAGAAGCCTCGATCGGCGTAACAAGTTAATTCGGCGAGGAGATTGAGAATACATTCCCAAATCACATACCATGTCAAGATATATTCAGCCAGAAATGGGAAGGCTAAGTCACTGACTATACCCGGAAAATGACGGAGGCGCTCGAGAGATGTTAGATTTGATTCTTTCATCTTGATCGTTTTAACTACGATGGGATAGATATAAGTTTGCGAGATAAGGTTCATGACGATCAAGAGACCAGCCGTCGCAATACTTTTCTCCGCTACGTTATACCAGTCGATATCGTCGGATCGTGGATATTCTAGTTCATAAACCAAAGTTGGAAGAACTATGTACTCGTAATGATTGACTAAACTGAGATTGTTCGGGTACTGATTCTTGGTTGTTGTACATTTCCCTTCGAGTTCTTTGCCCAAGAAGTCGATCTCCCATTTGAGAATTCGTGCAAACGTCTGGACTTGATCGACATCAAGAGGCTCACCAGAACCAATTGCAGCAGCTACTTTGTCAGTAGCAGAATCAACAATAGAACGCCTTCGATCGGAAACCCTCTGATAGATGTCATCAGACGTGGGCCTAGCATCAAGATACGAAGTAGACAGTGAAGAAACGGCTGGTGTTGTAGCGGAAGGTGTCTGTATTGGCGAAATATCATCAAGCTGTTTCAACTTACGTTGAAGCTTAGAACGAGCTTTATATTGTTCTGATAGGTGACCATTGTAAAAAGCGTAAGAGTGTTGTTTCATCAACATGACAATTCCATGAAGGACAAAAAAGACCTATCAGAAGGGATGTTGTAAGCGAATGAGTCAGGGGAGAGACCACAAAACATCATTTCTCCGAAGTAGTACACGGATCAATTCTAAAAAATAATTGGATTTAACTCGAAATTGGTCACTTACTGTGTGTGTCCATGGCCATTCGCGAAATAGTGTCCAGCTTATTACTGATGAGAGATATAATATTTCCCAAGCCTGTACGACATTATGTTTAGTAAGTTATTCCTGATTCCCATATTGATTGAAGATAGACTTACACTTTGAATGATCCAGCCTTCTCTATTCCAGTCAATGTATCCTCGGTGTATTAATTTCTGTAAAACAAGTCCAAATCCCGTAGAGAAACACATTACACCATCAGACAGACCAAGAACTATGACGTCTCGGTGGAACATCATTTCCATAATCTCATTGGTACCAAGTATGTTTCCATGCACTCGCCAATTTGCAAAAGCAAGTTGGAGTACGAAGACGACGAACGCCAGCCAGCCCAACGTAAAGAAACCATGGAAAGGTGAATCGGCAACGATATTGTTGTGTCGATCGAAAGCAGTAAACTTCTTAGTAAAAACCACTGTTTGAGCCAATTAGCAACTAATCATGCCACAAGTTTTCTATTTACTACATCCATTCAACATCACTCGATGAACTTTCGTTCCTTTGATATATTCAGAGTTTGAAAAACTCACAGTCACTGAATTTTGTCCGTTTCTTTGATTCTCCTGAAGCGATATCTTGTGCATAATGCGCGACAGTGCCTTTTAAAAGATCTCGTAGCTCATTGTCATCCGCTTCAAAAGTATAAATTCCTTGCCCATTTTTCTGAAGCTTGTTGAGAGTGACCGGAATACTTTTGCGCCTTCGCGTGCCTTGCCATGGTTGTTGGGACTGAACTTTTAGTTCTGCATAGACGGTCTGTGGTATTTCCGGCATATCAATATCGGTGTCGAGGATTCCACCCTTTACCCTTGTAACTATGGACGTCGGATCTGGTTTTAAGGTATCATAGTCCTCCAAACTATCACTCTCCGATACCGAAGACTCTCGCCGATTTCTATCAACTGTTTCCAACGCCTTTTTAAGAGATTGCGAATATTTAGGGCGACTGGGAGACTTGGGTGTTTGTATTGATTTGGAGTTGCCAACTCCATTTTCCCTCGAACGTTCATCTAATGAATTTTGAGTTGCGTGTGCTGGATCTGAGGGGAAGGGCATCGTCATGGGAGGGGCGGCAGTCGTGGATGCCATTCTAACCATCTTGTCAATTTATATTGAGAGAAGGCGTGTTCCAGGACGAGGGGAGGTTATTGGAATTCAGATTTAGAGATCTAGTTTGTCTCAAGAGGCGCAAGTGAGGGATTGACTAGTAGAGTGTTAGCCTAGAACTTCCTGCGAACTGTCTTCGATGCGGTATCAACTCACTGGGTGTCCCAGAATAAGAAAGATAATGACAGCGAACCTGTAGCAAGGCTGCTCCAAAATGATTACTTATTAGCCGTACCTCAATGACTAGCATAAATCATGCTTCAACCTCAATGGTTTGTCGATAACTGAGAAGCAGGTAATACTGCAGAATGCGAATGCTTTGACGTTTCAAAGTATACCTAGATATTGCTATTCGGTACTCGAGTAGAATAATTCAAAAGGCTCAAACTGTTATGTTGCCCGAAGAAGGAGATATATTGAGGCTGAATAGGTATATGCCGGTGCTATGCAGGATGCAGGATGCAGGTACAAGATTAGAAGATTGACAGAGATTCAATGGAAGAAAATAATATGATTGCCAAAAGAAAATCGAAGAAAAAAAATCTTTATGATATCTATATTCTCGAAACAAGCTTGGAAATGATTAGATGCCGACTAGATACACAATTCAAGAAAAAGCACGATAGAGATGGAAAACCCGGAAAGGTAAAGGAACAACGGAAGTAGTATGTATCTCGCGCGCATATTAACATTTCCTTAAGTCTCCGAATCGTATGACTGATAATAAGACTGAACCCTTTGTACCTGAGACCTCTTTACTGGTGAGTCTGTGATGTACTTACTGTAGGGAATGGAGGGGCATGATGAAGCTTGGCATATGGCAATCGCATATCGCACATCGCACGAAGAAAGGCCGAGGAAGTTTGTTAGATTGATGAATGTAATAATTGTCATAGTTCTCTTCTTCTCCTTTCATTGTGAACTTGAGTCATGTCATAGGAAAGTCACTTTGGTCCGTCCGTACGAGGAAAGAGATCAGATCGGCGACTTGTCAAGTGATGTGTGATGTTCAATTCGGGAGTAGAATGATGAAAGAAGAAAGTTTCGAATAATTTAGGAATCTTCGGAACTGTAATTTTGAGGTCCACCGGTGGTCTAGCTGCATCATGTGGAGTACCTGGTAGTAATATAAGTATAAAATGACAATCTAGGCGTCTGACGGTACTTATTGATGCCCACCTGGGCCGTACCTAGGCGAGCTAGGGTCATTGTTATTGGAATTTCGTAAAACTTATTGGCCTATTCATGCTAAAATTTATAAAAATGACGTAAATTCACGGAGTCTTTTGGTGCCGCCGTCCGAGCTATATTCCATTCCCAGTCCAGTCCAGTGTGCCATTACCCCTTCAGCCCTGTCCAGATCCCCTAGAGTCTAAGAGCTACTATCTACCCAGGTATGTCTGTACGCATCGTCATACCGGTATATACACATCACATCACAACTACCGGCAGCAGTGGGAAATAATTTCTAATCATTGTATACATACTTAGAATATCCACGGCAGTCCCAAGCTACTAATGTGTAGAATACAAATCCAACGCTTTTTCCCCTTCTAAATTTACATCAAACAACCTATCAGGCAGATCAAGGCAAGTTCGCCGATAATAGATCGGTGAGAAGTACATTGCCAGTATTTCTTGCCAAATCGCTTGCCAATTGTCCCTGAGCATCCCGAAGATTCCGGATATCTTCTCCATCAGCAGTATCACGTCCTACACCCATCGTCTCTGCCATTTGAGTGATTTGTTCCGGGAAGATATCGGTTGGAAGACTTGAAGCGAGCCATAACAACAGCCAGATGATTTCTTCCTGTCCTTTTTCAACAGCCACATGCAAACCACTTTTCATCTCATCCAAAGGATCTTGATAACGCAGGATTGGCTTTGCTGATAGCCCTTCTCCATCCTCGTCATCATCTACTGCACTGAGTAGATCGTTAATTCCAAACACATCACCCTCGGCACACATCGTCATGAATGCTCGAGCGGGACGTGCTTCTGGGTGTTCATCGAGATAGGCTTCTTCAGTGATGAGAGGTAAAATGTCAAGGTCTTCTTGAACTCCTCCCTCATTGTGGTACCGTGTAGGAACTCGGGTTCCGGAGACTGACCTTGAAGCTGAAGCCACTGAAGTTGCAATTGAATTATCACACGATGGACAATGGAGCTTATTCAAAATTTGAGGAGATTCATCCAAAAGACATTGCCTATGTTGGAGTTAGCAAGTCAACTGATAAAGTCGGTAGATCAATAGCAAAATTCATATGCTCGAATGATGAAGCATAGAATGGCACGTGAAAAACAAGAATTATCTTTGTAAGGTCAAAGGCGAATCTGCTGGCCAGATATCATCATGGCAAACGCTAGAGAGCGGTGTCCCTCGAGAGATACTTTCTTGTGTGTTTTGAATGACCATGGTATAAATGCATCTGATGAGAGATGTACGATGTACCTCTGGCTAACTTCCATGCAACGAATATGTTCCACATGTACATCTGGTTCAGACGCTTCAAGTCCCAGGTATTACAAAAGGAAATAGAAATAAACTTGAACTCTCAGACCGAGAACAAGTCAAATGTATTCTTACCAATGCATATGACATCCGCAAATCAACTGAAGGTCATCTGGAACGCTTCCCATAGAAGAGCTTCCACCTTCAAATTGCTCCAACTCCTCTGGGTCGAGTTGGACGGTCAAACTTTCCGAGCAGAGTTTACAGGTATCCATGTTTGTATAAAATAATAAAAACGAGGTGTAAATAATTTAGGATTGATTTATTAAAAAGTTGTTATGTGGTGATGTTTGGAAATAAAAATTCTCATGTAGAATCGCTGAAGGTCTTTACTTTAATAGCGGGGAGCAAAAAAAAGTCACAATCTAAAAAATTTTTATCGTCTCAACATTTTTATTCAATTTTGTAGTCTTCTTCTAAATTATCCGGAACACCACGCAAAGTCATGTATTGAACGGGCATTCAAATCTAGATATCTAAGAGGGCCAGTCCTATTTTCGCCATTCGAATGAGACCGAACATGCATAGAGTTTGTATCTCATGCCAGCCTCCAACAAGATGGCGGTATCGATGATTTATCCCGATCTATGTCTATCTATGCTCTACCATTCGCATTCCCTACCACTTCCGTTGGCTACCCTCCTGCCCACACTTCCTTACTTGGTTTGTATATATTTTGTGTGTGATGCCGTCGCTACCATAGGTCCTGGCTGGCCATCAACTAGCTTACTGATTCTAATCGTGGTAAAGGCAAGTGATCGTCCAACTTTCGACGCCGTGGCCTCAATATTCAAGACATCCCCTAATTGAGCAGTCCCAATATAAGTGACGTGAATATCAATGCTTGCCCCAGACTTCTCCAATCCATGTGAAGCAATCGCAAGACCTCCAGACCAATCGACCAAACTTGCACTCACTGCACCGTGAATAGTACCTCGAGAATTGACATGATTGTTTTCCACCGTCAAGCGCGAGACAACCAGACCTTTTGTAGCCGATATGATCTCAACATTTGCGAGAAGAAAGTCGTAAATGGGACTGTTGCCTTTCATGTTATCCCATACTTTCTTGACGTGGATCAATTCTTCCGTTGGGTTCTGCATTGCGACGGGGTTCATTGTATATAATCAGTTGCCTGAAATGCGGCGAAGGGGTCGTCGTCAGCAATGGCGAAAATGTACGTGTACGCGTATAGCAAAGTCTTAGGACATAGGACATAAGATAGTAAATCTATATTTACCTGTTTGAAACGTCCAAGATCATGAAATGGACAAGTGCAGCAATTGCTCAAGAATATCAAGGAAATCAAAAGAACCTTGAGCGAGACAGACAGAACGGACAAAACGGACGGTGATCGATTACCAGCCAGAAATCCCGAAATTGGAAGATAGATACGAGAGACCGACCGGTTGTACGAAATTACGAGTGCGAGACAGCCGCTGCCCAGAAACGTCAGCGGGGTTTGGGCTGTGCATCGCATCATCTCAATTTCACATATTGATATGCATTGAGCCATAATTTGAACTCAAAATTCCTCCATAAACCCTTGAAAGAATCCAACATTTTTACTTCTCCCTCCTCTTCTTCCTCTACAACCCAATTCCGACAAAGAAACAATTATTGTCTTGCTACTATTCACGATTGTTACGTGTTTTGCAGCATCTTGCGCCGGCATCAGCATTCATAGTGACATAAACTGGGAGGGGTATCCACAGCTACCTAATACCGATAGGTACCTCAACCTGCCTCCTGAATTACGGAACCAACAATTCAAGTCTTTTCGACTGCGAAAGTCAAGACCAGAGTAACAATTCGCAAAGATGAATATCATTAAGTTGCAGAGGTATGTAAACAATACAATAGAGCTATTAATTAGGTCGAGGCTGCGTTTGTCTAACCTGCTTTGATTTACAGGAAGTATCCTCAATTCCAACAAGATGAGATCTTCGGTCTCCAAGATGCTTTCCGCAAACTCGACGTTGACGATAAGGGATACATTGATGAGGCTACTGCAATCAAAGCTACACAAGGCAGTGAAAGACAACCATACGATGTTGTGAGACAAGCTTTGAAAGAGGTCGAGCTTGATTCATCTCGAAGAGTCGAGCTGGAAGATTATGTAGGAGTAAGTTTAGACAAACAGCTATCTGGCACATTGAAGAATGTCAACTAATCATACCCCAGCTTATCTCAAAACTCCGCGTCTCTTCACCAGCACAGCAGCGCATGTCAACTGGTCCACAGAGTCCTGCTCGTGGAGGAATTGTATCGCAGCAAACCGGAGGAGCTGGAAGCGGGCATGCTTCAAAAGGAAGCGTCAGCGGTCGTATTCAAGTCCAGGGATCTTCATCGAACGTTACCCATACCATCAACGAAGATGAGCGAACAGAATTTACCCGTCATATCAACGCAGTGTTGGCAGGCGACGCAGATATTGGCTCGCGTCTACCATTTCCTACAGATACCTTCGAGATGTTCGACGAGTGCAAGGATGGTCTCGTATTAGCCAAATTAATCAACGATAGTGTACCGGATACCATTGATGAGCGTGTACTGAATCGTCCCGGAAGGAAGATCAAGACCCTTAACGCATTCCATATGACTGAGAACAACAACATCGTTATTGAATCTGCGAAGGGTATTGGTTGCTCGGTGGTCAACATTGGTAGTGGAGATATTATCGAAGTTCGGGAACATTTGATTTTGGGTCTGATTTGGCAGGTTATCAGAAGAGGTCTGTTGAACAAGATTGATATCAAGCTTCATCCTGAGTTATACAGACTCTTGGAAGACGACGAGACACTGGAACAGTTTTTGAGATTGCCTCCCGAGCAAATCTTACTCAGATGGGTCAATTATCATCTGAAGGCTGCAAATTGGCCACGAAGGTAATATCAATCTCAAGAGTATCTAGAGCTTACTAACATTCTATTAGAGTTGCGAACTTTTCCAGCGATGTAAAGGATGCTGAAAATTATACTGTTCTCTTAGCTCAGATTGCGCCGGAGTGTTGCGACCGAGCACCACTACAAACACGCGATCTTCACCAGAGAGCAGAGCAAGTGTTACAAAATGCCGATAAATTAGATTGCCGGAAGTTCCTTACACCTAGCTCCCTTGTGGCAGGAAACCCTAAATTGAACTTGGCTTTCGTTGCCAATCTCTTCAATACCCGTCCAGCACTGGATCCTATCACCGAGGAAGAAAAGGCCCAGGTTGATGATTTCGATGCTGAGGGCGAGAGAGAAGCGAGAGTCTTCACTCTCTGGTTGAATAGTCTTGATGTACAACCAGGAGTAAACTCGTTATACGAAGATCTCAAGGATGGTACTATTATTTTGCAGGCATACGACAAGGTTATCAAGGGCTCTGTTAACTGGCGCCATGTGAACAAGGTGCCTGCCAGTGGAGAGATGTCGAGATTCAAGGCTCTAGAAAACACAAACTACGCTATCGAGCTCGGAAAGCAAAACCGTTTCTCTCTGGTCGGTGTTCAAGGAGCAGACATCTACGACGGTCAACGAACTCTCACCCTTGGTCTCGTCTGGCAATTGATGCGCAGAGACATCTCCGAAACCCTCACAGCCCTCGCTCAACGTCTTGGCAAGCGCGAAATTTCAGATGCAGAAATGATCAAGTGGGCAAACAACATGTCACAGAAGGGTGGAAAGAGTTCTACTATCCGCTCTTTCAAGGATCAATCAATTGGAACTGGGGTCTTCCTTCTCGACGTTTTGAACGGAATGAAGAGCAGTTACGTTGACTATGATCTCGTGACCCCAGGAGGAACCGAGGATGATGCTTACATGAACGCCAAGTTGAGTATCAGTATTGCGAGAAAGATGGGAGCGACAATTTGGTTGGTTCCGGAGGATATTTGTCAAGTTCGAAGTCGCTTGGTGGTTACTTTTATTGGTATGTTTGTTTTTTGTGTTTCTTCTTTTACTCTGTGATCGATCTTGTGGAATTGAGAATTCTAACTTTTCCTTTTAGGTTCTTTGATGGCGACGGCCGAGAAGATGCAGTAAATTAGTTGATGAGATGGGATGAGATGGAATGGCAGAGTTCCTGATCGATGGATGGATGGATGATGAGAAATTACGATAGCGATGCTAGTGACGATAGTTGGTAAAAAGTGCATGCAGGCGAATCAATGGCTGTAGGACAATAGAAAAGCATTGGCAGTTATTTTCATTTCATTCCATGAGAAAGAGAAAAGGGCGGACGGATATTGATGATTCGATTCGATTTGATTATGAGAAAGCGCGTTTTTCATGAAAATACTACAGCTGCTGCATTAAATATTAAACATCACGTTGCACTGTACTCACTCACTCACTCACCCGTTTACTCTATCAAATGCGGTAGGTATACTCGTTTTGATAAATATTAGATAATATTGTAAATGCAATAAATACAACACGCTGAACTTTCCCATCACCCTTCCACCATCAAAAAGAGAATCAAGCCTGCAGAGCCATCTCCTCCCTACTAGCATAACTTCCCCCCTTCCACGCCGCCTTTGGATCACTCCTCCGATCGACCTCCCTCTCCTCGCCTACCTTTCCCCATCCGCCACCTCCAGGGGTATGAATAATAATGCGCTCACCAGCTTTCATCGCGGCGGTATTTTTACCCCCGAGATTGATGCGACGTTCTTCGTATTGTGTTTCCTGGGTTTCTTTTCCGCTATTGTTATTGCCCCGAGACCCAGACTCCCGCAACAATAAATCCGATCTCCCCCTGTCGCTCTTCGCCACCTTCCGCACCCAGATATTCAACCCGCATTGAGCGTCTGCGCCGCCCTCGAGCCCATACGGTCTGTAGACTCTTCGCTCGCTTAGAATTGACACCTGGACGGGGATTCTAAATTCGATGTCGCGGATGACTCCATCTCCGCCCCTGTATTTTCCCTCCCCGCCACTTCCCGCGCGGAGGGAGAATTCTCTCAGCAAGACCGGATAGCGGCGTTCGAAGACTTCGGCATCTGTAATTCGCGTGTTCGTCATGTGCGTATGCACTCCACTTGTTCCATCCCAGTGTTTTCCTGCACCGCTTCCACCGGCAATGGTTTCGTAGTATCCGAAACCCTTGACGTGTTTCTGGCCGTCGACGTTACCGCCGAAGCCGAAGGTGAGATTATTGCAGTCGCCTTGGGAGGCGGCGCAGGCGCGGAAGGCGCGGAGGATGACGTCTGTGACGCGTTGAGAGGTGAGAACGTTGCCGCCGACGACGGCGGCTTTGTCCGAGGGAGAGAGGAAGGATTTGGGTGGGATGAGGACGGTGATGGGTTTGAGACAGCCTTGGTTGAGGGGGATGTCTTCACTGATGAGACTGCGGAGACAGTAGATGATTGCGCTATAGGTTACGGCTTGGGGAGCGTTGGTATTTGCTTGAGGGTTGTTAGTTGGTGAGGAGTGAGATTAGAACTCTGGTGGAGTACTTACCATATACTTCTGGACCAGTTCCCTCGAAATCGAATACGGCTTCTCCTTTTTCGGCGTCGATGGTGATTTTCAATTGGATCGGGCTGCCATCATCCATATAATCGATTGCTGATAAGTTTTGTCCTTCGAATCGCTTGCTAACATCTTTCAGGAGATTTCTCACGCTAAGCTCGGCATTATTCTGGATATTAACCATATAGAAGTTTACCACTTCTTCGCCATATTCCTCAATCAGTGTACTGATAAGATTGATGCCTTTCATGTTACTAGAAATTTGAGCTTTGAGGTCCGAGATGTTATCTGCCAAACATCGTGTACCACTGCACCCTTGATATTGTGCAGGCTCGTCAAGAAGAAGCTGTGTCATTCTTTCCTCATTAAAGTGACCTGCGCTAACTAGTTTCTCAGACTTGATTGCGGCTCCTTCTTGGTATAATTCTCTCGAATGCGGAGGCATACTACCGGGAAGAATACCACCAATATCAGCGTGATGGGCTCTAGAAGCGACGTAGAAAAGGATTTTATCACCGGCCGGATTGAAAGCAGGGGTGATGACAGTAATATCAGGAAGATGCGTTCCTCCATATTCAGGATGATTGGAAACTATTACATCTCCTTTGACAAGCTTGCCTTTCCAAATTTCAGCTTGACGTTTGACGCAGGTAGACATCGAGCCCAGATGGACTGGAAGGTGTGGAGCATTAGCTACCAATCCACCAGTAGAGTCGAACAACGCGCATGAATAGTCGAGTCTCTCCTTGACATTTGTGCTGACACTGGTTTTTTGAAGTGCTCTGCCCATCTGTTCTGCAATAGCCATGAATCTATGAGCAAAAATACTAAGCATAATAGGGTCTACTGATTTTGTTTCGTCTTTGGTCGACGATCTGAGAATTATTAGCAAAAATGTCCTATTCCCTCATAATATTGCTCCAAAACTCACTTGTCTTTGCTTTCATGCCCACCAATGTTTATCACTACGTGCGTTTCGATTATCAATGCACTTGTACCGGGAGTAATGACAACAGTTTGTGTTCCATCTGCAAGAATTGCTGGTCCTTTGATTCGATGGCCGGTATCAAGGTCTTCCAGCTTGTATATGGGAGTATCTTGTCGGCCACCTTCAAAATATACTTGGGATCTCTTGTACTCTTTCTTGCCATTTTCAACATCCTTAGGTTTGATCTCCTTCAATTGTTGATCCACTGTCTTTTCGAGTCCTTCAAAACTCTTTCCAATACCACGAACTCGGACGTCGTCTACAATAATATCTCGATCAGGTAAAGTAAAGCCGAACTCTTGTTGATGCTGTTTGATGAAAGCTTTCCCGTAAGCCCATTCATCACCACCGAATTCCTCTACATCTTGCTTCTCGGGTTTGACAACCATCAATGCAGATTCAGTACCACGGTATCTCATATTAAGATATTCCTCGTGAACTATAGAAGTATCTTGGAACCCTTGGGACTTTAGGGCATTGGTCGACTTTTGCTTGAGCTCCTCGATTTTCTTCTTCAAGTAATCTCGTGACTCTCCATCGTCGGACCAAATCTTCGATTCTGGCTCCTGTTCCTCATCGACTACATCAGCTAAAGCCATGCCATATGCTGACAGTACCGATGAATAGCGATGAACAAGTATTTGACGTATACCCAAGCTCTCAGCAATCGCAACGGCATGTTGTCCACCAGCACCCCCAAATGTCGCAAGGCGGTGCTTGGATGTATCAAAACCCTTCGCTTCTGTTAGAGATCGGATGGGTCGGGTCATGGTTTCGTTCGCGACAGTCAAGAATCCGTAAGCGACTTCGTCAGCAGTCATGTTTTTACCCATCTCCTTGTTGACTTGTTCGGCTAGTTCTTGAAGAAGCTTCTCGCTTGCTGTAACATCGAGACCCTCATCTTCATTCTTTCCGAAAATCTTTGGAAAGAAATCAGGAATGAGTCGACCCAAGAAAAGATTTGCATCGGTAACCGCAGCTGGCCCTCCCTTGCGATAACATGCAGGTCCAGGATGTGCACCAGCCGATTCTGGTCCAACCACAAACAACCCATTCTTAAAGAATAAACGCGATCCACCACCTGCAGCTACAGTATTGATATCGAGTTGAGGAGACTGGATAGTCACACCAGCTGTAGTGGTCTCAAAGACATGTTCATATCTTCCCGAGCCATATCTAGAGACATCGGTAGAGGTACCGCCCATGTCAAACCCAATTACGGGTATCTTAGTCTCTGGGTCATATGAAGTAAGTGCATATCCTACAACTCCTCCAGCAGGGCCCGAGAGAATTGCTTTAAGGCCCGAGAAGTTGTCGACATCTACCAGACCTCCATCACTCTGCATAAACTCGCACCGAGCCCCTTTTGTTCCTTTTGCATTTTTCACGCTTTCCGCTCCGAGGCCACCTTCAAAGCCTTTGGAAAATCCAGCGATATACTTTTTGATCGCGGGTGTTAAATATGCATCAGCACATGCTGATGTGGCTCTTGGGACCAGTTTGATCATAGGCATCAGCTCGTGGCTAAGAGATACATGCTCAAATCCAATCTCTTTCGCAATTTTGCCAACCAAGGCTTCGTGGTCAGGGAATGTATAACCATGCATCAAACAGACTGCTATACTTTTAATTCCTTGATCGAAAACTTCCTGTAATTGTGATCGGATGGTTTGTTCTTCAGGACGCTGCAATACGCGTACAGCTTCGGAAGATAAACCCCGCACCAGATCTTGATCTTGTGTACCATTAGCTTCAACTTTGGTAATACTTCGCTCCGGATCTTCAGCGTAATCTTCCAACGTAACCCTTTCGTCAATCTCCACCACAAATTCGTACAAGACGTCAGGTTTTTTGATCGCGAGATCGAAAATCTTAGGTCTTGATTGATTGCCAATTTCCAGACAATCTTTGAATCCCTTGGTCACCACCATAGCAATTTTTTCGCCCTTTCTTTCCAGTAATGCGTTCGTAGCTACAGTGGTTCCCATTCGAATGGATTCTATCTTTGAAGTATCTAAAGGCTCTCCACGAGGAATATCTTTCTTGAGGAATTTGGACATCAGCCGCCTGATACCCTCGAGAGGGGCATCGTCGTAGTTGGAAGGGTCTTCAGATAGGAGTTTGATGATCACATCATCCTCCATCTTCCCCGTGCCTGGGTTTCCCACACAGTCGGTGAAGGTTCCACCACGCTGTGCTCATTGTTAGCATAGTGCTGTGGAATTGTCAAAGCCATGAAATTGCTTTGCATCTCCTTGGATGTTCAAAGGCTAGACCATAATGCCTGGAATAGGCTATAGGATCATTATGATGCACTCTTCCTTTTACAAGTGTCACAGACTAACGAAAGCTATGATAAAAATTTGTTCCACGTACATCTATAGCAATTCTAATTCCGCCTTGCGTTTGCTTGTGTTCCCCCATCTTAAATGAGTGTGTTGAAAGACTGTGAGGGATGTATGAGATCGAACGATGAAGTGGCAAAAAGTAATGTATCACCAAAGTCAAAGCTGGCTGTCAAATGATGCTAAAAGGGTATCAGAATATAAAGTGTGTTTCTTCACAAGAGATCGTGTCACTTTGTTTGGTACCATGAACCATATATATCAAAATCCGAAGCGGCGTTTGTGCTCCGCGGTGGGAGACGGTGTCGAGATTCCGATGATAGATCAAACAACAATGTCATTAGTAAACAAATTCTTATCTCTTATCGTGAATGAGGGGCTGAATGAGGGGCACGACGATGATGGGCTTTACAATACTTTGGAATACATCGCAGTAATCTACGAGCAGCTATTTTTATATCTGTATATTCTTGGATTGAAACATAAAGCAGTTTTCGAATTATCATTTAATGGAAGGAGGGGAATATGTTTGTTAAGTATCGGTATTTCAATCATGCTGTTCCTCCAACCTTTCCCCCTCCACTTTCCAGACCATCTCGATACCGGTACTTGACAATTGTGAGATCTTACTTTATAGATTGGGAATCAACGTTGTCCCGAGCTGAGGCTACTTGCTTTGAATCCAGATACTGGAAATCTAAGCATCATTGGGAGGGGTCAAGGAGAACGATGCATTTGTAATGACGGACTTCAAACCGAATGGCTTTTTTGAGGAGCTTTGATTGGCATGATCTACAAGAATCATCAAAGGTCTGTTCAAATCACATTGAAAGGCTTAGTTCGACGACGTTGGCTCTTCACATCAATAAATACCTCAGCAGCTTTAAGACAAAGCCACAGCACAGACTGTAAATCTTGCACATCAAAGCATGGCCCTCGGCATTTCCACCGCCCATAGCGATTATGTGGCTTAATCTTCAATGAGGTGGTCAAGAATTGCCCATTTCCAAAGTCTCTTGAGGTCCAGTTTGTATGAGTGTGTCCAGGCGATGAGCGTGAGTATTCTAAGCTTGAATCCACCCTCCCTTGACCAAGACTTTCCCTTGGGTATTCGTCTACTATCGTTACAACCCCATACATGCTCAGTAGCAGTACCCTTGTTCACAGCACCGAGAACCATGACTATCGAATTCGAGGATGAACTACTCCAGGAGCGTTCTGAGACCGAACCTCTACACTATATTCACGCATTGCCTCACAAATTAGACCTGGATTCTTACTATATGTACAAATGTAATCTCGCAAAGCCCTGTAGCAAGCTGCTACAACAGGTTTAATGTTTAATACTCAGTGGGAAATGCACTTCAAGCTATCGAACCGACTCGGGAATTAGGCATTTGGAATCCTTAGTCGGGACTTTGGAACATTAGGATCTTCATTCCGACAAGACAGTCTTGGTATTAAACCGAGTCCGTGGTCTTTATCAGATTGCTATCTTACTTCATATGATATGGAATCGATTTTCTAAGTTTTCGATAACAAGTCTGCTATGTGTGACAACAAGTCAACTGAGTCAACCAAGTCAATCAAATCAATCAAGTTTTTGAGTTTTGCCCAGAAAGACGGATAGAAGGAAGCCGATGAAGTAGAAGAAGATGAAACTTGAGAACAGACAATAGGCCAAGAATATTGGTAATCGTTCGTAAAATTCAACAATTCTGGCTAGATCGAGCCTTACGTTATTTCCTAGGACCGTTTTCATTGAGCAATGATAAAAGTACTAGATCTCTAACGGCCAGATGAACGAGCAGTCTTCACAATGATTGATCAAAAGCCATGTGGCATGTACAACCTAAAAAGGAAATAGAGGCTAACTATCAGATACTCGTATCTGACACAGCTAGGGTCACTTGGAACGAACCTTCTTTGATCAAACAATGGCATTTTCCGTTGAATCCATTTCGCGAATGGATCGGTAATCGATGACTGTATTATGGATGACTTTTCATCGAAGGAGGGTGCTTTGATTATGTATCGTAAGTATCGTAAGTATCGTAAGTATCGTAAGTAAGAGAAGAATCCTAATGTAACCAACCATCCGGCGAACAACACAGAAAAGGGTAATAAGTTGTGAGAAGATTACACAATCCTTCTAGATTCACGCTAAATCGTAAGCTATTTAATCTATCTACATGTATCTATAATTGAGATGTACCTTGGCTTACCATCATCATGCAATAGATCCGAAATACATTTGTTCTACAGACTGTACGAAATTCTGTGTATGTTGTTTTCAGTAGTGTAACAGTATAATGAATGATGTATTGGTTATAGCCTTAAGAATTTGGCCGTTTGTCAACGGAATACTAGAAATATAGCCAAACCGAATAAAACAATATTATAACGGCGAGGTTAAGCATCAGATGAGAATGACACAGCAGCACTAGCATCTGTGTGAAATTGTAAGGAGATCTGGGATTCGAATTTGGGGAGGAGCTCAAGTTCAAGGGCCCAAAGCTAACCCACACTCGAAACAAAGTTTGGCCTAGAGATCTATCGAGATTGCCAATGTGGTTTGTTGAAGATAGATATTCGATGATGGTAAGCAAGTGAATCCTTCTAGTGAACTTAAAAAACGGCGGATCTACAAATGTTTTGTTTCTCTTCTGAGCAATGAGAGATGTTAGGCATCGGAGAATTTCAAACGTTCATATCAAGCGGTTTACCCCTAAAGTTTCTGAAAGCTAGTAAGATGTGAAACGACATCAAATCATTACCGTATTGAGCATACGAATTAGCTTGATGGGTTGTGGAATTCGGATATCGACAGTCATCAATGTAAATGCATGAAGATAAGAGAAATTATTCGAGTCCAACTTGTACGGAGTAGGTAGGTAGGTAGGTAATTACCCAGATAGTGCGTGGAGATGTACAGAGTAATGTATGCATATGACAATACCGTTTGCACAAAGATCTACGACATACGAGTAGCCATTTACAAACCGTTGATATTGCGGGTTTTATATTCTTTGGTTGATAGTCCGGTCCGTCCCCTTTACGGTAACGGACAAGATGTTGTACAGGCAAGACAAGATATGATTAGACTTTGTACCATGCTAAAAAGTGTTAAGCTTTAGCCCCTTAAAAGCATTTTCTCGTAAGCATGATTCAATGCACCAAAATAGCAAAGTCACCTTGCTCCATGGTGAACATATGGAGTAATTTTGAGTAAGAAAGTGTGAGATGAAGCTGGAAAAAAGCTGGTAACGGTTACGTCGTCCTGCACGTCTACTCGAAAAGGGGAAGTTTGGGAAAGGTAGAAGGGCTTCTCCAAGAAGTACCAAGACCTCTTTGGGACCTCACAATCCCTGATTCGCATGGTGATGGCGATTTATCCTTGCAGTTCACATGTTTTACTCCTTGTCAATTCATAACCGTGATCATGTACTTTCCTTCGTACCTTGCCCTTGCACACATTGTTGGCACGGATTGAAGTTGAAGACCCAGTTTATCCAGTTTCTTACTTCGTCGTCAAATCATCGTACGCGAGAGTCAAGAGTTGTCTAACCAGTCTAACCAGTCTAACCACAACACTCCCAAAAGAGTATATACCCCTTGCGCCGTGCCCTTTTGACCATCCCGGGCCTTGTCTTGCACTATTTGGATGCTTGGTACGATGAGAAGCGCTGCTACCACCACAGAATATCCATTCCCTTATCCAGAATACGCACCCGCCGGAATGGAAAAGGGAGTGATAGAATTCAGACCACTTGCAGCTTCAATCTCAAATTTTTACAAATTTCTTGACCGACCTTTCAACCTGTACCTCGTTTTACTCATTAAGAGTCCCAGAGTTTACGTTTTGAGTTTGGAGTTTTATGTATTTTTCTGATTCTGATTTTGCCTTCGCCCACTCACTCCATTTCTTTGCCCATACTTTGTTTATAAAAGTTATTGTTGGAATTTGAGTTGCATGTCGATGACGATTTGCGATCACTGCAATCAAATTTATGTATGATATATGTCAATATCCATTAGGCACATTACCTTGATTGATGTTACTGCCGCCAATCCGAAGCCGGTACCGGTATATGTACCCCTCCAACGATATCGTACAATAAACGCCTAGGGATATCCGACATTGTACTGTTTGTCTCAAATAGAAGCATCGCGGAGTCAAGTGAGCTTGATCTTGAGGGAACCATCTTAAACTGTCAATACCTTGTTGAATCCTGTCATCGTTCAATACACATCGGAATTTGTATCGGATAGGACTTGTGGGAGCAAAGAGCGCGTCGTCATTAAATTGTAACAGCATTTACCGACAAACTCTATATATTGATCGTCTGGAAATCCTGGGACCTCTCAGTAACATATTGTATGATCAAACAAAAGACGACATCGAACATTGGGGGGGAAACAACTCTGGCTTTAGAGATACCATTCTGGAAGACGATGATTCCTAAAAGAGAGGTTTGAGCAAGTCTCCATTCATATATTCTTCTTCCCGGTCAGGTCAGGTCAGGTCAGGTCAGGTGGGTGTTGATCGATAAAGCTGTTGTAATGCATATGGGACTGCAAAGAATTAGGAATAGATGTGCTAATATTGATTTATTGATCGACCAGGCAATTTCGAATACCTCCACTCCACTTCACCCACTTCCATTGGTCCCCTACAAGTCACAACCCTCGATTAGAAAAGTGGCACGTTCCGATTTCAGTCCCAGACTCCCAGACTCCCAGACTCCCAGCACAAATATCATAAATACTTGGGTATTTAATTAAGACGTCGCCGTCCGGATCCTGCACCTACCACAGGCGATACCATACTATATATAAAACTCGGCATCGATAAGTCGGGGTCAATATCATAATTGGATAGAAAATACGCTCAATCCCACTCCCACTCCCATTCCCATCCCCACTCTCAAACTCAAACTCAATCTCATTTTCACAAGAGAGGGAAGAAGGAACGGAAAAGGGAAAGGGAAAAAAGGGGACGAAGCCCATCTTTGTTTTAGCAGAGAAGATCAAGTTGAAATAACAAAATCGGGGAAAAGGGTAGATCGTCATTCTTTTCTATTGTCGAGACTTACGTAGGTGGTTGAAGGAGAATCATTCACATCAAAGTCGCAATTTACACACAGAGTCCGACTGCCTTATTATTATCATTATTATTATCATTATTATAATTATTATTTAGTCGCAACAGCAGAAAAAGAGAGAACCAGATTGGCTTGCGATTAAAATACAAGGGGGTAAGGAAGGAACTTACCATAACGGATCACATCAAGCTAGTCACTTTTCTAACCCAAATAGGATTAGCCCATTATTGATACAGTACAATTTACTATCCACTTATCCACCAATTTTAAACCTCGACTTCTATTCCCGACAATGCCATCGTTATCTTACAGTACAACAACAGAGGATCGTCTGCCATATCCACTACCTACGAACAATTCAGTATCAAATTCAAGATTCAACAATTCCTCTGCCAATTCCACTTTGAATGCACCGGTCAATCGTCTACAACGCAAACCCTCGTTTGGGAACCCTCGCCAGATTGCGCCCCCTCTTCAAAATGAATCTCACGATGCAATAGGGGAATCGCGAAGACAGCCGAGGCAACCCCATAGTCGCTCTAGTAGTACAAGCGGTGTTAAAGAACCAATCGGAAATTTCAATCGGTGGAGTCAATCGACGACTTCCAGTGCCGGAGGACATATTCGGAGTCGTTCTAATTCCATCTCACGTTTGAGTTTTGGCGGATCCGGATTGAATGGGAATGGTGTTGGCCAATCTCCCCCAAGAAAATTACAAAAGAGTCGACCTTCAATTGATAACAGCCCTCAGACGAGAAGACCGACAGACCGACCTGCGAACCCCCCTCTACCGTCATCCCTCCCTCCGATTATTACTCTACCAATTGATCAGCAACCCGGAAACCATTCCCCATCGCTGTCAAGTGCGTTGACCCCTTCCACGGCTGGATTGTTATCGGCCGCTGTTCACCAGACTGTGCCCGATTACTTTGGAAAATCTTGGGAAGGTTCTAGACCCAGAGATATCTCTCAACGACGATCGCCCTCAAGATCAGGAAATCACAGTATTAGTCCTTCACCAATATCGGCTTTCTCGACTGACACAGCAACACGCCATCCTCCATCTGAAGAGGAATCACGAGTGGCGAGGGGCCATTCAAGGAACCGTTCAAGGGCCGAAAAGAGTAGTAGTTCTTCTCGCGGCTCTAAACAGCCCTCACAAAAAGCCATGCTGTCCAAAGCTTTGCAGAAAGCGAATACGGCAGTATTACTTGACAATGCGCAAAACTATGAAGGCGCCATGCAGGCGTATTCTGAGGCGTGTAATTTGTTACAGCAAGTCATGGCTCGTAGTTCAGGAGACGAGGATCGACGCAAGCTGGAAGCAATTGTGAGTATTGTGTTGGTAGATCGATTATTTACCATTAACTAATTATTCCAGCGTAACACTTATACTAGCCGGATAAATGAATTGGCCAAGATTACTCCCGAGTTAAGTGATGAAAAGGCACTTCCTGCCAGGCCCGAAAGCACAGACTTTAGGTCGGAATACAGACCAGACGAGCTTCCAATGAGTGATGAAGATGATGAGCCTGCTATCGTAGAGACAGCCACAATTACGAGGATAGTTAACGATGCTTCTTACCCAAACGAACCTCAGCGGGATCGATCATATTCGAGGAATCGTCAATCCCACTCGCGAGGAGAATCTTCGTCCTTCGAACCTCCCCAGACGCAGACTAGAAATCACCCTGACCAACGATCCAACTACTTCTCTAGATGTAATCAATCTCAAGGACGAAACATTGAAACGAGCTTAGCCGTACCTATGGAGAGCCAGTACATGCCACCACCTCTGTCTCCAAGGCGACCTGTGTCACCGATGACATATGGTCCATCGAGCTCCGGTCATAGAAGACAGAAGTCTTCCGAGCCGCCGAGCCCAAAATCCAACTCTAATTTATCTGCTCCGTCTCCATCTAAAGGGCATACACGAGCACCCAGTAATGAATCCATGTCGTGGTTAGATACCATTGATGAGTCTGGCGGATCGGCTGCTTCATCTGTACATTCTAGATCCTCGTCACTACATGTAAGGAGGAAACATATTCGTGCTTCTAGCGGTCAAACTGAAGCAGAATTCGATGCAGCACTGGATGCTGCCGTTGAAGCGGCTTATGACGATGGCTTCGAGCCTGTAAATTATGACGATGATGATGACAATGAAGAACTTGTAGCAAGTGTCAGGAGAAAGATTGAGTTGGCAAAAGAAAGGGTGCGCCAAAACGAACGAGAAGCTGCTATAGAGGATGCACACGAAAGAGAACGAAAACGATTGTTTCAACAAATGCAAGAGCCACATATTGGTCCACTTGATGACTATGAGGGAAATGAGTCAGAAGAGGAAGAGAGGATGCTTGAAGAAATGACTAGAGGTTACGTGATGGATGATTTTGAATTCGGTCTACAGTCGAAGTCGGCACTGCCTAGGGAATCTGATTCCAGTGGTTCGTTCTCGGGCCGGACTTGGCATAGCTCCAGTGGTTCCATACCCCCGCTCACCAATATCGCCGCAGCATCAACGACATCACCAGTTGTTTTATCGCAACCTCAAGTTCAGCCACCTCACCCGCCGCCTTCTCAAGCATTGCCTGCACCACCAAACCTTGATGGTAGCCCGGTACGAAGAAGTAGTCCAGCGCAGAGTGTTCGAAGCAGAAGGCTATCAGGTCAGAATGCCAAACAATTAAAAATTGAGACATCATCAAGGTTGATTGAAGTTCAAAATGCTCCCTTGACTCTACCTCCATCAATACCGCCACCACAAATTCCAGATGGCTTTGCAGGTCCCAAGACTGCCGGCTTACTGCAACACGGACTAGGTTCGATCAGCCTTCGAACAGCTATTCCCACACGACAAGGTTCAATTTCAGGACCGAGCTCTTCAGATTATACTTCTCCTCCGACAGCATTCCTTACCCAGACACTCACAAATGATAGTAACGACAACTTCAACTCTATACCTCGATCAGGATCACCAAACCGTTCCCACTCGAGAGCAGGACTGCGAAAGAATTTTTCCTCGTCAAGTTTGAAGAAGGTCCGAAGCCATACTATGTCGATTTCCAATTTGGACGAATTTGGCGATGTCATGCCACCTACGCCAATGACTGGACAAGGTAATCATATCAATGGAAGGATGCCTGCTATGCCCACTCTACCAACACCGATTGCTGCCGCCTTTAAAGAGAAGATGAACGGTGCACCTACTGGAGGCCTTTATCTTTTCAACAATGATCTTCACTCTCCAGAAAGCCCTGGTTCGCCAAATCCAATGAGTGCAGGTGCCCCAATTCCATTGGAGCCTTGTCCGACAGAATATCTCCTTCGTCCATTCTGGCTTATGCGAGCTTTGTATCAGACTATTGCGCATCCGAGAGGTGGCTATCTATCCACTAAATTGTTCATACCTCGAGATGTATGGCGTGTGAAGGGTGTTAAAATTAAGGGAGTCGAAGACAAAATTGCTAGTTGTGACTTCCTCACAGCAGCTTTGATGAAGCTAGGTCAAGTTGATACTTATGATGCTGATGCTGTTTTGGAAGAAATGCAAGCTTTAGAAGGTATTCTGGAACAGGTCCAAATCACACTCAGTAAAAAGCTGGGCAATGAAGTTGGCGTACATGGCTCGAATGGAATGTTCAAGGATGCAACAACTATGGGCGATCCTATGGACTTTGCTAGTACGAGTACTAAATCTGGGAATACATCTAGCAAGACCTCTTCATTCTCATGGAGACGCCTACGTTCGAAGAATTCCGCTATGGGTCTCGCCAATAATTACTCAAATAAGGTCACGTCTCCTGAGATACCTAAGGAAGGGCTAACTATGGGTACATTACCTATGACCTCTGCCCCTAGATCTCGATTCGCCAAGAGAGATGTTAGTCAAGTGCAATTTTCTGGACCGAATGCAAATTATATGAGTGCTTTGGCGAAGCTATTTGACGCTGCACAAGCTATTGGTATGTAACAATCCTAGCACACTTTGATCGCCCACAAAACTAATCAAATGAACAGATCAAATTGCACGTCAAGTTGAAGATCCTGGTCTTCGCCATGCGGATAAAACTCAAGTTGGGCTCGAACTTTGCACTCGTCACGCAGCTGAGTTCTTCGGATTTTACATCTGTCGTTTTGTGTTGACTGATATCTCATTGCTTTTGGACAAGTTTATCAAAAGAGGAAGTGAATGGGTTCTAGTATGAATCTTGCATTTGTTATTTGTGGTGATAGTTTTTGGATGTTATTGTGCTTTCGGGATTAAGAGCTGGAAGAATACATTGAAGGAAGAAAGGTCATGCTTTCTAATTTTTTATTATTGTGGGAACTTTCTGTGACAAGGATGATGGAATTGGAATGGAGTATTGTGTTGTGAATGGGCGTCTTTGGGATGGATGGAATTATATTATACCTAGGTACTTGCCATATAAAATTATGGACGTGGGTTCTTGGAATGGATGGGTGGTGGCGGCTTGCATGCATTCGTAACTTTTGATGAACGATACCATTACAGAGAAATTGAAGGAAAAGATAGGATTGATGAAGTGGAGGAGTCACATCGTATGATAAGAAGAGAAGGAATATAAAGGGGTTAAGAGGAGTAAGAGAATGGAAAAGAGGGATTTTATGATCGAAGGGCGTTTGTATAGCTGCCTATTTGCGTATATTTAGATACCTATCAATACTGGTACTAATGGATGAACATCAGATGATAAATGAAGAGGAAGAAAAGGAGAAGGGAACAAGAGATAGCGTGATGGAATCTGAGAAGGGGATGAGATACTGATTGAGAGGAATGAATTGAAGGATATATTTTTATATTATATTGTGTGATTAAATGAATGAGGGTTGTATTGCATTATATGGTATTGCTTTATATTATCGTATAGTGTATTCTATCGCATGTATTGTATTGTATTATAATTACTATATGATATTATATTGTATAATTTGTGTTATCTTATATTTATATCGTATTGTGTTGTGTCGTGTTATGTTGTTATGTTATATTGTGTTGTTAGATTATTGTGACTATCGATCGAGTGAAGGTAAAGAGATCGGATCGGGATTTTGAGGAAATTGGACTCGATTCGATTGTGAAGAGGGGGAGGTGTGGTTGGTTGGATATGTGGATGTGTATGTGTATATTGGATTAGGTAGGTAGATGATAATATTGGATATATTGAATATATTGAATATAATTAGTAGGTATGGGGAGTTTGATTTTTTTTCTATGCTATTTTTATATTGTGTTGTTTGGGAGTTTGGGAGTTTGGGAGGTTTAAGAGATTTGGGTGTTTTGTATAAAAGGGGGGGATGGGGTGTAGGTGGATGGGGATTAGTTGTGGATAGGTAGTTGTGGGTAGTTGTGGGTGAGATTGGGGATGAGGTGATAAGGTGATATGAGAGAAGAAAATATGGGATGAGGAGGTATGAGAGGTATAGAAGATATGGGATGGGATATGAGATTGGGGATGAGGTAATGAGGTAATGAGATGGTATGAGAGAAGATATGAGATGAGAATGGGATGGGAAGATATAAGAGATATAGAAGATAGAAGAGGTATAGCAGATATGGGATAAGGAGGGTAAGGTGACGAGATGATATGGAATGGGGAGGTATGGGATGAGGTAATATGGCAGGTAAGGGATGGTAGGAGGATATTTGAGATTGAGTATAAGGTGACGAGATAATAAAGGAGAAGGAAATATAAAAGGAGAAGTATAGAAGAAAGAGATATGGTACGGAAGAGATAAGAATGTATATAGATGCGGATACAGAATGAGAAAGGCAATGAAAATGAAGAAGTGATGAATAAATCATCCTAACTGACTACCTAATAGTACTTTAAGTACCTACTAGTAGTAATAAGTTGAGAAGTTGGGAGGTGAAATGAAGCGGTATATCTGATTCGGGGTCTTGTTGAATTGGATTGGACTGCATGGGTTGGGATTGAGATGGGTTGAGATTGGGGATTGAGATTTGGGATCTGTATTGGATTGGATGTTTTGAGTGTAATACGTATGAGTGTGACTGTAAATCTAGATCTGGTTCTGGTTCTGGATATAGATATAGATATTTTGATTTGGACTGGATTTTATGAATTAGAATATAGATATCTAGGAATTCGAGGTTAATTAATGATTTAAAATAGTGGTTTTTAGGGATTCGAGTATAGATGGATATTTGGGGATTGAATTTGGTGTATTGGGATGAGGATGTTGGGATTGGGATTGGGATGTTTGGATGGGTGTTGTAGTTGAATGGTATGATGACTGAGTAGTCTGTTACAGATTGGATGGGGAATAAATGAACTTCTGAGTGGTAGGTTTTGATCTGAATCCTGATATAAAATATCAGATATCAGATACCGGATGTCAGATGTCAGATGATAGGATATCAAATGATTGCAGAATATAGAGGAGAATAGAGAGCAGGATGGAGAGGAGGATGGACCCATTACGGATTTTGACAGTTGGCAGTTGAGAGTTGAGATGTTTCTTATAGTTTCTATATACAGGTAGCTAATTATCGCTGCTAGATACTAGATACTTGACATTGAATACTAATAGATATCGAATACTAGATATCAAAAATAACAGGAAGACCAAGAACGAGAGCAAAATAATAAAGACAACACACAACCTCAGAATACAAAACAAAACAATAAACGAACCCCACCCGGACCTAACCAAAGTAGCGGGGAGAGAAAAGACAAAGATACATTCTACAGGAGGGATGAGAGATATAGATTCAGTGTGGTGTATCTATCTATCTAATCTATGAATCAATAAAGCACAAGCCAATCTAATAGTAAGTACATGCATGACCTTGCGAGAATTTTCTTTTTTACAAAGAGCGAAAAGCATCAGGAATCTATATATTATTGGAGTTGTGTAGAAAGATACTTACTTATTATCGGACTATCTGATTACATACTTGATCTAGAGAGAAGAGTTTGATAAATTTTTAGTTTCAGAGGATGGTTCGAAAGAGATTTTCAAATCTAAGTTTGTTGTCGTCTCATGCGTTGGTGTATTTACTGTTGGATCCTGAGACACTGGATCTTGTTTGTATTCCTGAATAGGATAATCCAATTACGACTCAAGACCAGTATTCTAGGGGAACAACATGAGCAAATACTTTCAATTTAGACATGCCAAATTGGTCAATTAGAAAAGTAGACGCACGCAAGACAAGTATCAAAGATTTCAATATTATTTATTTCTAGAATAGACATCAGTCAGTCTTGCTGCTGTGTGTGTTTTGACCCCCAACTCCATGAACATTCGAGTCATCAACCTTTTCCTTTTCATCAACCTCTGCTTCCATAACTACAGTACGTCTTTTCAAAAGAGACATGGTCATCAAGACTTCTCATCAACTATCAGTGTCCATATAGTATGGACATGCTTCCCGATTGTCTTCTGCATTATCTCCGCTCCTGATATAGGGACTTAAACTGGGTTACCAGTCTCCTTCATAGCCATGTTTGGTTGAGGATAAGCCTTTCCTCGTCCTCCTTTGAACATCTCCAATGCAAGAATAGCACTGCTTCCCATCCAAAGTAACCAACTGAAAGCACCAAAGACTGCATCGGCACGAGCCGCTCCACAGACAGAACCACGGCAGAAAAGAAGCTTGCTGATGAAGACGGAAAGGGCAATGAAACCTGCGAAGTAGAAAAGAACGTTGAGAAGTTCAAATGTGAGATGTGCGTATGGGTGAGATGCTGATGAATGTTAGAAAATTGTGTATGTACTTTTGAAGTGATAAACGTACCTTTCGACATGAAGCGGGGTGCAACTTCAAGATAAACAATGGAAATCAAAGTAAAGACAGGTACGAAAACCAAAAAGTTGATTTGCGAAGGGCTTGCGGTCAAAGTATCGGCATTGTACCAGTGGGAAACTATATGGTATATTAGCAGTTATTCCTTGGTATGCCAATCATAGAATTTCTCATACCATATCCGGACAAGCCAAGTACGACGATAGCAAAAACTGCTTGAGCAATTCGAATAGGAAGAAGTAATCCAATCGCCATTTTGAAATTAAAGTGTTGCTATTTGGGAAATCTTGTTGTCGTGAAATGGATGATCTTAATAGTCGTGGAAAAACGCAGCTGCAACTTGGGCGCGCGTAAATGAGTGAATTCGAAGAGGATGTATACAAATTGGAAAAGGAGACAGGTGGAGAAAAGTTGAAAGGAGACAAAATACAAAAGAGTCACAGACTGATATTATAATCACCAAAGAATTAAGTAGACAAAGTCTGAAGGCCGAATGGTTTCCATTGCAGCCAAAGTGGAAAAGATGCATAAACTCAGTATCATGTTTGAAACGGTATATCAATCCATCGCACAGATCATGCCGGTTCTCAACTCCCTACCAAACCAGGATCTACGGCATTACATTGAAGACACAGGGCTATATGACCAATGATAATTGTTAACGACGTCCTGGCTACAGTGGAGAAAGGCCTGCTTGCGTTCCCCGCGATGCGTAGGACAATACAACCGCTGAGTACCATATTTTTTATTGGAATTGCGCATCACGACCAATGAAAGGATGTGTTGATTGCAATCATCAAATGATCTTCTCCCGCAAACGCGCGCATTGAACTGTATTACCTCAAAGCCCACTGACCCTGAAATATCCACCTCTAATAAGAAGGTTCTACACTGCAGACTGAAGTACTTTGGTAAAGCCGACAGCTTGCGACCTTGAATAATAATACCAGCAACCAATTGAAACAATAAGCACGCTTTGTCTAGAAGTTGAGAATTATCCGCTCGGACATCTCACAAGTTTCTATGTATCTCAGAGCATGAAACACCAACTACAACACAAATTTACTAACTCAACCGCAAAGCTTAAAAAGGGATATACTCATCTCAACCTACAAGTAAGTTCTAGTGCCACCTCGTAGGAAGTTCCAAGAGTGTCAGTGTTGTGTTGCCAAGAACGAAGCACAAGATTGAGGTTCCTTTATTGATTCGTATCTGCGAGCTTTGCGTTTGAAGGCGGCGGAATATGAGACGTTCTTAAGCTACAATATTTGGAATGCTTGGACACGAGCTTGACATCGTAGGTCATCCTTCGCAATGTTATTGAATTGCCGTGTCAGATATCTGTTGTGGAAGTGATGTTGAGAAAAGTATACTTAGTGTATCGTCTGGAGTTACGAAGGAACCTCACGGCGCCATGGTGCATCGAAAGACAAAGCTGTGATTTGCTTGCCAATGTCGTTTGAATGGAAAATCTGATCTGTAATGCAACACAAAGTGTAGTTGTAACACCAACATTGATTTGTTGTTGAAGCCAATGAATTGTTTGGAAACTGTGCTCGCTGTGGTAATGAAAGAACGGTCAAAGCCCAGGGCTGATAGTTCTGGTAAGACCGACCACCAGACAACTTTGATCGGATGAGTAAGCAACCCTCAAAATATCAAGATGATGTCGATAGGACCGGAAGGATGAAATGAAGCCATTCAGATCACCACTTTTCAATCCAATGGTGTCTAATCTTCGATGAGCTCTTCCACTCTCATCCCCTTTACCTCAAGAATGAAAGAAATGACGTGCTCAAGCCAATGAATGTATAATGTATTACCCCCACTGTGGTCATCAATTGGAAAGAGTTATTTGTCTTACCAAAAGGGAATGAGGGGAAACAAACATCTTGATCTATTTAATTTAGAAAGACTCCCGAGATTCATTTTCTTTTCTTTCTTGTGATTTTTTATCTCTCAAATTTCATTCAACTCCGGAATCGAAGCATAATCGATCAACCAATATGGCGCCCGTTGAAAGCACTCATTTCGAGACTCTACAGCTTCATGCTGGGTTCGTGCTATGCCACTTCTTCCCCGCACTTTGAAGACAAGGCTGATTAGATTCTGTCGACCGTAGACATGAACCGGATTCAGCAGCAAATGCAAGAGCTGTGCCAATCTATGCTACCACAGTCAGTCTGCTCATTTCAGAGATTTTTGTGATCTTAAGAACTAAATATGATATCTATAGAGCTTCACATTCAATGACTCTGCCCATGGAGCTAGGTTGTTTGGCCTTAAAGAGGTTGGAAATCTTTACAGTCGTATTGCGAACGTATGTATCACTCCAGCTATGTTCTATCTGAAGTCGATGAAAAGTCGTTGAAATTTGGCATCTGATTTTTTAAGTATTGGCAACGTCTGTGATGAAAGTTGGCATCTCAATTCTTAAGAATTGGCATTTCTTCGTTCAAAATTGGCGTCTCAGCAATTTCCAATTCCTAAACTTCATTGCCAAGTACAACACCAGAATCTTAGCTAACTTGGCAACAGCCAACTGTCGAGGTTTTTGAAAAGCGGATTGCAGCGCTGGAGGGTGGACGAGGAGCGGTAGCATCTTCCTCTGGTCAAGCAGCTCAGTTTAGTATGTCAACTCAATTGATTTCCTCTTCACCCTCACTCCTTCCTTCACTACATCACCCCTTTGAAATCATGCCATAAGCGAATGCGTGCTAATGATCCACTAAAGTGGCATTTGCCGCATTGGCCCATGCCGGAGACAATATCGTATCCACGACGAATCTTTATGGAGGAACATACAATCAATTGAAGGTTTTCCTTCCAAGATTAGGCATAAATACCAAATTCGTTCAGGGAGACAAGGCAGAGGACTTTGCGAAAGCTATAGACGAAAATACAAAAGCTGTGTACATTGAGAGTATTGGAAATCCAAAATATAACGTTCCAGACTTTGAGGCTATTGCGAAAGTAGCACACGGTTAGTGATTGTACTACATCTTAATCTGGCTTGGCTACTTAAATGCTTGACGCTCCTGCTCTTGTTCAAGAGAATTACTAATTTCATACTTAGATGCCGGAGTTCCCCTCGTCGTTGATAACACATTTGGAGCAGGAGGGTATTTTTGCCGCCCTATCGACCATGGAGCCGACATTGTCGTACACTCGGCGACTAAATGGATTGGCGGTAATTATGCGTTTCGCTGTCAGATGTTGTTCTTCCTTCTAATTTAGTTCTAATAGGACACGGAACTACCATTGGTGGCATAGTCATCGATGCAGGAAATTTCGACTGGGGAAAACACGGCAAGCGATTTCCAGAAATGGTTGAACCATCCGATGGATATCATGGACTAAAGTTCTGGGAAACATTTGGCCCTGACACTTTTATTACTCGTGTTAGAGTTGAGGTTCTTCGAGATTTGGGAAGTTCATTGAATCCATTTGGAGCATTTCAATTGATCCAGGGCCTTGAAACTTTGAGCTTGAGAGGAGAGCGACATGCTCAGAACTCATTGGCGTTGGCAAAATGGCTTGAGAAGAATCCACACGTTTCCTGGGTATCATATCCAGGATTGGAAAATCACCCATCCCATGAGTTAGCCAAGAAATACTTGCCTCGTGGGTTTGGTGGTGTCTTGAGTTTTGGGGTTAAAGGAGGAGGGGAAGCTGGTAGCCAAGTTGTTGATGGCTTCAAGTTGATTTCTAATTTGGCCAATGTTGGAGATTTAAAAACGCTAGCTATTCATCCATGGTCTACAACTCACGAACAACTTTCTCACGATGAAAGGTTGGCTTCTGGCGTCACTGAGGTAAGAGTTCGTTAAACATTTAATGTTGTGAATTTAACTAAATCTTGTTTTATAGGATCTTATTAGAATCTCGGTTGGCACTGAACATATTGATGATATCATTAAGGACTTCGAACGATCATTCGAAGCAGCTTCTGCAGCGAAGATAAGTGGTGGCAACGACTCGAATGTCGAGAAGACTGGTAATGCTAGTGGTGATGCTAAATTGGTTGTTTAAAATGATTCCCCCCCTTTTTAAAGTATTCTTTAAACTTTCTCTGCCTAGGTAGATGTGAACGTGGTGGAATTTTTTGATGGCTAATCAATCTACCGAATACTGATAAAATCCTATTTGCTACAAAGTAATAATACACATAACTATTCATTCAGTTCAATCAACACCAAATCTTTACTGTGATACCGATAGATTGGTTAAAGTACCAACTCGGATATAAATAACCGTCTACCGAACACTATTTTGCACCTGTACCTCGCTGACCACTTTTCTTCGTGGAGAACCTTTATGATTGTTGATTCAAATCCACTCTCTACCAAATATTCTCCCCCTATCAGAACGGATATGTCGGTCATTTCCAATCCTTCACAAATTGTGATTGCGATTTACAAAGCTTCTCCACATTCTGGAATGATATTATGCCCCAGCGCTCAGATACCGAGGTAAAACGAAACGCGACCATCGAGGCTTCGGGCGAGGCCACTCTCCATTTCTTCACATGCACCCTTTGAATGAATCTTGATCTACTTACAAACTTCACTCGCTGTCGGAATTAATTTGGCTTTGTTTATTCTATAGATCTTCATTGCGATTCATATTCTTCAAGTTTTATAGAGTATATCTTTTATCATTCCTTTTATACATTCCAAGGTTCGTAATCTCTCATCGCGAGCCGCTCAATGCCCAGCCTCCTAACCTTTGTTCGAAATTGAATAAGTACTGATTGTTATTTACTTTTTAGAGATCTAGTCCGACACCATGGCACCGACGGTACAAGATCCCGATACCTATGTGAAGACTATCCGAGCATCTCCTCCTCCCGGCTCACCCTACTCCCTTGCGATCCCGGGCAGTGCGCGCGAAGATCGCAGTGGTATTTACAGGCATTATCAATTCGTGGATAAGCCATTGCTCCAAACAATCGATCCAGAATGTTTGACCAGTCATGACTTTTTTGAGAAGGCTGCAAGAAAGAGACCAAATGCTAGATGTTTGGGCCATAGACCTTGGGATCCCGTTACAAAAACTTATGGTAACTATCAATGGATTACATATGCGAAGACGGCAGAGCGCAGAAAGAATTTTGGTGTAGGATTGGTAGAGCTTCATAAGAGGGCGGGAATCACAGATGATAAGTATGGTGTGGGTCTTTGGTGTCAAAATCGTCCAGAATGGCAAATTGTTGGTAAGAGATCTTGGAGTTTATTGCTACGTGCATCGTGCATTGCAGGGTGGGGGCTGACATGAGTTGTAGATTTGGGAGCGATGTCTCAATCCCTCTTCACGGTTTCCATTTACGATACTCTCGGACCGGATACAACGGAATATATCGTCAACCATGCGACGCTTGCTTGTGTTTGTACGACTCTACCACATATTCCGACGTTATTGAAGTTAGCGCCGAGAGTACCTACGTTGAAGCTCATTATTTGCCTTGATCGTTTGGATGAAGGAGAGCAGCCTGGAAACACAAAGAAAGCACTTTTGAATGCTCTTGCGGCTGAAGTTGGAATCGCTATTCATTATATTGGAGATGTTGAAGCCATTGGAGCTGCGTCCCCAAATTCCCCAATGAACCCACCTCGACCAGAAGACATCATTACAATCAATTATACCTCCGGAACAACTGGTAACCCCAAGGGTGTGGTTCTTACCCAGGCACACGCTGTTGCAGCCACTTCTATTTCGAGAATTGTGTCTGATCCATGGCCTAATGATGTCCTTTGTTCATACCTTCCATTGGCACACATTTACCAACGTCTTGCTGAGCACGGCTGTCTGGCTGTAGGATCTGCTATTGGTTATTTCCGTGGTGACATTCTCGGACTTGTCGACGACTTGAAGCTTCTTCGCCCAACAGCTTTCAACTCCGTTCCTCGTCTCTACAATCGATTCGGAGGCGCTATCAAAGCCGCTACTATCGATGCCCCAGGTATGAAAGGCACGATCGGTCGTCATATCATTAACACCAAGCTTGCATCGATGAAACTTCCACCTGGACAAGCTACCAATAAACACGCTCTCTATGATCGTATCTGGACTCCTAAATTAGCTAGTGCTTTTGGTCTTCAAAGAGCTCGTGGTATGGTAACTGGAAGTGCTCCAATTGATCCTGGTCTTCATCAATTCCTCCGTGCAGCCTTTGGTGCCAAGTTCATCCAAGGTTATGGTCTTACCGAAACTTACGCACACGGTCTTGTACAATACGATGATGATTACAGCACCGGTAATTGTGGAGGTGTAAGCCCGTCTAGTAAGTTGTTTCCACCCAATTCCTACTTCAAACTCGATTAACCTTTTTTCCCTCTCCACAGTGGAAGTATGCCTCGAATCCGTCCCCGACATGGAGTACCTCGCCACCGACACACCCAACCCCCGAGGTGAAATCCTCCTTCGAGGTACCGCCCGTTTCCGCGAATACTACCGCAACGAAGCCGAAACCTCCAAAGCAATCGATGCAGACGGCTGGTTCCACACCGGCGACATTGGAGAAGTCGACAGCATGGGCCGCTTCAAAATCATCGATCGTAGAAAGAACGTCCTCAAGCTCGCCCAGGGCGAGTACATCTCCCCCGAACGCATCGAAAACGTCTACCTCGCAAACTGCAATCTCCTCGCCCAAGCATATGTGCACGGAGACTCCACCCAAGCTTTCCTCGTCGCCATCTTTGGAGTCGATCCCGTGACGTTCGCGCCATGGGCAAGCAAGATCCTCGGCAGAGAAATCAAGAGTGACGATATTGCGGGCCTTAAAGAAGCGGGTAATGATAAGAGGGTGCGCATGCAACTTGTCAAGGTATTGGAGGGCGTGGGCAAGAAATCCAAGTTTAATAGCTATGAGAAGGTCAAGAATGTGTACTTGGATATCGAACCATTTACCATTGATAATGAACTCCTGACTCCGACGTAAGTTTTTTTTTCTTTTTTTCTTTCTTTTTTTTTCTTTCTTTTTTTCTTCTTTTTTTCTTCTTACTCCTTTTTGTCCTTCTCTCTCCTCCCACCCGAAGCAGAGAGACGAGAGATGAGAATTTCACACACATACATACACACACACAAACCCCATCCCCACCCACAAACACAAAAAACACAACTAACATCCCACCTCCCCCAAACCCAGACTCAAGCTCAAGCGTCCCCAAACGGCCAAGAAATTCAGAGAGCACATTGACACCATGTACGCCGAAGCATTGGCGGAGGAGAAACCGGTTGCGAAGTTGTAGATTGGATTTGAGGAGATTCGATTTGATTTTATTGGTTTGATTGGTTTTTAGATATGGGTTTTGAATTTGGTTGTTGTGAATTGTAGCTGGGTTGTAGGCTGTGGATTGATACATGGTTCTACTTTGCTCTTCCACCAACAAGCGCAGTGAGTGAGCGAGTGTATATTCACGCGTGTATGTATGGCGAAAGGAAAAATACACGAGAGCGTGAGGAGTCGAGGATAGATGCGAGGGGGCAGGAAGAATCAATCATCTATCATACCTCTTCTTGATTCCTGATTCTCGATTCCCGATCTTGAGGAGGGGGAATGGGAGTGGGAAAGAAAGCGCGAGATTCCCTAGAACTTATCTTTTATTTACATATATATATGGATGGATGGAGGTAGTATTAATAGTTGAACTTTTTTTTTTGATATACTTTTGTCTCTCTTTCTTGGTTCATTCCATCTTGTTAGTGAGATCTTGAGATTTTGAAATTCCAATACAAATGCCAATGTCAATAGTCGACGAAAAGAAGAAACCAATGCTCTAATCACTCCCTTCATATCGTGATGTCTGTTGAACAATTAATAGATTTCAATGCCGCTCATCTTTCGATCGCTCAAGCCTCACCCAGTCACTCACTCACTCACTCATTATCACAGGCCCATAAATCATACACAAGAAAATTTGTTTGTAATTATTAAAGACTGTTAAGACTCTAGGATGACGCTATCATCATCTAAATAAAAAAATGACTAAAAACGCTCAAATCTGCTTCAATTTTCTTGTGCCAAAAGTTAATCGTAATTGATCTTTCATTTAAGAAACAATGTACGAATACTATTTCCCAGCAAGTAAGCAATTTGAACTTTTTAGCGAGAAAGTAGCAAGCAGTTTTGATACCTATGAGCCCGTCTGAAGTTTTATACACACGAACTACCTAATTAATAACACAAGGGAATATTCGTAAAGAGCTACACATCCTGTAATTAATGTGCGCTTGTAAATTATTAGGTTTAAGTTTTAAGCCGACTTTTCGTGTTGTGTGGAGACACGCTGAAGTGAGACGACTAAAGAAGCATGAGTTAGCGCTTTGTTCGTAAAATGACATAAGACTCGGGGTAATCCACTTACCAAAATCTTCCAGAGATCTTTGTTTTTGAGTCTTCTTTGGTGATTTACCATGCATGAGGTTATCAAAGCCAGAACTATCTTGAAGAAGATAATAGACTCCGCCCATGATACAGAAAACTCCAAAGGAGAAAATCCAAATCCGAACGACGGCAACGATTGAAGTTTGACCTCCTACAAACCAACCGAACAAGGTGAAAAATGTTGCGATGATATCAACAATGAGAATAGCTCCAGTCAATTGCCACGATGGGAGTGATGACCAAAAAGGACCATTGGCACGTGTGATGAAAATCAACCAATTCTCAGTAAGAGAGATCTCAAGGAAGACAACCTCGTCAAGAACACCAAAGTTTTGAACAATACCACCATCTTCACCTCGAGCAATCATGGTGGTGAGAGTAATCCAGGTGCCGACGGCGAGAACAAATCCAAGGAGAACGGACATGCCCCACAATTTTGGAAGGTTCCACTTAACCGGAGTTTTGGAGAATGGTGCATTATCATAAGCAATAGCAAGAGTTGCAACATCTGCAAAAATGGCGATGAAGACGACCAATTCAATGTTGAGAGATCTATTCAAGATGGCGATCCAGAGACCAAGGAAAATCTCAAGATGTATTGACAAAGCGATACGATAGACAACGTAGGCGTACATGCGATGGAAAATTTGTCGAGAAGTCTTAAGAGCGTCAATGATAGCACCCAGTCCAGGAGCTAAGAAGACGATATCCGCTGCCGAACGAGCGGCATCCGAAGCACCTTCTACAGCGATACCAGTATCGGCTTTTTTTAGTGACGGGGCATCGTTGACACCGTCTCCAGTCATAGCCACAAGATATCCACGCTGTTGAAGAATTTCCACAACATTGTATTTATGTTGGGGGAAAACTTCAGCAAATCCATCAGCAGCTTCGACGAAATCATAGACCTCAGAGCCAGGCATGTCTCCACCACCACCAAGACCAAGGCGTTCAGCATTGTAAACATTAGTGCCAAGCCCAAGCTGTCTCGAAGTTTCACGAGCGATACCAACAGCATCACCAGTCAACATCTTGATGGAAAGTCCGAGAGTCTTGGCCTCGTTAATGGTACGAGCGGTATCATGACGTGGTGGATCAGAGCAAGGCATAATACCCAAAATCTCCCATTGACCCTCACCACGCTTTCGTGCAACACCCAGAGAACGGAAACCACGAGTGGCAAATTCGGCAACTTTGTTCTTGTAGGCTTGATCGATTTCTTCAGGAATTGGGTGGTCTTCCTCAACAGTCTTTAAAACGAAGAGTGGAGCTCCCTTGACACAAATGATCTTTTCTCCTTGAGGCGACTCGACGACAGCTTGAACTTTCTTGGAAACGGGATCGAAAGGATGAAACTCGAGAACTTTGTACTTGGACAAGACGGACTTGGCGCGTGGATAGTAACGAAGAGATTTCAAGAAAGCCTTGTCAATGGCATCAATACCCTTCTTCTTTCTTGAAGCAGCAAGACAAGCAGTCAACATAAGATCATCGGGTTCTACGCCTGGAACAGTGAATGGTTCGGCGAGAGAGAGCTTGTTTTTGGTCAATGTACCAGTCTTATCCGAGCAAAGAATTTCAACACCTGCAAGTGATTCAATAGCAGACAGTTTCTGGACGATAGCTTTCTTCTTGGCCAAATAGGCGGCACCAACTGCCATAGTAGTAGTGACAACAGCTGGGAGACCGACAGGGACACCAATGATCGTGATGGCTAGAGTATATTCGAGGATAAGAACGATTGGGTTCGATCGATAGAATGATGAGATCCAGACAACCAAGTTGGTGAAAATGACCAGGATCAAAAGAACCGTACCAATACCGTTCAACACTTCAGTAAAATGACCAGTTCCTGCGGAAGCTTGATTGACCAAAGCTGCTGCACGTCCAACAAATGTATGATCTCCAGTGGCAGTAATGACCATGAAAGCTTCACCACGCTTGACACCAGAAGATGCATAACATGTATCGCCCTTATGTTTATCAACAGCAAGAGACTCTCCAGTGATGGCAGATTGATCGACTTGAAGGAAAGAATCATCGGTAACGATACGACCATCGGCAGGAATAATGGTACCCTGTGAGAAGATGATTAGTCTTCGTCTGGAGATTTGAGTAAAAAAATTGAACTTACTTCTTCAATTTGTAGAATGTCACCAGGGACAACTTCAGGAGCTTCAATCTCATAGAGACGACCATCACGAAGAACAACAGCTTTCAAGGCAAGAGTCTTTTTCAGTTCATCGACAATGGAACCTGCTTGGTACTCTTGAACGAAACCGACGGTGGCATTGAGGAGGAGAAGTGCACAAATGACACCAAAATCGACCCAATCTTGAAGACCAGCAGCAAGAACAGCAGCAGCCTATCGAAAAATGGTTCAATTAGTACAAATCTTTGAGTATCATGGATTTGGAAGGATTGCGGAGTTACTCCACCCGGCCGTTTCGAATTGACGGCCACGACCTTCAACACTAGATGATCTGTGGAGAATCCATGTAGATCTCGAAAGCGCGAAATAGTGGGGTGCGGAGGATTTAAGAATGATGGTCAGAACTTTGTATAGACGTACCTCCATAACGAATTGAATGGGACCGATAAAGTACCCCAGGAACTTGAGAAATAAATTTTCTTTCTCTTCCTTCATTTGATTCAAACCCCATTTCTTACGACGAGCTTGCACCTCGGAATCAGTAAGACCAATGCGAGTATCTGTTTGAAGTAAATCTTCGGGGACAGGACGTTCTTGAGCAGGGCCATTTTCTTCTTCGGCCTCTTCATCTTCAGCATGACCATCTTGAGATTCGAGTTCATCGATCAATGCATCCATATCCTCATCTTCCTCTTCCTCTTCCTCATGCTTGATGGCGTCAGCAGGAGTGTGTTGCACACCACCATTCTTCTCATCGAATTGACCCGGTTCAATATTGGTTCTTAGGTGATTTGGAGGTGTATCGGATGAGTGATTGCTCGATTCGGCACCTGTTGTTCCATGAATATCAAGATCATGCTGACCCGCCAGATGTGCCATGACGACAACGGGTGGGAAATGAAAGTGGCAGATAAATCACTTTATTTGGTTGATGTAAGTTTTGTTGTTGATGTTAATGAGTAAAGTAAGGAACAAATTCTGTGGGAATCAACGACGCGACCTCGTCGAGTATGGAAAAGAATTTCGATGATTGGGATACCTTTAATGATTAAGGAGTTGTTAAATTACTTTATTAAAGAAGAAGAGGAATAAGAGGATGGGGTAAGTTGATGTCGGAATGTTTGTGTAGTGGAAGAGGAAGAAGAAAAAACAGTAGAAGAAGAATTGGGTCGGAAGAGAGAGAGAGGAGAGGAGAGGAAAAAAGTCAAGTTCGGATAGCAAGGTGAATTAGAATTAACGAATTGGTGAGAGGGAAAAAAAAAGAATTTAATTCAGAAGGTCCGAATAGGTTAAATTTGTTGATTGTGGAAGGAACGACCAGCGAAAAGGGTGAGAAGGGTGAGAAGGGTGAGAAGGGTGAGGTGAGTGAAGTGAGTGAAAAGAGTGAAGAGTGAAGATTGAAGTGACACCACTTTTTGGTCGATGAGCTGAGGTTCAGAGAGAGGGAGAGAGAGAGAGAGAGAGAGAGAGTGAGTGAGCGACAACTTCCAAATGAAATATGAGATATGACGCTAGGCGACGCCTCTATTATCACCAGTAATCTTCAATTGTCTTTTTTCCCTTTTCCCTTTTCCCTTTTCTATTTCTTTTCTTCTTCCTGATATGTGTAGGTAGTAGGTATTGGACAATTTCCTTTTATCCTCTGATTGTGCTGTCATTTCATCTGTCGAATGTATATCTTCTTATCAACTCTTGTCAACTCTATCAATCGTCTTCCATATCGTATTGACACCAATACTATCCAACAATTGATTCTCGTACATCTACTCAATCACTTTCTACCTCTCGATATCCATTTCCTCGCACATACACATCATCCCGCACAAGATGCAGCTATCTCACAACACCCCTACCCATATCACATCATTTATTTACTTTCCCCTCATTGTTTTGTCTTGAAGCACGTTCCACCCCCAGATTACATGGTATGGCATTGGCATCCGTTCTGTGCCCAGTCAGCGAAAAGAGATGGCACACAGAAGGAAAGCCCGACAAATCAAAATGGAGGAGAGGAAAATGTGAGGGATATCTACCTAGGTATTCCAAGGATTATTACTTGCTTGTGTTGGCGTTGGCGTTGGCGTTGGCCGCCTTATCAAATGGAATCCTATCGTTACATAGATACCTACCTAGTAGGTAGGAGGTAGTAGGTATCTACTAGGATAGATTCAACCGGTCGATAAAGCAAATGAACCGTCTCTATCTCGTTTCAACAACATATCAGGTAGGTATTTGAGTCGTGACGTCGATTTAATTCTTCACGATAATACTTCTTTCCTAATACAGGAGCTTCTGATATCATCCATAAGTGACATCACCTGACGTTGATGAACTACTACCCACCTATTAACGGGAGCTTTCTTTTCAAGGATTTCTTAGTACCTGGTGCACTTACTAGCTGAGTAGATCACGGCACTTTGAAGAAGAAAAAGCTCCACTACCCAAAAGCGAGTAACCAATTGACCCAACTATAATATAAAACCAACACTTTTGCCGGTATATAGGCAGCTCGCCGCTCGAACCAAAGAATCCTCCGTCGGATCTGCTGGCTTGCGGGGGAATGTGGGTAATGGTCATTTGTGTATTAATATAAGACTGACCGACCAAGGCCAGACCAGACTATTTCATCTAAAACCTCTATGTGAGTATCCTTCCTTACTTGGAACAAATCAATCGAAAATCTCAATATCGAGATTGACATCAATACAGTACTCACGTATGTATACTTCTTATCGCTCTTTCATCAAGTACTCAAGGAGACGATACAATACCTGCCAAGTGGTAACCTCAATGATTACACCATAACATAGCATGTGCACAATTAGGTACACATTGGCTCAAGAGATTCAAGTACCTAGGAAAATTACTACAGCGGCGAGACCGAGTATCAAGTGGGTGATGATTGAAATTACCTTGTGTTTCCATGCCTAGGTACCTACCTAGGTAAAGATTACATTCTTCACAATTCAACAAACAATCAACAATCAACAATCAACAATCAACAATTCATTCCGCAGATACAAATCCATAGAAACAATCAATCCAATCGAATTCGAAACAAAAATCTACCCACACAAGTCAAGTGATGAGTGGGTAGGTATTAGGGTAGTAGGTAGTTAACGAGAACCCCGAATTATATATTCATTTAGCCTTTCATACATAATCTTTTCGATGCTTTTCCCTCTTCCTTTCCATCTCCTTTCCTACTTCCTCTCCTTCACCCAACACCATCTCATCTCCTCACATCATTCCATTTACCCACCAACTCACTCAGTTAGCCAGGTAATTGTATATGAGGTATTTACATCTCGTCCGTCGTACAACTTCTATCTGTGGGTAATGGCACTTTAGGTATACATACCTAGTACTATAATAATCCATAGCGATAACGGGAAAATAGAATTGAATAGAATATTTGTGTAACTGATCACGAATTTGATTTACTATTTGTATGTGTACCGTATATGTAAGTGGGTATCGAAGTAAGTAGGAGGGGGTGTAGGTTACTACTAGACCGTGTGTTGAAGAATTGAAATCGTAAGTAGATTAGGGTAGGAGTAAAGCTTGATATATTATCACTCTTCTTTCCTTCTTTCTTCTTTCTTCTTTCTTCTTTCCTTGCATTAAATTCCAATATAAGATATACTAGAATCTTACAAATATGTAGAAAATTCTTAATATTTTTATGCTAGCTATAAAATTTAATCATTTCTAAATAGTTCAATTATCAGTTACTTAAAAAATTACAATTATATTATTGTTAGCACCTATAATTAATAAGGTGCTAATTTATATTAAAATAGAAAACTATATTTTATAATAATATCATAAGCTCTTTTCTTTTATCAAGCTTATAGGATAGTTTTATTAAGATTCTTAAGCTCTATCTCTATTCTATATAATTATTATTAGTCTTACAATAACCTTTATATTGATAATTTTAATCAATATATTGAAACTCAATATTTTAAATCTTGTATTGTTAATGAGGGAATTCATTGTTTTTATTAAGGATGTTCAGCATTTTTAGATAATGCTATATATTTTTCTTAATCATATAGCACGTCAACATGGATTGTCTCTTTGATGTGGTGCGATGTAAACTAATGTTCACGTTTTCGTTATTAAAATTGATATTCACTATATTCGAAGTACTAAAGTGCCCGCTCATCAAATCACAAATCTTGTGGTTTGGGCGTAGTCATGTAGTGATTGTGGCTCTTGGATCAAGTTTGACAGATATAAGTGTCAGTTCTCGGTATCAAGTTAGATGAATGAGGTAAATGAGCCGAGAATTGTGATATAGAGTGGTGTTATTAATGAGTTCGATATGAAAATAAGGCGGGTGGATAGGGTTGAATAAGTAGATAACAAGTGAGCAAGGGATGATGATTTCACGCTTTGGATTTTCCACAAGCTCCTGCGTCCTACATCTTCATTCCACTGTTACCCAACCTTTTATCTCAGGAGTCGCTGCGGTCTCTCTTTATGATGGTTACGCAGCGAATTGGAAATCCATCCATTGGTCTGCTAACGACGTAAACACCAAATTCCTACTACTACTACCACGCAAGAATTATGCTCTCGATGATGGACCTCTCCAGCCCAGAACGTTTGTCGATACCTCTGAAGCAATTACCAAGTAGCCTATCAGGGTTATTTTGATCAATAAGTTTATTCAAAAGTATCAAGACCATGGTTTTATCTACGCAAAGCTTACCTCTCCAGCATCTCTTCATACCTCCTCTCCATCCGTCCCTTATGGTGGCTGATATAGAAATATCGATGAATAAAAGGCTAGGAAGATCCCGTTTGAGCAATACCTTTTGGAATAGGAATGGCCTATTCCTTTCCAAACTTACTGGAACTCTATAATGTATATAGCTTGGTTTGAAACCTTTCATCAAAATATTCCAGCTCCCTCTTTACTTGAGTACACAGACTTTCCATTTGAACGGGACTCAAGATGGGAGGGCGATGGAGAGTGGGAGGGTGTTAGTCATGTATTTCACTTTCGTCACAACTAATTTGTACGAGATCATATACATAATTACAAAATCATCGAGGGTAAGCATTCAAGGATAAACTTAGCACTTTTTACAAACCTCAAAACCTTATCTCGATATCCATTCTAGAAAGCCTGACGCATGAGATAGCTTGAGAGGTGCTAATTTGATCTATGCACCTCATGATTTGTGCAATCTTATCGAAAGAGGATCTCTCGGGGATGGCCCCAAATACTAAATGGTAGTTCGGGACCGAAGTTTTGACATCCCCTATCGGCATTACGAATTTACGGCGGTAGTCCTCCTATTATATAACATATTGCGATTCAGCTTTTTTGGCACATCAATTTCAAACTTTACCCAAGAGTTTACTCGTTTCGATTTTAATTCGTCCAAAAACTCATATCTGTTTGAATATTGGGCTCAATTAGAACATACAATATAAAGCCAAAAAATATTTCATTTTACAACTTAAGTGAGCCAATGAATGACAAATGTAAATAAACTCAACACAAAACTATATTTTCCCGCTGCCTAAGTAGACAAGGATACTACGAAGAGGAACTGCCAAGGCAGTATTTTGTAACAGTTCGTTTGTTCGAGTTTTGAGTATGCCATGCATGGCAGAGGTTTGACTTTACCGTCTCAAGAATGTCCCCCAACCTGGAGGATAGTGACCTCCCGACTCTTTTTGTCTATCAGAAACGAGATTCTATCACCTTGAGAGGTCCTGATCTCGTACTGTGGCGGTTTCGACCCTCTGAATTTCGTAAAGTTCATATCACCTGCTCGATCGGCGGCCTGTCTAGGAGAAAGTCTCTCCTCCCGGACCAACCTACGAAAATCGACAAATTTTTCGGACGCTGGACCATT